CAGAAGTTCAATCGCGGTGGCAAACGTTGTTTACTCATCGTACGCCTCCACTTAATAAGTGGCATGCATGATGCTGCAACTTTGCTAAAACCTTTTTTCTTCATATGTTTTCTAGAGGTCAAGATTACATGCCTTTGTATAGCTTCTTACTATACTGGTCGATCTAACATTATTTAGGCCAAAGTAATTAATTCTTAATTTTTTCTTATTTGTTTTATGACGATCGATTCGACGAGGCTTTTCACTGTATCCTGGATAGCCATTTGGCTCATCATGCAAAACGCCAAATTCCATGAAGAATCCTTGAAAAAATTAAAGTGCATTTTGGTTTCATAATGAACTCAGTAGTGTCAGTTTTTATAAAAAGTTATAGTGATTTGAATTGCAATAAATAACCCTATAACGTTCATTGTTGAATTTAAAAGCATACACGCATGATGTGTTAACCAAACCTGTACTCGGATTCCACCATTGTGCATTATGTGTACGGGTTAGTACATGCACTAATGTTTTCAAATTTCCAATGAAGAATGGTATTGGGTTCTTTTCCCTTATTAGATTTCAGGCAGGCAGGCAGGCAGGCAGGCAGGCAGGCAGGCAGGCAGGCAGGCAGGCAGGCAGGCAGGCAGGCAGGCAGGCAGACAGGTCATTTTGGGGATAGATATGCCAGCGAGGGAGTAACAAAAACAACCAACTTTAAATCATGAAATTGATGTGGATCATCAAAAATAAAAAATAACCATTCATTTGTTGTAAAATATAGAACGCATATTACATAAGTGTATTTTGATTTGCTGAAATGTGATGTGTCTAGCTATATATGAATGCCTCTTATAGTTTCCTCATCGATATAAAAGTGTCTATCCACAAAGATAACTTTTTCCCCAGGTGCCTCATGGACCTTATTTATGACGTCCTTCAAAGACGTAGGATATGCTAAACACATACTTCTTTATTCTAGCCTTATTTTCTTGAAAAACAACTTCCCACGAGTAATGAAAGGTAATTTAAAACCACTATGAATGACCATTCAAATAGAAGAAAATAAAAGTGTTTGTTGTTTTATCGCTGTTATGATCTGTAAGGGAGTGGTTCGAAAACAACAAGGCAATGGGACCATGGGGACTCCAAACTGGAGATACGAAATAACATCGATCAATAGCCCACCTACACCCATCCTTATTAAATTAACTAAACGATAACAGCTATTTAAATTCATCAAACCGAGTAACCAGAAAAACTCATCAACGCTTCATTACGTTGCTGTATCCGTTAATGAAGGGACAGATTAATGACGCAATGCAAGTGAATGACCGGATATCATTTGCATACGTGTACAAGAGCAAAACCGTGAAGGTCGCTGGTAATAGGAACAAAAATCCCATTACATCGTTCAGCACGTTTATCTTCGTATATATATCCTTCTTCCATGTTGTTGTTTTATGCGGAATTCAGTTGCTATTCAATGGATAGTGGATACGTTTATATCATTCACTGCATGATTTACTTAGTAGGGAAACAATACAGTAAAATTCAATTGCATTTCGATTTTCTTCTTTTTAAGTTTGGAAATTTGTTTGTTTCCGAACTATGATATGCAGTCGAATGCAAACTTCCGGTTTCCATACTCAAGGAGGGGGGGGTGTACACATTCATAGAATGAGGCTATTTCAAGAAGAATCAGTGTTTCTTTATTACTATTTGCGATCATCTGTAATTACTAATTATTCACACTATTCGTTACTTGTTTTTACCGATAGTTTCGTAATGTCGATCGATTTTCTTTGGACGACTCAGAAAAACAAAAAACATTCGACCAACTCCAGGGGAGGATCTGATTACTTCAGTATATTACCGAAAAGAGAAACATTTAGATTGAATGGGTAATTGAGTTACTATGTTGGTGAGTGAGTGAATAAGCGAGTGGGTGAGTGGGCAATTGATTCTGTAGGTGAATAAATGAAGTAATTGAGTGGGAATGAGTGAGTGGGTGACTGAGTGAGCCATTGATTGAGTAAAGGAGTGAATTGGTAATTAAGTGATTGACTGAGTAAGTGAGTTTGTTATTGAGTAAGTGAGTATTTGAATGACTATAGTTAATAGATGAATGAGTAATTGAGTGAGTTTATATGTGAGTAAATGATATGGAGATTGAGTTATTAGCCCCATTTCAAGACGTCTTAGCTAAAACGTTGTAGTAAACATGGTAAAATCATGTTGAGTTTACCATATTCAAGACGTCTTACGAAATATGATTGAGTTTACACCTGTTTTTCTAAAACGTCTTAGAGATATGTAGGCATACATGTAAAATGAAAAAAGCAGTTCAGCACTGGTTGAAGGACGATTCAGTCAACATAGCTATTCCTTTCCCGCTTCTATACTTTCTGCTAAAGAATGCATCGGTTTCAAAATAAATATGTCCTTAAGAGAGCATTGTTAAAAGCATGAAAGAAGGCAGGAAGATTTTGTGTATATATTGGGATTATGATAGAACGCTAGGCGAATTAGTTCTTCTCGATATTTTTGGATGATATTGGTAACAAAAGGATGAGACAAGAGAAAGGACCATGCTACACATGTAATCAGGAAGTTTCACATTCTTCGTTCAGCGCAACGCATAAAACCGGGCTAAGAGCACTTAGCTAAAACCGATGGATTTACACTCGCTTGTAAAACGTTTAAACGCTAAGACGTCTTGGCCATGACTAAGGTCCTAAAACGTTTTAGCTAAGCGCTCTAATAGCCGAGAGCTCCTGAGAAAATCTGGATTTACATTACATTTGTAAAACGCTTAAAACGTTTTGGCCAAGACGTCTTGGGGCAGTGTAAATCCAACAATTGATTAATTATGTGAGTAGATGAGTGCATGTTAGCATTCGTGAATTCAGCAGCAGGTAATTTTAAACCATCAGCCGGCTGATATCTAAATGAGTTGGACATTAAATAGAGGTCATATCGTCAGCTTACAGCCGTCGGTTGAATTCGCGACTGCTAGTTTATCAGTGACAGTCTCATGACATCACTTACTTCGCTTTCAGTGTTGTTATATATAATTATCCTTGGCAATATAATGTCATTAACACTTTTATAACTGTAACTATTAGAATAAATAGACACTTGTTTTTCCGCGAGTACATGTATATATAAGTTTATCTTTTAATAAGTATATTGACCTGTATTCTGTTTTGTTTTTGATATAGATAACAAAAATAAGCCTTTGCTAAATTTAGTAAAGTGATAGAAAGCCAATAATCATTGGATTTTATCTGACATGTCGCATAGGCCCTTTCTTCTTTGAATGGACAATTTCATCTATTCCTAAACTATTCTATGATCTACAATACGAAATTATTTTCATAAGTCTATCACGTATTGTATAACTTCCTATCTTATAATGAATCAATCACGTGCACGACAAGGAGATGTAATGACGACTATCTGAATGGTGCCAGTCTTAGTTGCTCTTCATATCACATGAAGAGCATAAGACACCCTCGGTCAAATTACGGTAGTCTTATGTTACGCAATCGCGAATTAAAATATATAGTTATCGAGAATTCACTGAATCCGCCAGTGAAACGGACGTCCTTGCAATAATGATTACTAGCACTTGCATGTAGAGAAGATTAATTGTTGTCAGTTGAGGTGTTATTTAACATTACTAAAATTGCATTCAGCCAGCACTGACCAACATGATTCAATTATTGGACGGACATTTCGAAAAACAAAGTCACAATTTGATAGCTCGCTCTTTCATAAATGTTTATCATCAATCTCATTTTAATATTATGCTGACAAAAAATCAATAAAAGATAAACACCAGCTGTGTACATGAACAAGTACATCATAAGCCATGCATTGTCCTTTTAAGTAGCAATTTTGCTTATGTATACGTGTTTATGCGTTTTAATAATGTAAAGTACAAATTGATTAACGGGTCAGATAAGTTAGGCCAGAGCCAGGGGGACCCGTTCTTAGTATTCTTACTTTTAATATGTTTATTGTCATTCTGGTTGACGCAATGCATGCGGATGTAGCAATAATTCTACGGACAAATGCCCATGAATATTGAAAGTCCATGGTTGTATCAAAGTTTAGAGGGGCCGGCTGTACATATTAAAATACCATCAAACCTAATATTAATTGAGCTGGGCTACTAGGCTAGAATTAGTACATCCACAATAAATTGCCACTGAGCTGATCATATTATGTATCTTTGGCTTAATAAATTAATAATTAATCTAAAACTTATAGTTCAATATCTCCGATTGTGTAAAAGTAGAAAATGAGTGGCCATCGGCTGTATTACTGAAGTGGTAGATAAAATCGTTAGTAATGCCGTTTAATCAATATATTTGCCATGTGGCGACCTTACCTCATGTGACCGAAGCTCTAGAGGCAGAAATAAATTGGAAATTATATAATATGCGGTATAGTGAAGCAGGGAGGTCATTGGAACCGGTATCAACAAACCCGGTTGCGTGCGCATTATAACTGAAACACACAGCCAATCAGACGTGCTTAAAGTTCGGGTCGTGAAACGTCACGACCACGAGTCTTTTATGTAGTAATTGCACAAGGGGTCAGACGAAGTTCAGTATATAAAATAGTGACAGTAAATAGCCTTGGTCAGTTGCCAGATAGATATTTTCAAGGAAAGACAAGCAGTGCCTTAGTACTAAGTAAAGGAATATACGCAAGCGACAATATAAATCGAAGCCAGTGCCAAGTCCAATAATAGGTATGCTATGAATATATATATATCATGTATATTATTATATTTAAGTGCCATTATTGCTTTAAGATTACAACTAGGGATTAAGGAACTTATTTAACAAATTTCGCAAATGTTTCCTCATAATGTCATTGAGATTAGAGGCAAATACATGTAGTTACCAGAAGTGCAAATTATTGTTTTAGTTATAAATGCACTTAAACTGAAAATCAAATCACTGGAAAAATATATGTGCAGAGTCTGCAGACTTTATTTGATCATTGATTAATCAGAGTTTAATTACATTTCTAACGATTCATTTATTAATTTTTAGTTTATCTTTCAACATTGCTTTAACTTTTGCCAAATATACAAAATAAGAAAATGTTCAAATTCCATTCTACTTTAATGTAACGTTGCTTGAACTTTATGTGGCCTCAAACGTCTGAATATTACGCATGTAGCAATACACCCTGCAATGTGATGCAATAGTTATCCAAGCTTTGGAACAGAGTGGTATATTGTACATTGCCCAACATAAAATTTCATAACAATATGGTATTACTCACCAAGGCATACAATTCATACATAATTTTATCAGACATAGATAAAACCATATGAGATCACCATCATACATACAGTAAGGTAATAGAGTCACATTACATATCTATAGTTATCGGAAATTTGGGATGATGAAACAAAAAATTGGTAAGTCAGTACAATCCTTCAAAAATAAATATATAAAGAAAATAAAGATTTCAACGTTATGGCAGAATCCATGTCTAATTAAGTTACGATGGTTTTTACCTTATTTAAAAAGAGTGCAATGATGGTGAAATCAAAGTTTGAAATTAGAATGAATAGCCAAGGTAAATATATGAAAGATCTGCACTTCGTATTGGTATTTCAGAATCCATATAAAAACTTGTTTACTCAAATTCTATGGATCAATACAAAGTTGAGTTTTATTAATCAAGCTTTATATCTGCCATTCATCGGTCAGTAAAATATATCATTTCCAATAATGTACTGAGATTAGTACATAGAAATATCGATCGTGGCGTCAGAACATAAACTGTGGTTGTATCCACATCAGTATTGAACTGTTATGCAAAAAACAAAGCTGCATTTGTGAATATTCTTTGAGTATTCGCCCTTTAACCCCACCTTAACATACATATGCAACTGTTATCTCTTTCGTTGAGAGCTAATGCCATAGTCACATTTCATCTACGGTAGCCGTACGGTGGCCGCAGCTTCCCAAAAATCGAGAAAAATATGCAGCATAGAATAAGCAGTAGTGTCAGAAACTAGTACATTTGGTAGTTGAAGTTATCTTTTAAGAAACAAAATCAAACTAATTGAAAAGATTTTAAAATGAAAAAGGACACAAGGCTAGACAAATCAGGAAGTAAATTAAAAACAAGTCAATGACAATATTATAAACTGACACCATTGATTTATTGCGTAATACTAGCAGCATTGTCATTACAAAATAAATCATCATTATTCAATGAATCAACGTTTCGATTAACCAAACAATAGTTGAAAGAACAGTAATAACATCTGACGCAAAATATGTCAGCACTAACCTGTTATAAAAAATTATAAACTAGATCAGTAACAAGGTAAATGCCAATGTCATAAACATGTCGTAAACATCTGTAATTTAACGTTCTTGTCAAGTTCATCTCTTGTATAAAAATTACGTTATTGTGCATCAATGGCTGCAAAAGCGAAACTTGTGACAACTCGTTCAAGCATAGGCCTACCCCCGGAGCCTATCACATCGTTATCCTATCGAGTCCAGGCATACGTTAGGTTTATTAGAAAAGAACTTTGTTGAACTAAATTGTATGAAATGTGGTATACCGCAAAATTAATAATGAAATAAAATATTAATAAAAAATACACCATCAGGCTATCGTAGATTTGACATTGATATCATGTGGATCTCCACGCATCAATAATCTGTTTTCTGACGTCAACTATTTTATTTTTTCAGAACTCCAAGATGTCAAGTAGTGTAGAGGAAGCGCTTGATCTGAGTAAACCAGATATCAGCAGACGGCAGTCCTTAGATGCTGGAAGAACCCCACCACACACCCCACCCACACCCACGTCACCTATACCAAGCGTATCGTCAGACTTAGACCCGATGCGCGGCTTGCATTCGGTGATTGACAGATCCTCGAGTCTCAGTTCAGACGGCCACGAAAGTGACGGTAGCCTTACCACGTCAGTGCACAGAGTTTCAGGCCCACTAACATCCGGGCACTTGAGCCCACGTGACGACTCAAGTGGTTCAGAGGGCACTGACTCCAATCGTCCATTTAAAATGTATCCCATTGATTCTTCAGCTGGACTTAACCCTCTCGCGGGTATGAGCTCGGTGCTACCTGGACTCTCGTATGGTATGCCACCTTCAGCTATCTATGGCAGCGGGGATTCCCCTATGCTATCAACACCCCTCATGTCATACCTAGCCCAAAGAAAGCGCAAAAATGATAACAGGGACCATTTAGTAATTGACAATAAAAAAACAAAGACCATCCCCGAGGATAAGAAAGACAACGCTTATTGGGAGCGAAGACGAAAAAATAATGAAGCGGCAAAACGATCAAGAGACACACGTCGTCAAAAGGAAGAGCAAATAGCGATGCGTGCAGCTTTCCTTGAACAAGAAAACCTAAAACTCAGAGCTCAAGTAGCAATATTGAAAAATGAAACTGCCAAATTGCATTATATGCTGTACCAAAGATCGTAGCAATGTCATTGGTGATTTATAATATGTGTATATAATGCTCAAGATCTTTTTTATATTACAAGATGTACAATTGTATGTACAAGGGGCAACATTTCAGGTGACCCATAATACGGCTGGAACAGTAAGGGTTTGACAGGGTTAAACACTATGTAAGATAAAAGTTCAGGGTTTTTTACATTAAAACATAATAGATGTAGCGAAAACATAGTTTTAAAATGTATTTGGGACTCATACATGTCATACACAATGTTAACTCTCTGGATAAAACCAAGAACGTGAATCAGTGAATTAAAGAACACTGCCAGGTTTTCGTGTCGACCATGATTAAAATTATGACTTTAAAATAGAGAGTGTGTACTAAATATTTTACAAACAATCACGACACAAACTGAGCTACCTCAATAGAAGAAATATTTTTGTACAAAATCTGTATTATGCACCAAAGATAGATGTTGCCTTAGTTTAAAAGAATGAATTCCAAATTACTTATACAGTATAGTGTAGTGGCTAGATGCCACTTTTTGTGCAATCGTGTCTCAGTAGTTTTAGTTACTAGTACGTTCAACTCATCGATGGGTTTGGAAACCTTGATTCTCAATTCAATAACATTTAAGTTATTGTCATTTGCCAGTTAAAGAAATATTTTTAACTCAACAAGAGTAAGCTACTTATTGAATATTTTTGAATTTCCTGTACTGATCAATACTGTAATTGATCAGTTAATCAGAAAACAAAAAATAATCCTAATTGATTAATGAATGCCTTGTATTTGTTCATCACGATTGCCAAATAATCTTATTATCACTAGTGGGCGAATATTTGCTGCTACATCATGCAGAATCGGGGTTTCCATACTTTTTAATGGTAGTGTACTTAGTTTTAATCTGTGTAGACGGCCGGTTCTGTGAAATAAGTTTAACAATAGTAAATGTTGTATCATATCTAAGGTGGTGTAAAACACTCAATTTAATCTTTCATGTAACACAATCTTTAAGGTAGGCCTCATAGAACATACTTTTAATTACGCAATTCACTTGTTGGCTTGAATATTGACGCCAAACGTATGGCACTTGGCCCACCTTAATCTGTGTCTTTAGCACATGAACCATTTGCACCAGAAACGTGCAAATTCTTCAAAGTGCATTGGTATCAAATACTATGCAGAATTATTACGAAAACGTTTACGTACATATTTGTTTAATTATTATGTAAGTAAACAGTAACTTTCGTTACCAACGTTTATTCTAGCTGGGTCAACCCAGGCTAATAATATATCATTAAATGATGTAAAACAGAAGAACACAAACGTTCTAAATGCAAGACTTACACAAATAAGTATGACTGTACCTATTTATAAAAACCTTTTGCTGTCTGATATTTTGAATTTGGGATGGTTACTTTAAAAAGGTTCTATCATGTTATATTGCCAACTGAATTATTCATAATACAATATTAACATTTACATTACAAATGTACTATTATTATCTACTAATAGAGTATAAATAAATATATTGATTTCTACATAAACCGATTGAGTTCAGCTTTTCTCTCGACTGCTGTCGATAAAAATGTTCGAGCATGAACTTTAATGAAAAACATCGCTCTATAAGTCTAAATATCCAAGAAGGAATGGAAAACAAACCAAAAAAGAAAAATCTTGAAACTTTAGTATTGACAATATTTGAAAAAGAAAGAATAGACAAAGCAACAAAGTAGCACTTGCGTGAATTCTCCACTTTGGCCAAATCAAGAACTTTAATATATGATCCTACTATTATCTTTTAATAAGCGTTTCCCTACATAGTCCATCTACCCAATTTGCCAATGTACACGTAACATCCTGAAAACTACATCTAAGCAGACTAATACCTACAACATTTGTAAAAGTTTATAATTAGTGGTTCCTAATCACAAAGTGATTGCCCCCGCTATCTTTCTGTTTAATAAGTGCATGTAATGAAATCAGAAGTATGTATTTAGCGATGTACCCTTTGCATTCGTTCGACTTCTTAAAAGAGAGTTTCGTCTTCGGTAGCACACACAGGGTAAAAGCAATGGGAACTTTGTCGATAAATCTTCAGAACGTATCATCAGACTAATTGATTATGCAATATATACTAATTATCCAAATATGGTCATCAATATGATCTCGGGTAAATTTTTGTTTTTTGGGTTAAATGACTGTGCCAGTGATACAACTAATTCTGGAGTTTTCTCAACATTTACTTTTTACTTCTTGTATTTCCATAGCCTATAATAAATGGTAATTTAAAAAGACAAATGCGGAAACGAGGTCTTCCAATTTATATTTATTCTTGGAGGTGGTCAATATGTGATGAAAATCTGAGTTTCGTTTCGATGTAGCTTTGAATGGATGTTTGATATGTCATGATCAGATTCTGTCAGATTTCTATGATCGGTGACCGAAGGCTTGCCACAAGTCAAGATGATATAAGACATTGCGATATGACAAAGGTTTAAATGATCGGGTCATGACCCTCGAATACTAGATACTCCTACTTCTGCGATGCCATAGAGTAACCATGATGGTTCAACAATAAATAGTTTAAAATTATTTAACTCTGACAAAGAAATATAAAATAATGTAGTTTCCAATCGTTAGATAAGTGTGAAGTGTAAATCGAGTGTGAATTGATTGATTTATGCAACTCACGATTGAAAATCCACTAAATCCAATTCAAAACTGTGATACGAAAATGTACAAAAAGTTATTTTACAAATCAGATATGATGACGTTCAAAGCGATATTTGTTTTCTCGTATTTTAATGCAATTTTATTTGCCGTGTTTTTTATTGAGAATGACACTGGTTAATTTCATAAAGAACTGAGCGCATAATTTAATATATCTCGAATCCCATGAGATTATATGATCGAATGATATGCGAATCTGAAAGACAACTGCAAGAATTATGCCATGGTGCCGTCATAAATTATGGATACACATTAAAAACTAGTGCAAATTGGAGAATACATTATTCAGCAGTACTGATAATAGGAATATCTGGCGTGCTAGATATATTTATCAATTATAGATAAGCGAAATAAATATATTGGCTTGCTTCCAACTTGTACATTGATTCTATGTACGTGTTGCATTTTTATAATATTTACATTAAGGATTTGAAATATAAACCATTCAACATACACCATACCATTGGAAATGTTACGACATAGAAAATATTGTTATTTACCAAACATAAATCATTGTAAAGCAGCACTTATCGCTAACCCTTGCCTAACACCGAGCCTCACACCTTTTCGCGTTGAAATAACTCTCAAAACCACTTATCAATTACGCAAACTGTTTGAATTATGTCATCATTAAAGTTAAGTCTGCGATTCAATGACAAGCATTTAAATCGAATCAATTCCGACACGTCTAGAGGTCTGAGACAGTGACATAACACTGACAGCCAGAGGTTGCACGGTGACCAAACGTTGACCAAAATTCTCCCGATGACACAATCCAAAACAATACCGGGACATGCGTAACCCCTGGGAATTTTTACCCCTCGCATATATCACCATCTGGGTTTCATAGCATAGGAAGTTTCTACGGTTATAACCACTGCTTGGAGATTGAACATTCACATATGGTTTGATGACTTAATGTTGACCCCTCCGAAAACAAGGGTCAGGTCTTGGGAGCTTTAATGTAACCGAGATGACATTACATAGAAATGAACAACAAAGCCACAATTTGCGCTGAATACTGAATAGCTCGCTGTTCCTTTCATTGATTCAACAGTGCAGTCTTCGATGCGATAACAGTGCCCCTACACACGCACGAGCCTTTGGTAACATGGGCTAAACTTTTACCCCTAGACGGCAATAACATCGCGTAACATACAAAACGGTGTTGATGCAACGGGGAAATACTGTCTGGCGTGGCAATGGTCTGTATAATAGCTAGTTTTTCCAAATCTGCATACAGCCCATTGTAGACCATGCTGACATCGAAAGTTCAAATTATGTTGCATAAATTACCTTCCCATGATGTCATGTAAATTAATTAGCTGACACTATGAGCCATTCTTCTTGTTTTTATTTTTGTATTTATTCGCCAAATTAAAAATATGAATTTAAAAACTGAGCTGGTCTAAAATAATTTTACAAAAAACGTCATGTACCCGGGCACCCCAGCAGAGGTTCCCCTTTACTTTTATCACAAATCTATTTAATATATTCAACAAAATCATGACATCAAATCATAATAGGAAAAAGAAGTTGAAACAGTAAAAACGACAGCCACTTATTAATATCCTTGTATTGGTTCAACTTTCCGTACCCCCTCCGTCTATTTCCCGACCTTGTCTTGGCGAAAAAGAAAGAGTGGAGAGGGGGGGGGGGCTAAGAGAATTAAAAATTGTAACTACTAAATATGATCTTGAACTTGGTGATATATGTGAATACTAGAATCGTGCTGAAGATGGCAAGCGTGATCTATCGACATCATAATATTGCATAAGGGGGAGTGCCCTAGTTCGGTTTAATGACCAATTAATACTCAATGACCCTGGTATATTGAAAGATGGCCCACGTAGTCATATAGCACATTTACATAGCTGGATAGCTATAAGTGGTAATATATATCAATAAATCGCCCCATTAATCTGTATTTCATAATTAGAATGATTTATAGGGGTTTATGTTGCGTTTTTCAGATGTTGCTAGTTGTGCTTTCTAATCGACATTGATTTTATAACTCTCAAGTCAATATGATTTGAGGCAAATAAGAACAGTTTTTATTACTGGTTTATCATTATTCTCCGAACGGAGGGGCTCCATTATGCATTCCCTACAAGGTTCTTCATGTAGACTTTAACAGTGTAGATTAAAAATCTATAGTCTCTAGATCTATATAATTGGTTCAGAACAACATCCTGTAGTATTTTGTATTGGTTATAAGCAAATAGAAGTTACGGATTTGATATTTGATTTCATTTGCGATTGTTTCTTGTACTTGTACATCAATATATTGATTCACCTACTTTTTAAATGAAAATTATTGTTGCCGTATTGGGAGGTCGATCTTTTGTATTTTGATTGTACCGATTATGTTATTTATCCTCACTAACATATTACCACAACTATTAACCCAGTTAAAGTTGTCAAATTGTTGACTAATTAAGGTAAGTGATTACGCCTCATTACCCCATAAATGTAGTTCCAAAAATAATCAATCGATCAATAATTTCTCAATTAATTATCAATCATCGGAGCAAAATCTGTCATCAAATAAATATTAGACATGACATATCATTTTTATTTGTAGCTATAGTTGACGTAAAACAGCTTCCAAGGTAATAACGCACCATTGTTAGATGTTATTTCACATTCGTGTTTGTTTACATAGCCACTAATCAGTACTCTACAAACTGCATAACATCACCTGCCATCTTTCTTTAACTTCGAGTACCATTTTCGCATCTTACTGCCATCTATAAAACGTAGTAAACTTTTCTAACTAGTTGAAACAGAAAGAGAATCAGAACTGAATGGAGCATGTTTTGGTCCAACTACTCTTTGCAAAAAGTGATTATCGCCATCTATTCTCCGAGTGTTAAGCTAAAGAAATCATCCACAGTTTTCCATCGTTCCTTCAAAAGTATGTGATCTGGAGCCCTGCGTTCGGATGACGAGTAGACCCGAATCACGATCTATGCAGATGAATATTTGAACTTGCCGACAGTATGTCATCTCTCTCCATGGTTCTGCTCGTACGTAATTTAATTTGAGCCTGGCTGCTCTGCAGCACCCTCTTATAACGATTGCAAAATATAAATTGATAGAGTAATATTTACGCACAAACACTGTTAGGCTCTCAAACTAGTTACCGAAATGGATTCGTTTCGGTAACAAAATGTCGGAACCACGAAGGTACGACTTTTCATTTTCCTTAGTTGGCAGAATCTCCACAACATTTTTATCACAAACGTGTGTCAGTATCACATGTTTAAGAAAACCTACATGTTTGGGAACAATGCAGTTAGTTCAGAAGACGGCACTGGAATCATCGATTTATACCTCGGAACGGATTAAAAGTGCAGATCTAAACAGTTTTTAAATTCCGTTTGCGTAACAAAAATGCTGTATTTTATCGATGGTGACTTATAGTTTGAAGAGTGCAGTGGAAAGACACAAGAGAAACCCCTGCAAGTGGTTAATACTGATGTGCCATCTATGTGGGTCCTCATCTTCCTCTTGATATGTCCTTCAACGAGTTTAGTACTTATCTAGTAATAACTCAAAATAAAATAGCTAGGCTCATGGAATCACATTTGTTGATATTTCCTCGCCCAGTTTTCATCGTTGAGGGTTGCCTCAACCTGCTATAATCCGAAGTTCATGTATGAAAACAAAATGGTTAACGTAGAAACAATTTGAATTGAATACAGAAACAAAGGCTCAAAATATGAACGTACTCAACCGTGCGCGGTGATATCTATTACTTGTTTGTTCGCAACCTACTACGAGGAAAAGTAAGGCCATGATATCGATTCTGTCAGAAAACATATTAATTTTATCATGCCTTCAAAAATGGCATTGTTCTTATCAATCTGATCTGATGCTTATTTGAGGCACGTATTAATTAACCTTTGAAATGTCAGATTCGCTACGAATATTTGTAAGCAGGGAGTAAGATCCCAAATTAATAAATCATTGGATGGAATCGATGTTGTTACGCAAGCTGACCCTCGTGTGTCCGACTTAAGAGTTCGTCCAGTTAAGTTAAAGTCCCAAATTGACCAAGGCCGGAGCATAAGGACCGAGTCAAGATGTTGATGCCCGGGTTTTGAGTTTTGACGTTAACGCATAGACGTGATTAATTACCAATGTACATGATAGACTGACCCCCCCCCCCCCTTCTCAATAAGTAATGGATTTAATTGTCGATGTAGGCTTACTAATAGTTCGCGTCATTCAGTTTTACTCCCTCCCCAAACGCACCTAATCAAGATGTGGGCGTATCATACATGCAGATCGAATTATCCATGTGAACTTTTACCCGACAATAAAATTTACATGCTATTTCCAAGTTGTTTATTAATACATAATATCGTATAATCGATTTTTACCAATCAAAATGTTAACTGTTTTTAGTATAAGCTAACCACAATTACATCCCACAAATTCTTGTTGGCAATTGAAAAAGAAATTGACTTCTCTCATCAGTTAGTACGTAAAATCAATGTTATCGTTTATTGTGAAAAGGTACGTCAGCGGACGTCGTCTGTTCAAGTCTGCAGACTGGTCTGCGCCATTTCTAGACCGCCAGTGATACATGTAGTTTGATTGCGTGTCTGATTGATTTTAAACCATTTTTGATTTTAAGGTACGATATTGTTCACCCTTTGCCTAGTTTTAATCCCATGGTCAATCAAGGTCCATTAATCATATGGTCCATTTTAGACCCACATTATACCTTTTAAGGGGGGGGGGGGTGGGAGGGGGATCTGACACTTTATCTCGATAAACCCCACCTTTAGCTAATGACAAAGGAAGTTCTTTGATGTAAATTTTACGAGATATGGGCACATTGTCTTTATCCCCATCAATATAAACATAGAGAATAAAATAGAATTTCTCTGTTCATAAATTTTCTGTTTTGATGTAATAAGATTTACGTTGCGTTTCGGTGAGACCACATGATAAATCAGTAGAATAACGACCGACGAAAATATTACAATTGTTTCAGGATGTGGATTTATCTCTCGAATAACTCAAACAAGATACGTAAAAAGGGCAATCAATCATGGTTCAGATGATTACTTCCTTACCACACAGAGTAATTTAAAAAACAAGGTCTGAATGCAAGACAATTTGTACGCCTATTCATTATTCCAACATTACCACATGAAGCCTTTAATCCAATCCAGTTTAGGTAGATTTGAATAAGCTGTCTATCATCCTTGTCGGGTTTCTCATCTAAGTGAGTTTCTGTGTAATATATAGGAAGGGATTGTTCAGGGATTGTCAAGGGAAATGTTCAGTGGGAGTCTGCATATTAAAAGAAATGATTAAAGCATGTTTGATGTGATATATTCTGACATTCGCTAGGTCGACCAAAGGGCCACGGATGATAACGCATACATAGTTAGGCGCAAAAATCCCCTGCTGGCCTTTGTTTCCTCAGTGGCATAATGTACAAGATACATGAAATGATTACAATCGTAATTCTTGCATTCTTGAGTTATATTTATGTTTTCGAAACATTTTTAATGCGTTGCTGTAAAAATTGCAATCCATTTTTTGTCACACTTCACCAACGCGATCATCTTGATTCTCAAGGTATATGTTGCTCCAACCACAACCACCCCGGACGTCGATAATGTAGTACAAGTTATTGTATATTTTTCCTGTCAAGAAAGGTGTTATTGTATATTTCTCCTATCATGAAAGGTGTATATATTTCTCCTGCCATGAAAGGTGTTATTGTGTTATTGTATATTTTTCCTGTCGAGAAAGGTGTTATTGTATATTTTTCATATCAAGAAAGGTTAACTCGTTTCGAAATAGCGGAGGCCTGCAGCAGAGCAGGCTGGATGTTTATAAAATAGAATAGTCATGGAAGCCATGAAAACTAATCTACTAATAGACACCCTGTTGAAAATTGCCTATGTGGATGAAGTAAGAATCCATGTAGTAGTAAGATCCAGAAATAATTCTGATATAATGGATGGTTAGAGTCTCGTGCAGTAGGGTTAAGGAAATATTTATAGAAACTGTTTGACGGTTTGATATTCTTTATTAGAATCATTTGCTGATAGTAGCGTCTAGGCTAACTCTATTTGAGCTTGGCATCTTGCTCTACGAGGTTCCAACTTTGAAGTCGAAGACTAGACTCGAGATAAAGTTGCCCTTTTAATTTCAAAGATGCGTTGAGAGCTGATTTATCTCAAGGTGGTTCATGCATGCTCAGTAATTCTTTTTAAACTAATTATCAATGACAGTACTACTTTGCCGCTATTTACAATTGCAATATGGGAAGCATCGACGTCAATATGAATCAGTCGGTTAAGATACAGAGCCGTTTTTAGTTGGACTTTCGTTGGTTTCGTCTTCTTTTATCGAATGTGATACAAAGGGCTTTTGTGGTAAATTGATATTTGATTTGTAATCATCACAATTTATTATCGTCTCCCTACTTAACCATTGCTGCAATTTTGCGTTAAAGTATATCCAAGTTCGCATTAATAATCTGATTATATAGGACACTGTTTGTTTGATAAATGAAAATGCTTCTAACGAGTAATATTTTGTTAATCCCGAGAACATGAGTTTTCTGTGCAACTGTTCAATCATAACAGCGTTAAACAGTTGAGAGGTCGCAGCATCTTTTGCTAGATCGATGGGTAAATCACCGTCATTAGTTCTTTCAAATACATCCGCGCCAAAACATATGAGCATACTAGCGACCTGTACAAAACCTGCTGCCGAAGCAGTGTGAAGGGGTGAGAAGCCATTTATGTCTCTGGAATTCACCGTAGCGCCGTGGTTTAACATTATTTTTACCGAATCCATATTATTGTTCAATACGCAGTGGTGCAGGGGCGTTAAGCCCACATGGTTCGTTTCGTTAACATTAATAGCAGCCCCACCACAAGATGGGCTATAATCCTTGTGCTTGAGGATTTTCATGATTTCTTCCGGGTCCCCATCTTGGACTACCGATTGAAATAACGCAGCTAATGGAAATGAAACTTTCCTATTTCTAGAGGCAATCTCCGGATTAGACTCGGAGTTGCTGCTTGACGTTCTTCGTAATGCCATTATTTATTCGCAAGTGTAGGCGTTTTCAGGTCAATTGTTGATCGTCCTATAGTGTGTTGCACTGCTGGAAGGATTCGGGCGCTCCATTGGTGCTGTTGGGCTGCAATGCATCACTGGCCTTTACTCGGGCCTTTACTGCTTCGAAATGTATTTGTACAACGATAGAGTGATCTAAGTAAGCCCTAGTCTGTTACTCTCACCATTCCAGGGACTATGTAGTTATGGAAGACTGATGTATGCCCTAGACTCCTGATGCTGGGATCAGGTGCGATATAGCCAGTTAGATACTGAGTAATGGTTCAAGTTCGACGAGGTCCTAGCAACGAGTGTATTAACGACATGACAACGAAACCTCATTTGTATAAAAGGCAATCATCTGTGTAAACTTTTGTTCGTTCTTGTAAATATATCATCCAAATGTTCATAATAAATCCACGTAAACACGTAATTTAACTATAGGAATCAGTTGCGATGTTCCATAAGCTTCAACGGCGTCTATTAGGTAAGTCTAACTCATGCTAAGCATAAGTGGCTATATAGCATATATTTGGATATGCTGCCCTTTCGCATCAGATGCAGTTGCCAAGCATTCCTTAGTTATGCAACCTATACTAACACTAAGTTCTTCGTTACATGATCTTACTTGGTTATACTGAAAGGAAGCGATAAAGCTAAGAATACGATTAATCAATCTTTATTCTTTCTTGCTACTTTATTAGCCGCTGTGATGCAACATTCAATATACCATCCTAATAAGAAAATTGCTTCAACAGGTAATAATCATTTACGCCTTCCGTTTTATCTGCGTTCTTTTTATTGCAATGATAAATGCCGTATTAAATCATTTTATTGAATTTCGGCTTATGTAGATCATTTAGCTGTCATTGTGGTTTTCCTTGGCGATATCCCGATAATTCTATTATGAACGATAACAAGGAGCACAGTTTAATTAGTATCTCCGTTGGTGAATAAAAAAGAAGGGCATTAGAGATGTTATGGATGAGGAAAACACCTGTTTAGAAGGATAATTACATGTGTAAAAGATATTATTTCCTGGGGCCAAGGAATACGTAATAAATGTAGTGTATGTAATATACAATCATTGGCTGCATTTTATCATACTAACGCGTGAATAAGGATGAGATAGATGAACGAAAGATTGACACACTAGTAGTATTTACATACATACTGCTATTACAAAATGCCATTTTATAATACATTACCATTCTGATACTCATAGCATCTCTCTCTGCTGCATCACAGATATTTCTCTCCAGAAGGATAGAGATGGAGTGGGCGTGGCTTACACACGATCGGATTGTCATATATTCCTCGATTGAGGTCACACATCCTCTGAACTGTCGATGTTGCGTGACCAGAAAGCAAGCCATAATCTAAGATGAAGATCATTTCTTCATCCTAGCCATAATACACAATCAAGAGTGGCTCCGGGAAGATGTTACGCAGGCATGGCAGTTACCCTAATTGAAAAGCAAACATACCTTTTTGCTTTTACTTAAGTTCTGTATCATTACAATCCACTTGCAAGCCATATCATAAGGAGAAAAACAAAATGTATTATTTTATTTCTACTATACAGGTATCAAGCATGTAATGATGAAATTAGAAATCAAATATCCATCCGTACGGCCATTGCAAGGGTATAAGTATTTATGAAATAACTAAGCATAAATGAAGTCCTTCGAAGAAGGATGTCAAATGTTCTAAAGTGATGTATACTTCCAATACATATCAATGAGATTCAAAGAGCCACGCATTGGCGGATCCAGAAGCCAACAAGGGGGGGGGGGGGGGTTCAGAAGTCAACAGGGGGGGGGGCGAATTTTGAGTCTGGAAAAATTGTCCGCGCTTGCGTGAAAACAAAATCGGGCCCCTAAAACCAAAAATTGGGCTCAAATTTCGAAAATTCAAGGCCCATTTTTTGGTAATCTGGCCCAAAGAAGGCCTAAAAATTATGCCCAAAAAGAAGGCCTCACACAATTTTTAAGCCCAAAAATGTTTGAGGCCCTATAATGTTTTTCTGGGCTCACAAAAAGGGCGGGCCCCACCCCCCCCCCCCCCTGGATCCGCCAGTGCCATGTGTGTCTAATTACATGATTAGATGTTAACGTTATGTGCAATTAGATTACAACGTGTATCTAATTACCTCATTAATGAGTAATCATACGCAATGCGGACTGCAGATTGAAATATTTAGTCCACCTTTCAATGAATAATTAATTAATCAGTGTAATTATAATTTATCATGATCAGGTAGTTTAGTATTTATTTTGCATGAAAAGAACATAGAGAATTGATACCCTTTGCATTCGTTTGACTTCACTTCTTAAAAGAGAGCTTCGTCTTCGTAGTTTTACTAGACTCTGCATGCAGGGTAGAGAATTGATTGCTACATCTATTAAAAGATTAAAAGCTGTGGTAGAACTACCAGGAACACTGACCATCATGTTCAGTTGGCCTTCTTGCGTGACTCGTCCTTCCTAGTTGCCCCGCGACTAGTTTAAATACCATTCATTGTATTTCAGAGTACTAAAAATGTATCTTGGATTAAATATATGAACCCAACTAAGGGTATATTGACCTTAATAACAAATAGAGAGGTGTGGGATTAAGATGTTTAAGTTTAAGTATATTTCCTCATCGCCCATATTTGCATATTGAGTTTGCAAAATACAAAGTATAAAAAACAAAAGTTATATATTACAATACAATTTATTGTGCAACATGTACAATATTATCACAACTAACATTACGATATGATATAATTTTTTATTTGCTCCAATTTGGAGAGCCAAATTAATTAATACAAATTAATTAAATTACAAATATTGTATACATTAAATACAATATATGGCGAATTGAGTAAAGTAAGGTGACATTTATTTACGATGTGAATTCCGTCTCTGGTTGATCTGATTGAGGTTCTTCATAAATTCATCAATTTTGACATCAAATTTTGACCCAATGTAATGGAGATATAACATTGAAACGTTGCGGACTTTATAGTGAATAGAATCAAGATACAGATTTATTTTCTTTATTGGGATTTCTTTTGTTCCCCGCTTAGAAAACAGTCGTTAAACAAATATGGGGGTTAACATGTAAACCTATGAGGTCCTTAACTTTTTTGAGGAGTATATTATCTATACCTTATATCACATTAGTAACATAATTTTGAAACGCTCGTATTTCGAGCGTAATATTAGGTTTCTTACCTCAAATTTGAAGATCTATTTGTGCACTTTTAGACCGAACGATGTATTCTTATTTGATAACGTTCCAAGATTACCACCCCAGTCTGCAGTTTTAACATAAATATTTAAATTCCATATATTCATATTTATTTATTTATGTTATCATCTTTAAGGCTAAGTTCTTTAAGTTTGTGGTATTTGCCTAAAGCAGGTATTCATAAATATTCAAAATCACCACACAAAACTATTTGTGGTGGCTCATGTGAGATTAAAGTTAGTTTGTTTGAAGTTTTCGTAAGAAATCTATGTTGCTGATTTCCCCGGATTTGCTCCACTAGCTTGTGACACAGTGAGTACAGTGAGATTTCTAATTATTCACATCTGACATTTGCGTATTATTGGCTATTTCGCGTTAATTCAAGCGGTCTAAAGTAAATAAAACAAGTATTCATTCAAGATTTCAACATCGATAGATCTAGGCCTATTGATTGAAGCCATTGAACGAATTGAACATGGGCTTTCATTTTCAATGATTGAAAGCCCATGATTGAAAAAACATGATATAGCCACGGACGGCAAGTAAGTTTCTGGCGAAAGTTGGAGCATAGATTATAAAGAGGACTGGAAACAAGATGGCAGTCTATTTCAAATCTGCCAAGTCGTGTTGGACTTTTTAGAGTCGTGGCAATCTGCGCGAGGTTCGGTTTTTCTTTAAGTGAAGTATGTCACTCCCATGATTCAAAGTGCTTTGCTGTCATCGGTTCGGTTTAAGTTTGTACAACAAACGTCTACAAATCCAGGGCAGGTTGATATTATGTCATTACATTTGTTTTTGGTGTATATGTTTTGTTTTGACACGAAACAAAAAGATCCCCGCAAATATGGTGTATTATGGGTAAGGATTGCTGTGAAATAATGCACGTAAGTGACATCTATCTGAAATTAAATGTTCTTATTTAGTTACTCATTGCGCATGCGTCATAATAATTTGAAACCAATTAAATTGCTAGCTTTAATACGCATGCGCCAAAAACCGAATCAAAAAATGGAATCTCGCGCAGATTGCCTCTAGTGCCTTTTTATCACTAGTCTATTGACTCAGTTGTTCATCTAGTTTTACTTACCTTAGATGCTTAGTAATCTGTTTTAAAATATTGTTTCCAAAATTATTGTCATTTGCGATAATTAGTTCTAAAAGTACTTTGTACAGGTCAGCTGCCATTTGCTTGGCCCAATCGTACCAGTCCACAAAAACAGTGAAATCATATTAGAAATACCAATAAAACTTAAAAATTGAGGCAGATGCGATACAAAGAGACTCTATAAATATAGATATACAGGTTACAGTCACCAAGATGAGCTAATTTCAGGCGAGATTCGGGAAATAAAAAGGTAGGTCATTCTTGTTTCCAGTCCTCTCAAATAATCTATGCTCCGGCTTTCACCAGAAACTTACTTGACATCCGTGGATATAGCCCATTTTACTGTTTTATTTCGTCAGTAGAACCCAAAAAAAAAGAAATCAGGGAGACACTATCTGTTGCATGACTTATGACTGACATTACTCGAGTCTCTAGCTTACAGGCCCTTACAGCTAGATGTAACTTCATTTATTTCGTATGTAATCTAGAAAAAGTGCTACACGCACCTAGAACTCATATTTAATAAACAAATATTTTTAAGAATATCAATTATATTTAGGATGAAGCGTTGCTTGTCTGGATATAGATATTTCAAAATTTCACTTTCCGAGTTTGACACATGGTGAAATTTTCTCGCTGTAGCTAAAAAATGGCTTCGGGTTCAAATCAAATGTAACAATAGATTCAGACGGGGATGTGAACTGATGTTCTTCAAATCTATACATTAAGGTATATTTCATATAATTATGCTGTATTTACTGTGCGAGTGACACAATGATTTACAATATTTATAATACCAAGGCAGCTCGATCTTTCTACTCAAAGCCTGAATATAGAGAAGGCTTTGGACCGAAGTAAGCCTGTCACCATCAGTGGCGTAGCTAGGATTTCTCGAGGGGGGTGCATGAGGCAAATTTTTCAGATTAACGAGGCAAATTTTTCTTTCAATGATGCAAAAATTCGAAAGGGCCAGGGGAGCAAAGCATGTCAGTGAGTGAAAAAGGCCAAGTAATGTGCCAAAGTCCCACAGATTGAGGCCTTACAAACTGTTTGTGCCCAAGTATACCTTTTTCAAAAGCTGATGGCTTGCTTTACATACAAAGCCCTTGAAAACTCGTACCGAAGACATCTCGTACCCAAGTATATGTTTTGAATCAAGTGTTGGACTGGGAATTGGTATTTTTTAATTATTACGTACTGTTCAAAATAGTTTAAAGTATGTAGAAGAGTTTTTTGAAGAAATAGATTTAACTTTGTGACATTTTGAGCTTTGAAAAATTAAAGTGATGACAAAATTTTTATAATAGTTCACTGTGTTCCAGATGGAATTACTTCCAACCTAGAATTGGCTAGAGGCTCGAGTAAGTCTAGCCTATCATCTAGCCTAATCTAGCATAAAAATAAATTAAAAATCATTGATCATAGGCCCGGGAACATGTATAAAAAAGATTGAGTCGAAAATATGCCAAGTAGAAAAGATTGAGTCGAATACACCAAGTAAAGAGACCTCTTTACTTGGTGTGCTCGACTCGATCTTTTTTTATACATGTTCCCAGGCCTATGTCATTGATGATTATCAGCCAAGGGAAAGGTAAAGTCAGAGGAAGTTGTACTAAGTCCTTTTTGGTCCTTTATGGATGTTTTTGCTTGTCCTCACTCTCAGTATAAGTTCTGAATTTGATTGAAAAGTAACATGACGTTGTGATATTGTCATTGTTATAAAGAATCTAGTAGCAAAACAAGGTAAAGGGGCTATATCGGGGTAATTTGGCAATATCGGTGGATCTAGCCTGCTATTCCCATTGGCTTCCAAACAAATGCTTCATTAGGTATGTTATACCTACTATTACGACCTTCACCGCCCTCTCTATTAGTCTCTATTCCTGACACTGTCTACAATCTTTTGATTCCAGCAATCTCCTGATTTTAAATGGGAGGATAAGCAGCTACTATGTCAGAGGTTGCTGACAGCACATCAGATGAAAGGTATGACGTGAAGCCAGATGCAGATCTTGAATTCAAACATAACTGTATTCATGCCTTCTATAAACTGTAAACAAAGTCAACATTTTACCTGGGGTATATCCGCGAACAATACCCCTGGTAATACGCGTTATGTGTGACGTCATAACGGCGGGTCATAGTAATTGCGGACCATAATGAATATTCGAAACATTTTGGTGAGATTTCGAATCGTAATAGACCTCAGAACAGGTGTAATATCGTCCAATACACCCCTCAGGGCCAGGCACAAAAGCTTTCGAACCCCTCACTCCCTAGGTCTAGGTTCGGCAATATTACCCCTGCTCTTTGGTCTATATTTTTTAAATCACGATGGAGACACTTTTTAGAAATGATTTTGAAAAACTTGACCCATTATTTGGTCAGTTTTTTTGATAATTTTTTATTTATTTTTTTTTTGATAATTGATGCCCAAATTTCCTTGACATTTTTTTAAGAAATGAACCTTTTTAAAATTACATGTAGGTCAATAATGAAAAAAATAAAAATAAATATTTTGGTCCACCTTAATGGGGCCCTCTGTCAGTGTAAGAACTTTGTAGTCTCTTCCCAACCTGAAACAACTGGTCTCTGCACCTCTTCCAATTGAACATGTAAAAAATATATTTATAACATATTACAGTACATATACTGCAGATACACTTAATTTGGCTCTCGTTTTCATTTTACTTATTGGCTAATTCAGAAAATCCGCCAAATTAAAAATCTGTCAAATTTCAGTTTGGTATTTTTGTCCAATGCACTTCAGAAATTAAACTTCAGGGGCCCCTTTTCCTGTCAACATGTCATCAATTCTACATCATTCCAAAAGAAATACAGAAAATACCTTAGTGAACACCTGTCCCAATGACATCTACAAAAATTAAACTTCAGTCCTGAATCCACTAAATTAAATAGCCACCAATATTTGAAATTGAGCAAATCCGTCAAATTAAGTAGCGTCAAAATAAGTATATCTACGGTACTAACTACTGTTTCGATTATCTTAGATGGGATAGCAATGCTAAATAAACCCTACATTTTACAATCTTTATTTTCTACATGAATTTGCTGTTATATTTGTGACTGAATAAACACATTTACATTTTTCTTTAAGACTGAATAAACCATCATGGTTAAGAAGATAAAATCTTATCTAATAGTAACAAATTATTTTTTTTCATCTTATCAAGGATTTCCTGGCCAGCTTTGATAAAAGGGTTACCAAATGAAGTGTTTGAGAAAGTCCTTTCTTATCTGAGTGCGAGTGACCTTGGCCATGCCTCAATGGTCTCCCATTCTTGGAGGGATGCTACAAATGTTGATGCATTATGGTAAGATATATATTAAGATTTATATTAAGCACTTGTATCCTGTATGTTTCTCACTCAGACATTCTAGACATTATTGAATTAGTTGAGTAGGTTAGGCTCATGGGAAATGAAAAGCTGTTCTCACTAGACTAAAAAGTGTGGATATTTTTTTATTTTATCCTGTTTATTTCTAAATGAGGTCTGTTCACTACAGAGAAAGATGTTCCTGTTGTCAATCAATTGGATTTTGTAAAATAAATTGCCAAAATTTGGAGACAAGCCTTCAATTTAGATGTGTTTTTGGTATTTCATTTTTTTGGTTGAGCCTACAAATATCACCGTTTTTAACTTGGTTATATGATGTTTGAGCAGGTACACACGTGACATTTACAAAACATGGGGTTCGAGCATGACCCCCCCCCTTGGCTAAAAATTCTTTCAAAATCATGAAGTTTTTACCATTCTGGCTAGAGGCCTGGTTTATCTTATGATTCTGGGGTATTTCACCCTCTTAAAGTTAACTAGCTTCAATCGCCTAATCCATCCAATTCAGTATAGTCCAATATACAGTCAGTCCAAATATTATGGCCATTGATGTTTTGAATGATTTTGATGATACAGCATAAGATGTATAGCAGGCAGATATTTCATTTGTTGGCACTATGAAGTCAAAATCAATGGTGCTTTCATCATTCAGCCGATCATAATTCCTTGTCCCATTGAGTCTGTTTAAGCGAAGGCGACTTATAGCTGGATGGACTTGTTTTATCTTAGTACAACTGAACACAACATCAGTGTATTTGTCTGTTATCTCCAAGATTGTCATTCTGTTTATTTTTCCTGGTATCCCGGTAGCATTAAACGCATGCATTTCATTAGGAGTTATTCTACACAGTTCCATAAGGTCTTCTTTGTTGAGTAGCGTCCATTGTTCTCTGACATCAGTATCATTAGATTTGATTTTACCACATTTGATGGCGTCTACAGTTGACCAGCAAATATGCCCGTTGAGGTAGTCAAGTAGGGTATTCCCAGGAAGTCTGTGTTTGTGATCGCGATGGATAATATCAGCTTTGCCATTTGTTGATATCCTCCAGAGGTCCATGCTTGCTGAAGTTGGCATGTTCCAAACCTGTATGAACAATACGACATCCCCACTCTCTGCATCCCCACTCTCTGCATCCCCTCTCTCTGCATTGAGGTTCTGGTTAGTGATTGCATATTCATAAGGCATTTGGTCTGCTTCAAGAGCTGATAGCTCCTGCATCTTTGTTGGTATTTCTGATGGGATACCTTCCAAGATTTTCACAATCACAGTAGAGCATGTGAAAATATTGAAATTTCCACTAATCCTTTTACATGTTGGATCAACGATCCTCAACTCAATTTTTATTTTTGTGTTTCCATTGTTGTACTTGTAAAATGTCCGTGAAACAAAATAGATTTTGGAGTCATAATAGGCAAAGTAATCAAGATTATGATCGTCAAGCTTGTAAACCTGACTTGTTTTAATACTGGCTCTTAACTCTCCCGGAATTGTCATATTCAATGGCATTTTTTCAATCAGCATTTCTGGCTTACGATTATTCATTTCCCCGCATAGTTTACTTTTTGCAATCCATATGAACACCTGATTATCGTTCCTTTCGTACCTAGGCTGCCCTAAAATCATCAAAACCTCTCTTGATATTGGATCGTATGAGGCTTTGATTAAAATTAAATTGCTTTTAAAGAAAAATGATTCACCAAATTCGGTGAAGTATCTTCCAGTGAGTAAGTTGTCTCCGTTGAGTAAGTTGTCTCCATTGAGTAAGTTGTCTCTGTTGAGTATGTTGGTAGCACTTACATCATGTTCCCAAGTTGTATCATTAATTTCTACTCCTTTTAGTTTGTGTCCAAAAACAGAACAGGAATAATATAAGAAAACAGCTACATTTTCTGGAAGTACAATAGTCACCAGATATACCAAGAGAATCACATGGCAACACTTGTCACCCATGATTATTAGGTGTGGCCTTTTTGAATTACCATAAACTACAGGTTCATGCTAACATCATGTTCATGTAACTCTGTAACACCAGTTATGTCTGTGTAACTGTAACATCAGTTGTATCTATGTAGTTATGTTCATGTAACACCATTTTTGCTGACCAATTATGTCTCTGTAACATGAGTTCTATCAATGTAAAGCCATTTATATCAATATAACACCAGTTATGTTCATGTAACCCTATAACACCAGTTATGTCTCTGTAACATCAGTTATATCTATTTAACACCAGTGATGTTCATGTAACCCTGTAACACCAGTTATGCCTCTGTAACACTAGTTATGTTCAAGTAACGCTACATTTATATCCATATGTCATCAGATAATTCCATGTAATGAATAGGCCAGTCTATATTTAGCAACTCCTGTATATTCTTCATTTACAGTCAACCATCAACCAGAAATTACTGAAACTGAATGTAAATCCTGAACATCTTTCCATATTTGGAACTGCAATATCTGATTTCTTAATCATACTGTATATCAGAATTTAGAATTAAGCACATATGTTTCAGATGCTCGTAATTGTGTACTAAAACACCATTCGTCATTTCTAAAACATAACATCTTTGTTGCCAATGAGGCTCTTGTTAATTGAATCCTCTGATAATCAAATCTCATAATTAATTTAACCACCTGGAGAGAAAACAATCTGGATTTTTCTGCATGCAATATTAACGCTTGGCAGTACAGTGAAACCTGTATATCCGAATACCTAATCTGAACACCTCTTAATGTGAACACATTTTGGTTCTGTTCTTTTGATCTCCCATAGACTTACATGTTAAAGAAAACCTTGAAATGTGAACACCTGCCATTCTAAACACATCTGGCCTGTCACAGTGGCATTTGGATAAGACAGGTAATATTTTACGAACATGCTTAGTCGGTTCAGGATATTGGGATTATCCCTTGGCCAATATATAATATATCTGCCCTTAAGACCTGCAGACCTTGGAAAGATATATTATATTAGGTGTTGGATAATCCCAATATCCTGAACCTCATATAGGATAATCTTTATCTATATTAGGGTTATTTAACGGGAGGTTTTGGATACAGGGTATATCCTGAGAGAAATACAATATATCTATTTCAGTGACCATAGGGATCGAGAGTAATACCATGTACTCAAAACCGAGCATTGAATAACTGATTTATCCTATGCTAGTTGCTTCGTTTGTATTGTTCAGTGCAAGAATATGCACTGACGAAATTCCGAGGATTGCTGAGCGGGAGATACATCCAATTGTATTCCCGCATGTCATTTTCCTATGACACTACTTAGTTTAGGATAAATGTGGGTATTGCCTGTGTTTTCTATTTTTGCATTTATTGATTATATTTACAAGGCTGTGGCAAATAAATGAAATTTGTTTCCTCCTAGATCTATTTTTAACTGCTTAATATAAAAGGTCTGTACTGAGGTGTGTATTTATAAGAAATAAACCAGAATTCTAGGTACTAGTCTATTAAATAGGCATCAGCCTGACGTGAATAGCCTAATAACAGGATGAGATAACAGATAAATAACTTCTCTTTTAGAACAATGCTAAACATAGAATAAGGCCATTAAGGTTAATTTCGGAAATATGATTTTTTCTGATAGATTCTTCAATTCTTGTTGATTCCTCGATGTTTCTTGAACTAAGTGAAGTGGGGTGGGCGTTTATTAGAGGGTGGGTGCATGGTAATTACAGAGAATATGGTATGTGTGTAATGTCCTGTTGAGATATGTCATATCTTTGGGGAAATAACATTACCCCCCTATCACACCAAACTCGTTCTTACCCGTTCTTGCCAGTCCTGCGAAAATGTCGTAAAACGGGCTCAATCTGGCTGCGGTCGGGATATATGTCTAAAATAATTAGCTACTTCGTTCATAAACAGTCTTCAGTACGTCAATCTCATTCGCAGTTCGTTCAGGTCGCACCACGTCGGTGTGCAACGTAGTACAAACTGTCCCTTAGTCTAGAAGGTCATCATGACCTGATTACAGAACGGTATGGTCGCCATCGAACTTTGAATCGATTCAAAATTCTAAATCACATTCCCCGTCCGGGAAAGTCCATGGAGTTCGTAAACAGACCGTAGAACGTTGTAGGTACGTTCATTCAGTCCGCACACAGTTTAAAACGGATTCGGCAACTTTTTGAAGAACGCAGTGACAACTGGTTCTGGTGTGATAGCTATTTTTGTTAATTCGTTCATAAGCAGTTTTTAATACGTTCATCTCGTCTTTATTCCGTCTGCAGTACGTTGGTATCAAGTTTAGATCGTGTTAAATTGTGCGTTCGTCTCGTCTACACAACGTATCCAAGCAGTTCAATTACGTCCTTAATCAGTTTAAACCAGTTGACAATAAGTTGTACCTCGTTCTCAATACGTCCTAATATGTTACTGAAATTTGCACCAAATTTTCATACGGTTGAACTCGTTCTAAAATAGTAAACAACGTGTCCCTAATCCGTGCAGAACGCATTTATAATCCCCTATTTTCCTGATTGCGGAAATACTCAGTGCGATGTTTTCCGTATTAACTCATGTTCGCCAACTCGTAGGAACACATCGGACATCATAACATCCACGTGTACGATCGATCGTCATGCCTCCAAAGAAAAGTAAATGCAAAAAGAGAAAAAGCGAAGATGGAGACGTCCATGGGCCTCCTGTCCCTCACTGTGTGGTGCAAGAAAAGCAACAACCCAAATCGCCTGTTGCATCTGGGTCAGAGGGCCATGACTCTGAGATAGACAGTCAGGAGGGAAAGAAAAAAAAACAAAGAACAAGAACACACCCCAATATGACAAAAGAAAACCAACAACTTATGGTAGAATGGCTCAAGCAACACGTAATATTATACAACAAAAAAAACTATATTTGGCAGCAACAAGCAGATGCTCTTGGAATAAAAATAGATGAGCTGAGGGTGTGGTATACAAGCTTGAGGACCCGGTTTACGAAATTAAACAAGAAGAAGTCGGGAGATGGCTTGTCTGAGATGACCGAAAGAGACCAATGGGTGCTGGATAACTTTTGTTTTCTAGCCCCATTTACATATGAAGTTAAGAAAAGGACAGTAGTTAGTGTAAGTATATCTTGCAAGAACAACGTTAAATCAGAATTTTATTAAATAATTTTGACTTATTATTTCTAGTTATTTCAAGGTACAAATAATTCATGCTAAACATGTTCGAGAAAGTATTATCTATAATGTATGAAATGTTAGAAAAATATGAATATAAGCCATATATAATATTAGAATTAACAGTACAAGGGAATCTGAAAGGGTGGGGAAAGTGGAAATCGCTGGATTATCACGTCGCACTGACTATGGTTCTATAAATATGTGGATCATCCTTAAATTGTTTCATGTATATAATTATCGATACGTAGACATTGTTATGTGTATTTTACCATTATGTCTTCATAATAAGAAAATGTATCACTCATTTATTTATGTTATTATTAATTGTTGTGGTTAATTTTTATTTTTTCAGCTCAAGTCCAAAATACCTCCACCATCAGCTTCAAGCATCGACCTCGTAGATGATGAGCTTCGTGATACTCCATCTGGGGAAATGACAAGTCAGGAGTCTGGTAATCAGAAGCAGGTGATCCCTAATCAAACTGCAGCCTCTGCTTACTCAATTTCCTCAGCACCAAAACCCTCAGATTCATTCAGCTCTGCCATAAGCGGGAAGATGGAACAATTTATTGAGATGCAAAACCGCATAATGCAACAAATGGTTAGGCCTAAGACAGATAGAATGAAGGAGGTATTCATTGACTATATCAGGGAGTCTGTTTATGACATCCATCCGACATTGTGGATAGACCTGCACAGAGACATAATGAAGACGTTGCTTACGTATAAAGACAAGGACGGTGAGTTAAAAAAGGTCCAACAGCGAGATTCGCGATCATCAGATACGTCTTCAATAGAACCTTGTGGGTCATCCGGTTGGCAGCCACCTCCTGAAACGTGGCCATCAACAGTCCATAATCCGTGAGTGTGTTTAGGTCCACTGAGCCTGAGTGGGTGCAACAGCAATTCCCCCAACAACAGCAGTTGACGATACCTACACTGGCCTCCGCAACTCTAAACAACCAGCGTCAGAGGATGTATCCTTCTGGAGCAAGAGCATTTGTTAATAGTAAGCAGCAACATCATCACCAACAGGAGAACGAACAAGAGCTTTCTCAATTTGAAGATAGTGATTAGATTGACATAGCTGCAGTGTCACTGACACAATTTCAATATTATGAAAATGATGAGTGATTGTGACTTAAATACAGTGTGACCCTAAAATATATTACCCCTTATTTTTTGAAAATTTCTATCACTAATGATTTTCTGTAGACACTTTGATAGATTAGGTGTAATTATGGTACATATGATGACATGTGTCATGCGTTTTTCATTGATAAACATTACATATAGAAATATTGTTATTCGATGATGTGTTTAATGCTTTATTATTTTCAAGTATTACTTGAAAATTATATAAATACTAACAGATATATGGTCCATCCCGTTTCCCTGATTCATCGCTGATATCTAGTGATCAGAAAACCACATTTGTTATTCACAATATATGAAAATAAAAATTATGTTTAATACTTTAAAGGCACATTTGTACTTTAAATACCATAAAATGGTAAAGAATAGTCCGGCTTCGGACATAATTACATGGTCTAAAATAATCTCAGAATATTTCATTTAGAAATATACGAACATCCAAAGTAGATTGTTTACCTTTACATATTTTGAATAAGGATTACAAATTATTGTGAAAACTGTCCGCTAATTTCTATTTCACTAAACTGGAAATAAAATTTAGAGACGATATAAGATAAACCAGAGAAGTGAAAACGTAGTTTTTATTTGGAAATTACATGTATTTATAATTCAATCTTATAACATAATTTTATGAACAAACATGTCTTTTTTACCCAATATCTGATTAAATATTATATTGTACTTTCAATCTTGTTGATTTTTAATTGGAAAATTGACATGTCATGAATATATCAAGATCGTTTGGTGTCCCACGAAGGAATAAAACTGCAATATTTCTAACGGTCGTAATTAATTTAATAGAAGTAACGATATTGCAAGTAAAGATCAAAATTTATTGTCGATTTTAGATCAAGTAATTTTAACTTGTTCCCTTTACAAACAAACTAAAACACCATTAATGACAGGGTCACATTTGATCCGATTCATTGGCCGGCGCCCGACCGATGGAGCATCAGATACATCTTCGAAACTGAATACACTCTTAAACAAAATACACTCTTAAACAAAATACTTAATTGGCCGTGCAAAGGCCGATGAATCGGGGCAAATGTGACCAAGGCAATAGCGGGTCCATTTTACTTTAAACAAAATACACATTTTATTTGTGAATATACTTTAACATATGTAAATCATTGAAGATATAATGCCATATGTACTTTATAAATGTAACTTTAGTAACGTTTATCTCATAACCGATGTCCTTGGTTATCTTGATATATGGAATTCATAGTTAAATCATTCCATCCTGCCATGGTACACTTCCCGCTGGGCTGTTGAAATAGGCCTTTAAATAGTCCCTCTGTCTCTTAGCCAGAAATGTGTCCCTGTTTCCACCCTGTGGAACGTTCAAGTCTGGCAGGTTAGCATCGATTCTCCAAGCACCAGGTATAACGTTATATTCGGCGTCTTCTGCATCCAATTGTATGTTCTGAATGGTTGGATTTCGGAGCCGAATAAAGTTATGAAGGCACACGCAACATTCAACGATAGTCTGTATGGTGACTACTCTCTGTTGCATTGTGGATAAGAGGACTCTCCATCTTTGTGCCAAAATTCCAAATGCATTTTCGACTATACGTCTGCCTCTAGAGATACGATAGTTAGCTATCATCTCTTCTCTTGTCAGATTGCGGGCTGAATATGGCTTCATCAGGTAAGTGCGGAGACCGAAAGCGTCATCGCCCAGGATAAAATAGGGAAAGTCCTGTGTATCATTTGGCAAGGGGTTGGGCGGAGGGAGTCCGATGGACCCATCTTCTAAGCAATCTCTGAGTTCTGACTGGTTGTAGATTTTGGCATCCGACTGACTTCCACAACCACCAACATCTATCCACATGAACTTATAATCGGCATCTACTAGGGCCATAAGGACAATAGAAAAGAAGCCTTTATAATTGTGGTACATGCTTCCAGTTTTTGCAGGCTTTTTAATGGCTACATGCTTTCCATCTAGGGCACCGCAGGAATGTGGGAATGTGGATCCTTAAGCACCATCACCAACGCCTCACAGACGTCTTTCACCAACAAGGAGATTGTATTTTGGGCTACTCGGAATTCATATTGAAGGCTTACATATGAATTTCCTGTTGCCAAATGACGCAAGATAATAGCAAGTTTCATTCCTGGTTGAAGAGCCTTTCTGTAGTTGGTGTCTTGTTTTTTAATGAAGGGGGTGATACGTTCAACAAGTTCGTCAAACATAGGTGGGGTGATCCTCAAAAAGTTATGAAACGTATTTTCATCATTCAGTCGAAGTTCCTCCATCAGCTGATGATAATGTCCTACAGCTATTCTCCTTTCAGGTGTCAGCCAATTCCTCACCCAATACGTTCTTGGTGTTCTATTTTGTCGCGTTACAATCCCATTGTACTCCTGCTCTGCTTCCATCAACAACTGCATATAACCAACGTTCACAATATTAAGGGCTGCAAAGACACCCATGGTTCCCATCGTTCTTGGCAGTTTATTGAAAATCTTCACGTAGAACAGATGTGTATTGCCTGATATATCTTGACCAAATGATGTATGTATGAGAAACGGTCTAACATGCTACATTCTCATATTGTATCGTATTGCGAACGGAGAGGACGTATTAATGACTGTGTGAGAACTACACGGACGTTCTTAGAACTTTATGAGAACCTAGTTTGAACCTTTATAAACGGGAAGGACGTTATTCGGTCGATTTGGGTCTGTCTACGAACAGAATGAACGAGCTAAAAAACGGACTAGAGTGGGGAACTCACGATTGCAATTTACGCCTGACTACACAACGTCGTAATACGTCCCTAGTAAGATTGAAGTACGACACTTCCGTTCGTAGTGTGTCCCCAGTGCGTCCAGGTCGTCTTAAGTACGTTGTCACCCGTTCTGATTGCAGAACGTGACAATCACCAGAAAATTTTGAGCATGCTCCAAGTTCTCGAGGACCTACTCGTTCGAGTACGTTCAAGAAGTTTGTAAACAGATCCTAAACGGTTCTTAGTGGGTTCTTAGTACGTCAAATCCGTTCGTACACAGTTTAAGCCCGTTTCCGAGAACGTAGTGAGAACTAGTTTGGTGTGATAGTAGGGTTACTTAGAGATGAGGAACTGATAAAATAACCCAATTATCGACTTTTTAGTTTAGATGATTATGATGCTGAAATACAATTAGTTATAGCATGGGCTTTCAAAAGTAAACAAAAATGACCAATAAGAATAAGAGGTATCGAGATGTTCTCTTCAAGTATTGCATTATGGGTAATCATTAAAGAACACATTCCAATAAGAACATAATTTGTGGGAGAATGTTCACTTTTTATATTGTCATAATTATGATGAATACCATTTTTATTAAATTATCAACATGTATGTAGATAATCATGTTTTTATTTTTGAGTTATTTCTTTAAATCATCCATAAAAAGTACAAAATAGGATTTTCTTGGAATGTGTGCATTCTCCAATTTTGGAAACCCAAAGGCGTACGAAATATGGGAAGTATGCCTACCCTTCTAGTTGAAAGCCCATGGTTATAGAGATCACAATTTTGAAGTTTCAGTGGTCATTTTAATTCAACAAGTGCATTGGTGAGAGTGCCTTCCAAATGTTTGCCCCAATCACAATCAAGCGAGAGAAGAGAGTACATTAAACATATATTTCACTATGAATGTCCTTTCACAGCTTGCGCCTGGGAACCAGGGCTGGATTATTTTGATGAATTGCTTTCCAAATGATCAGATTAATATTGTATAAAAAACAAGACTAGCTCTATTTGATGTTACACCTGACTGGGTATGTTCTTAAGAAAAGTCTATAAAAACATGATTTATTGAGAAAATCAATAAAAACATGAATAGTTATTCCGCATTCACTATTATGTATAAGGATATATGACATTGGAAAACCAGGGGTTTTTGGCTTTGAAGCTTGACATATGAGGCCATGCAAGGATGGACATGTGTCTAATTTATTTTACAAGTGAATACTCAAATAATCAACACTCTCCTTTAACATTTACTTTTCATTTGGCATTCACCCCCTCTCCCTTAAATTGCCTTAAATTAACTTCATTCTCTTCAACTGATGACAGCTACTATTCAAAACTACAATATTTTTAATCTTTTTCAGGATTCATCTGTGCCTAGTAAATAACTGGATGAAATTTGGTTTAAATACTCACATCTTATCTGAACCTGACATTCCACTCGACAAAGCAGTATCACACCATTCTCCCAGTTTCACCTATAAAGGTAAGTATTCTCTCAGTTTCACCTATAAAGGTAAGCATTCTCCCAGTTTCACCTATAAAGGTAAGTATTCTCTCAGTTTCACCTATAAAGGTAAGCATTCTCCCAGTTTTACCTATAAAGGTAAGCATTCTCCCAGTTTCACCTATAAAGGTAAGCACTCTCCCAGTTTCACCCATAAAGGTAAGCATTCTCCCAGTTTCACCTATAAAGGTAAGCATTCTCCCAGTTTCACCTATAAAGGTGAGCACATTCTCCCAGTTACACTTATAAAGGTAAGCATTCTCCCAGTTTCACCTATAAAGATAAGTAATCTCCCAGTTTCACCTATAAAGGTAAGCAATCTCCCACTTTCACTTATAAAGATAAGTATTCTCCCACTTTCACCTATAAAGGTAAGCAATCTCCCAGTTTCACTTATAAAGATAAGTATTCTCCCACTTTCACCTATAAAGGTAAGCATTCTCCCAGTTTCACTTATAAAGGTAAGCATTCTCCCAGTTACACTTATAAGGAATAAGTATTCTCCCACTTTCACCTATAAAGGTAAGCATTCTCCCAGTTAACCTATAAAGGTAAGCATTCTCCCAGTTACACTTATAAAGGTACACACTCTCCCAGTTTCACCTATAAAGGTAAGCATTCTCCCAGTTAACCTATAAAGGTAAGCATTCTCCCAGTTACACTTATAAAGGTACACACTCTCCCAGTTTCACCTATAAAGGTAAGCATTCTCCCAGTTACACTTATAAAGGTAAGCATTCTCCCAGTTACACTTATAAGGAATAAGTATTCTCCCACTAAAGCTGAACACTCATCCAATTATCGCTTCTGATTCTCTAACCAGTGAACAACTACAGTACCTTGATTGCCAGGTAAAATGAATTTTCCCAAGATAGAAAAAAGCTGCTAATGAAACTCTAATTTTAGATATCTATTCTATAGTAGCGAGGTATTACTTCCGAATGGACGTGGGCATTAAGTCATTCAAATTGGCAACATAGATTAGTCTGAATCCTGATATGCAGATTCAATTTACTAGTCTCAATTTACTGTCTTCTAACTGTCACCTAGAATTGCTTTTTCACACAAAATGACTTCTCACTTTACACAGTTGTTACTGAATTAATAAATGTTATTTTTCAGAGCTTAATTTCCATAATTGTGAATTCACTACAGCAAAACCTGTCTAATCCTTCTTATTGTTAGTGGGACCAGCAAAAGTGTTTGCATTTGTAGGTGTTCATATTTCAAGGTTCTTAATGTTTGAGTCAATGGAAGAACAAAATCAGGACCAAGAAAAAGTGTTTACATTAAGAGGTGTTCTAATCAGAGAGGTGTTCGGATATAGGTTTTAGTGTACGTTTGAAGAGAGGACTGGCATTTAAATACTGTATAAAGATGGATTTGTTCTATTTGAGTTCATCCTATCTTCATAAAAGTAGGATTAACTGAATACTGTAAAACGGGTAATTTTGACACCAGGAAATTTTAGCGATTTTTCAATTTTAGGGGGTTTTAGCGCGGGAAATTTTAGCGAAATGAAGATTAATCTTTAAAAAATCAAATTAGCGAAATGCATAGGTGTATAGATTCTATTATATATATATAGACTTTGATTTTGAAAGTGATCCTTTACTCACTTATGGTACGGGAGAATTTAAGCAATATCATTGGTTGTTGAACCGTGTTCAATTAACACCTTTTATCTTTATATTTACTACTAATACTATTTCACTGATGGATGACTATTTATCCTTCAGATATTGAAAGAAACATACGATTTAAAAATATTTACCTTTTTCAAATTACAAACCGGAAGTAGAGCACTGAACGAAAAGCTCCTTAAATACTAGTATTCATGTAGTTTCCAGGGAATTTGCAAATTTTAGCGCCCGGTTTATTTTAACCCCGGTTTATTTTAGCGAATTGAATTTTTAGCGAAACTATAGCGATCGCTAACAATCGCTAACAATTACCCGTTTTACAGTACACTTTTTATTATGATATGGTAATCAGGTTCAATAAAGTGAGAGAGACATTTGTTCTGGAACAAACCCCCTTAATTTCAGCATTAACAGGTCTCATGTTTAACTTTGACCATGGTAAGTGACTTTCTCTACTTGACTCAATGTTAAACTGTTTGAGCGAGAAAGGGCTTAGTAAATTTCAATGGAGGCAAATTGTTACCCATAATGCATTGCTCTACATTTCAACCAATAAACACCTGATCGTCAATTGTGTTTTTCTTCTGTTTTATCGCACATGTTTATAACACGCTCAATCCCAGTGTAGTGTCATATAAATGAGTATTTGCACATTTCATTCCAGTGCCAAAAAGCATCAGTCTTCCGTCCCCATGCAAGTGGAAAATGACTTACATGCGCTGCCTCCATCTAATGAGAAACTGGCAACATGGGAGATACGTAGTGGAGCCAATATTACGGGGACATAAGGAAAAAGTCTTAGCACTAGATTCTAATGGTACATAATTTTCATTTTATATTATGGTATTTATAATGCAGTCTCAAATGAATACAGTAGAACCTGTGTAAGTGGAACACCCTCCGTTCTGCCAAAAAGCGTTCCACTTAGGAGGTGTTCCACTTACGGAGGTTTTGAGTTCGCGGGGATTTGTAAACACACAAGATCAAACATTGGGTTTATATGTATCATGGAAAATACGATTCTCCGTTCATTGCAGGGCAGCAATATTCCATTAACTATCCATTTGTTTTACTCAAAAAGGTATCTGACATTCGTAATCCTCCTCATTCTGCCAAAAATGTTTTCTGACATTCTTAATCCTCCTCATTCTGCCAGACTCGGGCACAAAGATTTGGCAATTAAGTTTTAAAGACTTGTTCCAACTGCTCATAATTCATTTGTTTTTAACTGACATTCTTAATCTTACTTATCAAGTTTGAAACAAACAGCAAGGGGTATTAATTAGAGGTAGCATCACTTGTCCATCTCTACAGGAGGTTAATCCAATTTGATGAATGATAATCTTATGAAATCCTTATTTGCTAATTATCGAATTAATTAGTGGTAGCATCACATGTTTATCTACAGGAGGTTAATCCAATTTGCTATATGGTAATCTGTTAAAATCCTAATTTGCCAATTATCACGTTATTACCTGTTTTCAAACCCAGATATCACTGGAGGAGGTTAATTCTGTTTACATAAGTATCAATATTCAAATTCATGGAAAGTTGACTGTTCCACTTAGCAGGTTAATTTTCCAATATGGGGTGTTCACTGTTCAAGTTTGGAGGTGTTCCACTTACAGAGGTTCAATTAATATTAAGTCAATGGGTTTTTAAAACGGGACTTTGAAAAAGTGTTCCACTTGCGAGGTGTTCCACTTACGGAGGTGTTCCACTTAGCAGGTTCTACTGTACTTGTTTTTCTCAATCTCAAATTAGTTTTTGTTTTTGTGAAAATTTTCTCTGATTGACAAATGTATGAATGTATTTCTACATTGTCTGAAACTGACTGAAAGATAAATTATATATTAGAAATCTTGACAGAGAGCATGACATATTTATCATCCATTTTTGTTTAACATGGTTGCAAATTACATTTTATGAATAAAACTTGACAGAGATATTCAAACAGATTATTTATCATTGCATAGTCTGACTTTCAAACTACAATAGGAAATGCTGAAACAGGTGGAACGCATAATAGCCAAACATTACATAAAACCTAATCTGAATGGCACTTGATTTGACCAAAAGTGTTTGGATTTGCAAGTGTTCACATGAAAATCTATGGTAGACTATAATTTCTGCAATACATTTGAAGTCACGCTAGTTTTTTTTACGTGACAGAATATGTCACGCAAATACCCATTTTACCTGATTATTGTCAGGCAAAATTATTTCTGTAGAAAAATTTCAAAAAAAACCCATCGCATTTCGTTCTGACTTGTCACGCGGATACAGTATATGTCATATGTTAGGTGTTCCCAAGTTGACAGGCCTGAAAAAGCATTCATAATGAGAGATATTCCGATAAAAAAGGTATACTGATATAAAAGGAATCCGATATAAAAGGTATTCCGATATAAAAGGTATTCCGATATACATGTTTTACTGTAATATAATGCCATTGTAGATACTGTGATTGTCAGTGGTGGAGCTGATTCCCGTCTTAGGATATGGGACATTGAGTCTAGACTCTGCCTACATGACATCCAGGTGCCAAATAATGATGCTATTAATGCAGTGAAAATAATTGTAAGTACATGTACATCACTGTTCCACAGCTGGATGACTCTAACTGCAGTTAGCTTCATTCAAGACGGTTGCCGAAATTAGAGGTTAAACGAAATTGAAAGAAATTTGGCAACCATCTTGAATAAAGCTAACTGCAGTTAGAAATGCTCTCATGTCAGAACATATAGAGTTCTTATATTCACATACAATGCTTAGTATTATAGCTATATCTTAAACTAATTTTGAGATAAGGTTGTCATGGTAACCTGTATTAATCTCTGCTTTCAAACCAATAAAATAAAAGACAATTTTATGTTCCGATTTTTTATTTTTGATGTAATTTGCTACTGTGCTTACACATGTGACTTCAGGAAGACACTATTGCTGCCTTATTTACCACGGCAATTCTAGGAAGACACTGTTGCTGCCTAATTTGACTCTGGTTAATTCAAGAAGACATTATTGCTGCTTAAATTTACTCTTCCCTTTCCAGGAAGACACTATTGCTGCTTAATTTTACTCTGCCCTTTTCAGGAATACACTATTGCTGCTTAATTTTACTTTGCCCTTTTCAGGAAGACACTATTGCTGCTTGATTTTACTCTGCCCTGTTTAGGAAGACACTATTGCTGCTTAATTTTACTCTGCCCTTTTCAGGAAGACACTATCGCTGCTTAATTTTACTCTACCCTTTTCAGGAAGACACTGTTGTAGCAGGCTGCTCAGATGGTAGTATTAAAGTATATAATGCTTACACAGCATCTCTGGTGGCCACTCTCTGGTCTCATATAGGGAGTGTCGATCACATAGCATTTGATGGCAGAACTGTGACCAGTTGTAGTGCAGATAAGTATGCATCAACTTCATTTTAGAAATTTTTAAAGTAATTAATTTCTAAAAAGTTGTAATATGTTTACAGGTTATAGGAAATGTACAATTTTAAATTATGAATTGATTTGATAGTTCGTTCAATATCCCCATATCTTATTCAATCAATCCATTGGCAAAACCTGCTGATAGAATTCATACTGCAGCGAAAGATGCAGAAGCACAATGGGCAATATTTGAAACACACAACACAAATGATACCTATAAAGTTTATTTAAGAAATTATTTTTTTGTGCAAAAGGGTTTATAAATTTAAAAATTGGGATTCTTTATTGTAACAATAATGTTTTAAGTTTGAAATTTCATTTCATTATCTCTTTTTATTTTTATTTATTTAGAACCCTAAAGGTTTGGGATTTGTGTCAAAGTATTGGGAAATTAAAGTACACACTACATGGTCACACAGATGAGATAGAGGTATATGTTACATTTTATTATTGTGGCTTGCTTTTGTGACTTAGATGTTTATTGTGGTAAGGTTCAACGTTACTGAGTGTGTCACAACAATTTTCGAATTTGAATCAAAGACCATTTCAGAATTTTCTCATACGTGTGAATAAAACAACCAGATGAAGACAATTTGAAATAATACTACGATAAAAACTCTGAATATTTGAAAATTTAAACCTTCTCTTTGTGATAAATCTATTTAAAGTAGAACTTCAGTGTCAATCAGCTTTTTTCAAGGAGAAAAATATTCTGATGGATATTAGAATATGTATTGTGAAAATAAGAAAGATTGGCCATTTGGTTATTTCTAAAAACATTATTTTAACCTCTTGACTACCTGGAGTGACGAGATTTACACAAAAATTGTTTTAAAATGTGTAGAAATTTTACTAGGTTGAGTATTTAAAGTTGTAAGTTGTATAGGTATGCAGTAAAATGTCAAAAGGTGGCAAAAATGAAAAATGCTCTGGTTTCAACAGATTTTAGACTCTGGGATTCAAGAGGTTAAACTTACATTGCTTTTCATGTGTTTCTGTGTTTTTTCGTTTAGAAATTATCAGCCATTTTGATAATCATTGTTGCACTTTGCTTGCTGCGTTCTGTTTGTTTTAGATACTCATAATTTAAGAAAATGTTATTAACATATTAAAGGGTCACTCAAATCTGTTATGCTGTGATTGTTTGTTATCTTTTAAAACCTCTTGTTCAAGTTAATGAAATTGTGATTAACCATACGCAATTCACTTGACAGAACATTTTATAACTTATTAAGTACAAGTTGAAATTAATAGATGTGACATGTGATGCAAGGTACAGAATACATTTTTTTATTTTTTTATTTTTTTTTATTGGAATCACTAACAAACATGCTTATACAATTACAGTCAAAATTAAAATACATAAGAATGTCACTAAAGTAACATCAATCCTTATTTTAAGGAATATATATTGTTTTCAGATATTTTTTAAAACACTTATCTAAATCACCTTGGTCATTTCCCCAATCAATGAAAGCTTTATCACCCATGGTCAAGCATATTTTAATTTGAATATTATCGGAAATAAGGCTAGATGACAATTGTTCATTACAGGAATTGATCACATTCAGAAAGAAGTTGGTTCTTTTATTGTCCAAATGAGGACAAACAAACATACAGTGCAGGATAGAGTCCTTGACATTGTTCCTTTGGCCCCATTCAGTCAGTATTCAGACCAAAGCACCCTGATCTTAACAGCATATATTCATGATTTATTTGCACTTGTAATCTTTTATTGATTAATGCCACTCCTCCTTAATTTTATCCAGTTATTTTTTGATAAGTCTATCTTTATTAACATGTAGAAGTGTAACCCTATTTAATTGAGGTTTCATGATTAATGTCATATTTTTTAGGGAACCCCCCTAAATAACTTTAAAATAAATGGCGAGTAAACTTAAGAAAACTATTCACTTATAATTTAAGGAATATAGGTCTAATACACATTCTGTGAAAATTTGAAGACAACTGATTAGGCCATAAGAAGTAGGTTATTTGTTTTGCGTCATGGCAAAATCCTAATCATGCAAGGGTACAAGGAAAACAAACACAAACTCAAGAAAAAACACAAACTTGTTTATGGGCATATAAAGGAATGACATGCCAATTTGCAGTGATTACAAACACATATCTATACATCCTATACAATATATTTAAGCATAGCTATTATTCAAGGGTACAAAATAAGAAAATACACAATGTATGCTAAAGTAATCAATAACACTGTCAATTTTGACGCACATCAAATGATCTGCCATTTCGTCCGATTCTGATTGAATGAAATGCGATGGTACTTTCAAACCCTTGTAATTGTTATTTGTATGTGTTTGTTTTTTCTGATTTACTCAAAATCGTGCAAGCAAGGGGACGCAAAACAGAGAATGTACTTCTTATGGCCTTATTCAAAATATTACTATAGAAAGCATATACCTAAAACACCAATGTGACATTTTACAAGATTTTAGGTACTTTTAGGTAATCTTTTGTCTTTTAATTCTACAATGAATATGTTCTGTGATAATCAATATTGTAGATAATCAATTTTGTAGATAATCAATTTTGTAGATAATCAATTTTGTGGATAATCAACTTAGTCGATACCAAACTGCATGTGAGCAAAGCTTCTTTAACTCATTACCGTAGTAATAATCACCTGTTGCAAGTTTGGGTTCTGAAGCAAGGTAGTAGGGCATAATTCCATATCCTGTTATATTAAACCTGTCGGCTGTATGTTTCCAGGTTGTTTCCCTTGATGCGAAATTGTAGGAAAACTCATATTTCACAATGCCATCAACGTTCCTGAAACACATTTGAGTTGGAGTATTATCAAAGATCATCTAACTTGAAAACAAAAATGTTGTTACTGAAGTCATTACAATACATGGACTTAGTATCTACAGCTTTAAAACTTAATATTGTATTGTACAGCTATCGCTGATGTTTTGAGTATTGGGTATCATGTATTGTAAATTGGGCCCTTAAAAATTTTGGGCGAAAAAAGGCTTTAAGGCCCCAAAAAGTGGGCCTTATTTTTTAATATCAGGCCAAATTTTGAAGAAAATGGGCCTCAAAATTTCAAAATATGGGCCCACTTTTAGGTTTTATTTTTTTCTCTAACCTGAAATTTGGCCCCCCCCCCTGTTGGTTCCCAGATCCGCCCCTGCATCTATGACTGAAATAAAACACATATTTACCTTCCGTCGCTATCTCTAAATGTATATATCCCTATGGCAGTTCCTAAAACAATCTGTGGAAAATATTCCAAGCTCTTCAAACTTTTTATTGTTGAAGTCATTGTAACAAATGAATAAGCATCCAGGATACATTGCTGTTTCCAAGGAAGAACTGTTTTCCAATTGTCGCCAATCTTGAAAGGGTTAACTGAAAGTTGCAATTAGTGAGGAGTTAATTCAAGAATTATGCCTAATGGGTGTAGAACTTCTGCTTGAGAAGGAATTTTCAATATGGCTGTTCAATTCAAAATGGCTGCCATTTTTTATTGAAAACGTAATCTTAAGTAAATCAAATCAAAGTGTAGTAGAGTGACACTCTATTATGACAATTTGGCCAATAGGGCCATTTTCAGAAATGGCAGCCATGGCTGTTCAAGGGAATTTCCTAAGCTTTTTCGTTTCTTTTATCTAGTTAAATATTCCTCAGTGTCATCTGGACAATTAAAAGTTGTTCACATTTTGCAGAACAAAATTAACTTGTCATGTGTGTCAAATTGTGACGATTCTTTTGTCAAGTGTCATGTTTACAAGGTCAAATAATCTACAAATGTAGGTGAGATGATCATAATTTTTGTGAATAAATGATTTGTAGCTGTCATTAAGGATCTATTATAGAAATGCTCAGAATTTTAGATATTTTTTAATCACATCCAAAAAGCACTTTGACTTTACAAATACAATGTAAGGAAGTTCATATCCCAGATTTTGAAATGTGTTTTTAACCTCTTGGCTACCTGGAGTGATGAGATTTCTCATCGCCTCAGAAATGACCTTGAAACCCAGAGTGACGAGAAAATCTGTCACAAAATTTTTCACTAAAATTGCTCTTATTTGAATCCAATTTACACAACAATTGTTTTAAAACGTGTAGAAATGATCTCTGCTGTCCAATTTTACTAAGTTGAGCACCTAAAGTTGTATGATGTATTAAAATGCGAAAAGGTGGAAAAAATGAAAAATTCTCTGGTTTCAACCGATTTTTGAGCCTGGGATTCAAGAGGTTAAGCTTGGGCTACATGAACGAGGGGAAAAGCTGGCAACTGGCTGATATAGTCAGAGTTTTATTAATCTTTGTATAATTGGAGTCTTATCAGTTTTGAATATTTGTAATTTGTTATCAAATGAACTCACTGCATGATGTGTAAGACTCGTCAGATCCATCTAAGCAGTCCACTATGCCATCACAGCCCTATAACAATGTACAAGATAGTATGAATACTTTAAAATATAATCCTGTTTTGTTAATCTGAAACATAGAATCAAATGCTAAAGTCTGATGTGAGAAGCCAAAAGTCACTCAACCTCGAACCCTTGAATCCACAAAAATGTGATCCTGTTTATAATTTATTAATGTGGTGATTGCCTAAATAGTTGATTCAAAGAGATTTTAAAGGCTTCAAACAAATGGGATTCAGATGTTGAAAAGTTTAAAATTATGAAATCATGGATTGGGTCAAACATCATTGAAGTTCCATATTAATTCAATAATATTTAATCCCTTTTAATTGAAAAGGAACACTTTGTCAGTTGAAATGATTATTTTTGAAAGTGAAATTAAATTCTATCTACACTCTGTGGAAACAGAAAACTGGAGGGTAAAGAAAGGTGAAGTAGGTTTTGTTTAAGATTAGTCTAGAAGTTGTGAAAGGTTTCTCACCCATAGTGGATGAATTCATTCTCTTGATTCTGAAGTTGTGAAAGGTTACTCACCCATAGTGGATGAAAACATTCTCCTGATTCTGACGTTGTGAAAGGTTACTCACCAAAAATAATGAATTCATTCTCCTGATTCTGAATTTGTGAATGGTTACTCACCAAAAATAATGGATACATTCTCCTGATTCTGAAGTTGTGAAAGGTTACTCACCAAAAATAATGGATACATTCTCCTGATTCTGAAGTTGTGAAAGGTTACTCACCAAAAATAATGGATACATTCTCCTGATTCTGAAGTTGTGAAAGGTTACTCACCAAAAATAATAGATACATTCTCCTGATTCTGAAGTTGTGAAAGGTTACTCACCAGAAGTGAATGAAAACATTCTCCTGATTCTGACGTTGTGAAAGGTTACTCACCAAAAATAATGAATTCATTCTCCTGATTCTGAATTTGTGAATGGTTACTCACCAAAAATAATGGATACATTCTCCTGATTCTGAAGTTGTGAAAGGTTACTCACCAAAAATAATGGATACATTCTCCTGATTCTGACGTTGTGAAAGGTTACTCACCAAAAATAATGAATTCATTCTCCTGATTCTGAATTTGTGAATGGTTACTCACCAAAAATAATGGATACATTCTCCTGATTCTGAAGTTGTGAAAGGTTACTCACCAAAAATAATGGATACATTCTCCTGATTCTGAAGTTGTGAAAGGTTACTCACCAGAAGTGAATGGATACATTCTCCTGATTCTAAGCAGTGAAACCTGCCCTTTTTTTCACATTGATGTCCTGAAAAGTAATTGATAGAACAACTTTTTGGCTAACGTAATCTTTAATAACTCAAATACCATAAAACGGATTCTGTTCAAATCTAATATCCTGATGGATATGGACAAAGTAGCTCTGTTTGAGAGAGTATCATCAAGATTGAAGCTGAATTTCATAATGCCACCATTTTTTGTGTAAGAATGTTACCTTTGATAACTCAAATACCAATTGACAGATTTGGTTTAAATTTTGTATGTTGTCGCCTAGACACATAGGATCTTTGCTAAAGAAGACATTTCCAGTGGACAGATCTATTTTGGTTCAAATTTTATATTTTGAAGAAAACATAATCTTAGAAGACTCAGTGGATGCAATTGGTTCAAATTTTAGATGCCAGTGTATATATATATGCTCTTAATAATTCAGGAAAAATTTTTCAAGGTGGCCACTTATTTTCAAAATATGTTTTGTTTGGTGGGATCTGCTACTCTGTGGAGTTGCTGTTTTTCTTGTTATAATTTGAAATTATCTCTATAGTGATAGATATGCTTTATTTCATCCCATATATTATAATTGTCTTGAACTGTTTAGCAAGCAACATTTTGTTTAGACTTGACTCATACCTTCTATATATACAGTATCTATTGCATGCTGGCCCTCTCTTTTGGAATTCTTCATTCGCTCAAGATTAAACTGATTGTCTTGTTTTAACTTTAAGTACTTCTCTTCAATTCTAAAATATTCATGGTTATAGAATACTTTTTGTCCATTCTGATACTCAGACCATCTCTGCTTTGCAAAGAATGCTGGAAGGAAACTGATAGGGGACTGAGATATATCATGATGCTTTTTGTCCAAAATTGCATCAATTTTCATGAACTGAGAAGTTATGATTTAGATGATAAAGATGCATTGTCTCTTAGGGTTCTCCCCTGGACAATGGGCAATGACGTCCTAATCAACAGAACAATCCACTTTGAGAATATGAAATGATAGGTGATCGTAAGGAATGTCTAGCAATGATATAATAAAACAAATATTTCATTTCTATGTTCGGACAATACCTGTTGCACTCTCAATGATTTTTGCAGCATGTATTTCCCTCGCCCTCCATAGAGTGAAATATATGCTTAATACCTATTGATAATGGCTTCTTGTGCATCCAGCCTTGGTTTGATGATCTCTGGTGTTATTGGTGTGGTATTTGCACTTAACTTGCAATCGCATGATGCTCTCACTCTCCCGAATTGACAGACACACAACACCAGCAGTAATATAAACCATCCAGCCATTATAGTGATCAGTGATGGTGTTTGGTGCATATGTAGTTCCAATATTTATCACTATTAAACAGTTATTCCCAGGCACCTTTTGGAAGTTTAGAAAATGCCGATGGATGAAAAAGATATTGGCGTCCAAGTATCAGATTCAGTTGACACTTGTATTGTTTTACCAGTTCAGTGTTTGATATCACATTTGTCAAATTTCAAGACATAGCCTTATAACATGAAATTAGATTAGTACATGCCAATCTGTAACAAACTGGAAATTTTGAAACCATCTGACCCTTAATTGACACGAGGTACATCTAACAAGAAGTATATAATATGCTATAAATGAAATATGATTATAACAAATTAATTGTTTTGATACTAGTTTATTTATAGGTTAGTGCAACTTTCTTTCAGTTCATGTATGCATTAGGTAATCTGTCTAGACATACAAAGTGCACAAGTGATTAATAGATGTTAACAGAAATGTTAATAGAAATCATGATTTCAGAAAATTGTATTCTTGAACGTTTTTGGATGATTTCACCGAGAGCATACCTGGACGGAGAGCCTCTCCAAATCTGAAAGTTGTTGATGCTTTCTAAGTACTGAAGTACAACAATCTTTTTCCATTGAACACTCATCTACACAAACAATTACATGGATTCCTCTATTCTTGAGAAAGTTATTCCAAAATTAGTGGATGGTGTTTTTTGTCACCCTTGATAAGTAATGATTAGTTTCTGCAAAAATCTTCTGGAATAAGTTGAAAATTTTCCATTTCTGAAATATTTTATTGAGTTGTCATATGTTTGAACATACCTAAAAACTTATCTCTCTATAGCTATTCTTTTCACCTTAGATTTCAAATATGCAGAGAACACATTTCTTTAAACAGTATTAACACACGAGAATCATAAAAACCTTGTTTATTATAAAATTACAGATAAGAGATAGCAAACATAAGGAAGAAAAACATCGACACATTATTCATGAAAATCTGCTCGTTAACAAATCCATTATGTCAATGCCTGAGAAAAAATGAAACCATTTGGCTAAGAAATTTCTCCAAGAATAATTAGCTTGTTAAAGATTATCTCCCAGTATTACCTAGAAATGTATGCAAAGCTTAGGGATCTCCAAAACAATCCAGCCAATGTTGATTGTGTCAGTCAATATTTCATAACAAAGAACAGATCCAGGATGCAGCTTGATAATTGAGAACAGATAGCTTGAATTTTATGTGTTAAAGATATATGTGAAGCGAAACATCAGGTTATTTCTTTCACAGTGAATCGTTAATTGAAGCAATTTTGTGCAACACCCACTTGAATTTGTGAAAGTAGGCTTGTACCCCCTTGAAAACATTTTTGCACTACTTGAAATTAGAAAAAATTGCATATTTTGACCAGCTCTTGACAAGAATTGAAAAATCTTACGAAAAATCTTAGTGTGAATGCTATATCACACAAATATAGATTCATGAACAATGTTATTGATTGTAAACATTTTTAGGGAGGGCATCATAACACCCTAATTGCTATTTCTAACCGACACACTAAAAAGAAAGAATGGTCATTTAAAAGGAATCGTTGACAACTTTACCACAATTTAGTAGCTTAATTTACCAGTACCTTACTGGATTTCTTTCTAAATTAATTCTTTGATTTATTTTATCTGTGTGTGGCATTGTGATGCTCTGTATTTATATGCTTTTTATTATGTCACCACCAACTTTCGCTTTATTACAACCGTGACTGCTAATATCCCTTTGTTTTTAGAGTCTGTATTTTGTGTTTTAATGTTGCCATTTGTGATTTTTAGCTCATTTGTTTGATGATTCTTGTTTCTCTTGTTACTTTCTGTTACAGCTTACATCTGACTATGTAGATTAAGGTTTATATCAATGTAATGTTACATCAATCTTTTTTAGATTGTAAACTAACAATTCATATATACATATAGATCACTGAAATGATGAATACTTGATTATGAAATATGAAAAATTGAGTTGACATGCTGAGTTAACAACCTCACTAGCCCCAGTGTTTTGACATTCTGATACTGTAGATTGGGTTAATTTGGCGCCCGGTTTAATTTGGCGAATTTGGCGAAATTAAAAAATTCGCCAATATAAATTTTCGCCAAAATTTAGAATGAATCCCCGGGAATCATCTAGGGTATTTCGTCCAGTGTATCTAGGTCACTTCCGGTTTAGTTTTTCCAAAAATATGAGAAATGTCTCTCATAAATTGGATCAGAACTGGTCAGTCACTCATTAATACTCAGGTAAAAACTAGAAAGGAAAAGCGCGGTATAGTAGCATCGATCGAGGTGCAAAATGTAAAGGATGATCTCACAAAAATGCACAAACGTTGAACGTGGTGAATATCGCCAGTGGTCCTCTGAAGAAAAATGAACTTAGCCAAACATGCCCATTTACATGGTAATTCGCAAACAGCGCGTAAGTTTAGATTTTTTTGCATATCCGCCAAATTAAATAGCCGCCAATATGCCAAAAGTAGCAAAATCGCCAAATTAAGTAGCGCCAAATTAACCCAATCTACAGTACTCAGATCATCTCTGCCTTGCAAAGAATTCTTCTAGGATTCTTCACAATGGTGTGTTGGTGATATATTTTGATGAAATTAAGTTCAAATCTTTGCCCTAAGTTCCTAAATGTATCATGCAATTTTTTCAAGTTCTATATACAGAAATCATCTTTTAAGCCCTTTTAAGAAATGTACAACTATTTAGATGTTAAATTTTAATTTTCACGATAACTATATTAAGTTGTCTCTTGTATATCATTCTCTTTGTTGTACTGGAAGACATTCTAATGAGACCTCTGTCAAATGTGAAGACCTACAGTTTAATCTGTATTATCTTGACTGTACATGTATCTAAGTTTCTTCTGTTTTCAGTTCTTATCAACCCACAAGGACCTTGCTGTAACTGGTTCATGGGATCGACTCCTTATAATGTGGGATATCAGTAAAGGCGTACTAGTCTGCACTCTGTCAGGGCACACAGAAGGTACGACTCCAATTTTATCTATTTAACCCAATTAGATATTTTCAATATTATTTTGGTGTTATTCATATGTTTCAGTTCGTCAATTCCTACATGATTCATGTTTCACTGGCATATGTTGTACATGTCTTGGTTGTAACATGCTTCATGGGTAACATATGCTTAATGTTAACATTTGTGGTAACATGCTTTTGTGGTCATTGATTGTGTTACATGCCTTTTGTGACAATAAACAAAAAATGTCAGTGGCAACCTTTACATACACTAGTACTGTGTTTGAATGTAACAATATTATAATAATAATTCTTCAATGATTATGTTCTTCAGTTGTTTCATACTTTTGTAGTTAAGGTAGTTAGATATTTGATTTGAGTAGATTCTGGCATCTATGACATGCTTGAATGGTAACATGCCTCAATGATGACGTGTCTCAACATTTACATGTTTCAGTGGTAACATGCCTCAGGAATGACATGTCTCAACATTTACATGTTTCAGTGGTAACATGCCTCAGGAATGACATGTCTCAACATTTACATGTTTCAGTGGTAACATGCCTCAGGAATGACATGTGTCAACATTTACATGTTTCAGTGGTAACATGCCTTAGGAATGACATGTCTCAACATTTACATGTTTCAGTGGTAACATGGCTCGGGAATGACATGTCTCAACATTTACATGTTTCAGTGGTAACATGCCTCAATGATGACATGCCTCAACATTTACATGTTTCAGTGGTGACCTGTTGCCAGTTTGACAACTACCAGCTTGTCAGTGGGAGTGCAGATGGCACAGTTAGAATCTGGAGTACAAATAGTGGAAAATGCAAGCGCACATTGACTGGTCATCTGGGGGAAGTGGTAAGTTAGTCGTTCATGTACAAATGTTCTTAAAATGTATAGCAAACCTTCCTAGTGTACCAACATTGAGATTTGAGATGGCTCTGAGTATGATTTGAATTGTATTATATATGTATATTGTATGTCTACTTATTGGTCTCTAATTTCAATGATTTTCAGTATTGTGTGGTGTACAATGAAAGTGTTATAGCATCTGGCTCCTCAGACAGTACTGTCAAAATATGGGACTTCTCAGGTATGGATTAACCTTACCCTTTATCTGTTATATTTATTTGGATTAACCTTACCCTTTATCTGTTATATTTATAAGTACTAAATACAAGTATAGAATATAATTTTCTTAATCAATTTGATTAAAAAACATAAATTATTAGCACTTATTAAACCACATGTTCACTGCTACAGAGTAAGATTAAAATACTTGTGTGAGTATAATAATAAAATATTTATTGTATTACCCTAGATTTAGCTTCATGTAAATACCTGAATCCAAAGTCCTGGTACATCAATGGGTATGAGCTGATAATTGTCATCGATTTCTTTTTTAGGCAAATGTATTCACACCCTGGGTGAACATCTGGGGGTCGTCCGCTGTCTTTATATAGATGACTATAAGCTAATCAGTGGAGGGGATGCAAAGAAACTAATGGTCTGGAATTATAAGGTATTATACGTAATTCTTGAACGAAATGAATAATATATAAGGGTTATGTACTGGGAGGTTTTTGATACAGGGTTTAACCCTGCGGTCCCTCGGGAGATACACATATTTCCTGCGGGATAAACCCTGTTTCCAAAACCGAAAAAAATATGAAAAAAATTTTTGACAAAAAATTGTTAAAAAAATTTTAAAAAAATTAAAAAAAAATATTTTTGAAAAAAAAATTAGCGTGTATCCATCCCGGTCACGGGCCGGGTGATAGCTCCCTAGATTCACAATATATTCCCGCTCGTTATGTACCTAGAACCTCAGTAGAATTATTTTGTGTTATGTTTTGTGACCTTGATTTGGCGTCTTATTTGAATTGAAGACAATATTTGGAAATTCTTTTCTAAGAATGTTCTAATATATTAAGCCTCTAAAAGTTCCACCAAACCATCAACCCATATGGTACAGAAATACACTTATGGACTATGGAAAGACAAATGGACAGATTGGTGGCTTCTTTTTATCTCTACCCAAACTTTTTTGAAATAAACATTTGCTAATTTGAATCTACAACTGAGCATCTTTCTTTCTTTTTCTTTTTTGTTTCACCACCAGCATTCATAGTCTCTGACTTTTTGTATTCAGCGTTTGATGGCCAGCATTTGGTGATCAGCTTTCAGTGTTTGGCGGTCAGAGTCTGTAACAAATGGCAGGTGGTTATTACATTTTGTTAATGATTTCCTTGTTCTCTTTCAGACTGGAGAACTTTTCAACATAATACATAGACAACCTACACTGCTCCATCTAATGTTGGTAACAGATACTAAACTTGTGACGGCATCTCCAGAAAGACCAGGGACAATCACCATGCTTTCGTATTGGAAGTAGCCATTCCGAAACAATGATGATTACCCCCTTCGCTTTCATCATACTGTTGAGTAGTAGCCACAAGCCAAATTTCAGGAACAATCATTTGACTGTTATATAACGGAATGAATGTATTTTGGAAACTCTACAAGACCAATCTGTAACAGTACCAACTGTACCATTTTGGCAATTATACGGTACTGTGAAATATGGTACTGTACGGTACCGTAGACTAAAACGGTACCGTACGATACCTTGGACACTGCACAGCATCATACTCAAATGGTACCATGTGGTACAATATTTCAAGTGAGTGTTGCGAGTATTGATTTAAACAATGAGTGTAACAAATGACTGAGTTGTAACGGCAGTGAGTGCACTGAATGACAGCGAATGGATCAGATGACAGCAAGTGTAGCAAACATAGACTTTATGAGTGCATCGAATGACAATCGTTTAGTTACACTATTTTGTTGATTATTATGATATCATAAGACAGTATTATATTTCCAGAAATATATCATTTTAGTTGAATTTGTTGTAAATATATTTTTATACTGAATGGAAATCATTGTTACTGTACCTTATTATCTAACAATGAAAAGATGAATGAGTCGTGGCTAACACATTGTACATTTTTCATTGCATGACGACAAAATGCAGATCTTGAATAGAAGATGGATAAAAAACATGAAAAAGCCATGTTTGCAAGTGCTCTTTTATCTATCTCTAGATTTTAAGGACTGCCCAGCCAAATGTACAGGAACCACCAGAGAGGAATATCCCAGCATCTTTCTGTCATGTGACCTGTTTTTGGTCAATCAGAGAATGAGTAACATGAAACAGAGATAACAAACAATATGATCTTTTTAACCAAATTCAAGAACATAACACATACTATTTTTTTTAATTTAAATATATTTTCCTCCAGGATATCATTGGCCTTCTTACAATGAAATACAATTTTCAAAACAATAATTCTTTTAATCTTTAACTTTACACTGGATATGGTCAAATTCTTTATGGACTACATTGACTCTATCCAGCACTTTTATCTAATTTTTACTCAAACCAGATATAAAGTTTCAAATAGTAAGTTGTTCATGTTTGGCCTATCACTTCATTTGCATTATTTTTTGAAGGAAGTGACCCATGCATTGACGATTGACATCTTTTACATGAAATCACTTATTGTGACAAGTTGTATATGAAATCAGTTTTCACACAATACAATGAACTATAATATTCTCCATAGAGAACAATACTAATGTGGTTGCATACTAGCCTAGAGGTATAATACTGAATCATGTGCAAATATGAATCTAGTCTTAGGCAAAGCACCAAAAATGGCTCATTAAGAGGTCCCTGGGGGATCATGGGGTCACAATAAGGTATACAGTACCAAAACAAATAAATGTATACAAGAAGGCATTTACATGACAAAATCTCACCATCAAGCTACAATTTCATAAGGATTGTTACGAACACCAAATGCTCACATCAAACAGCGTATCCCAGTCGCACCAAGAAGGTACATGTAGTTGTAAAAATGGTGACATCATAATGGTTTATGACACCACATATTTTTATTTTAATTCATAACATTCTCCATCAATGTCAATTGTTAAATCTATCAGTAATAATAACAACTTAAGCAAAGTTGCAAAAAATCCAATGACCCCCAATGGACCCCCATGCAGATTTTGGGGCTCTGCACAAGACTAAATCTAATATCTTTTAATAACAATACATTATGCAATCAGAGCAATGATAATACTTTGAGATCACAATCTTAACCAACCCATATAAATATAATACAATTTACAATAATTCATGCATTGTATACAATATAATGCATGCATGTACTGCACATGACGTATGCCAGTCTTTCAATTCTGCGTCCCAATAATTTAATTTGGACGGATTTTTCACAAAAGTGTTTTCTAAAATCTGTAGATATTGAGATTGGAATTCTAAGTTTGTATGGTTAATATTGGAAAAATATCTCGATACCATTGAAAAGCAATGATGGTTTTCTATGGCAAAAGTAAAGCTAACTAGACTAAAAGAGTGATATACCAGTGGAAAGGAGGAACATGCCATTTTGCAACTGTAAGACTGAAAGTCTCGCAAATAAGAATAATTAAGGCATTTTAAACTGTTAAAAGCATTATTTGTACTCATACCGTACATCTAATTTTCTGCAATTAATTTAAATGCATCAGCCTGTCTAAACATGAAAAATATATTCCATTAGGCTGAAGAATAAATACCTATTTCTTTTAAAAATGGATTTTTAATTACAATTTTTCCAATATCTTTGATAAATGAACATTCTTTTTTTAAAAGAATATTTGCAAAAATTCAAAATATTAACAACTTATCAACCTATTAAATGTTTGCTTTTTTCTGACAATTCTAACTTTTCAATGGTATATCAAGATCTGAAGAACAAAATCACCAAAACAAAGTTCATTTTGCTTCTTACAGAGTCCCTCGAATATAAGGTTCTTTGCACAATATATACATAACACACACATAAAATAGACCATTCAGCATCACATTACCAAGTACTTGACTATATCATTCCTCATACATAATACTATACACTATTTTTGAAATGTAATATTACATATTTCATATGTACATTGAAGCATTACCATCTGAATAATATATTAATCTATATTACGATTCAGTTATATTTTATGATTCTGTTAGACGTCATGTGTCTTAATTCTTAATAAATAAATTAGAATCAACAGTTCAACAACAGGTCACCGTAAAATACATGTAGGTTAAATAACTCTTGAATTTCATTTTTCTTCAAAATGATGGATTTCATCTCACAACTAAAAAAGAGTTCCATAGAATTCACCAGGAATAAATGTCCTAGATTTAACAGATTGTTCAGAAACAACAGGCAACATGTGATTTTCTCTCAACTGTTTTTCCCAAAAGCAACTGTTGTTTGGAGGAATTCTGCAATAGTTTCGATGCTACATTATAATGTCTAATAATTTTGACTATAGTTTTTTTCATTTTGCCTGTTTCTAATGAACAGTCTCTTGTGTAGTATAGAATCTTTAGCATAAACAGAAATTCAGAATTGAGGACAAGCATTATCTTCAAGCCCATCCCAGAGAATGAACATTTCATTTAATAAGAATAAAATAATTGTTTCCATAAATACAACCTATGCAAGTATATCATATAGGCCTATATCACATTAAAACTCATGTATCTCAAAACTTGTATGCTAGAAGGAGCCTGTATTAATATCATATAGAACCCTATAAAGAAGACTTGTTTTAACATAAAATACCAAGACAGCGCACATTTTGAAAAATAGCGATAAAATTACTTGCTATTTTCTTTATCTTAAAACAATAAGTAGTCATGTGAGTAAATAAGATTATTTTGACCATGTGGATGGTTTGTTGTGAACATCACAGTATTTTGTCCCAAAATTTATTTAAAATAAACTACATCTCATTCACCTCAAATTTAGTTTACTGTAACCTACTAGTTATTAAGCTAGATTTCCTGTGTACTCAAATTAATTGATGGTAAACTAGTGATATTCTACCCTAATATGTAGTCTAGAGTTACTTTTCCCTCATGTTTTAATATGTAATATAAGACTTATAATGCTGTCCTCATAAAAAATTTATTGTAAAATAAAGTCACTTTGTCCTAATAAATTTCATCAAATTCAAGTTAAAATCAGTATGAAAAAGACTCGTGACCAAGTAAGTTCAGAATGTAAATATAAACCTAGCTTTGTCTTTCCACACATCATCAATTTATCTAAAGCATTAGCGTTATATATATTTTGACTGAGTGAAGCCATACTCAAAGCACTACTCAAAAGCCAGTTTTAAGTATATTTGTGTATCATAAGCTTTTTGCATAGACCTTTTACAAATGCAATGCTATTATATGAGTCTATACAGTCTATAATAATGATAATACTATTCTTAGATTGTACATATATTCAACATGTACATGTCTTATGTTCTGTCCACCAATTCAGCTCTTCTCAGCATATCTATGCTTTCACTTTTTTCTTTTTTCATTCTGTGTCTTATTTGGCTTAACTCATGTCTAATTTTGGCTTAACTCATATGTCATATTTTGGCTTAACTCATATGTGCTTCAACAGGTCTTTAATTCTGTATGCACGTCATCCTCAAGAAACCAATTATTTCCTCATATATGAGATTCGACATTGTTTATAATGTTAAATTAACCACCAGTCAAATCATACCAACTCCAATCTAATCCTATCAGCCATTAAAACATCCTTCCAGATGTAGTTCGCGATATAACACTGTCCTAGAGTACAGCACAGTTAGGCAATTACAATCTTGGATTGTTGATTTTACAATCGTGTATTGTAAAATAACATGCCAACATAGCAGGTTCATAATCCAGTATTGTCCATTAATTTCTGAATCCTTGACGCTTCTCGATCGTAAAAGATGTAAAATAAAATAATTCCAATATCCTAGATTTCCTTAATGCTACCTCTCGTCTATGAGATCTTTCAAAGTTTGGAGTTGCCTTGGATTCAAATGTGTTGATCCCGCATCTATAAGTCCTTGGCCCATTTCCACATGTAGGGCTTTGATTAGTTTAACCATCATTGTCTTTGTATTACTCGCACCAGAAGCTATCAGCTTCCACACCAACGGGAGGACGTGCATTGCAACCTGGGCTCGCTTTCTCGTATAAATAGTTGGTATCAAATCTGGAAATAATGAATAACACAGTTGTACTATTAAAATCTGGCAAAAAAGTTTTAAGGAAATCACCTCTAGAGTAAAAATTGCCTTTGGGTTTGAAAGTGCTTAACATAAATAGTTTAGAACAAGATGAGCATATGAATTGCGGAAGTAAAACATGATATTATTAAGTTACTCTAGAAGTAATACATTGCCCAAGGTTTGACAGACATTATCCAAGGTTTGAAAGACATTGTCCATGGTTAGAAAGACACTGTCCGTGGTTAGAAAGACACTGTCTAAGGTTAGAAAGACACCGCCCATGGTTAGAAAGACACTGTCCATGGTTAGAAAGACACCAACCATGATTCGAAAGACACTGTCCATAGTTAGAAAGAAAGCTGTAGTGGATAAAAAATGATTACTTACTTGCAAGTTTCTCAATCATATCTGGTTTGATGCGCAGATTGTCAGAGCTTGCTTGGTTGACAAATGGTTGTAAGAGTATAGCACCATCTGAAAAAAGGCATTACATTAATAAAGTCAAGACATTATGGATAAATAGTCAAGTCATTATTGATATATAGTCAATACATTCTTGATATATAGTCAAGACATTATGGATAAATAGTCGAGACAGTATGGATAAATAGTCAAGACATTATGGATAAATAGTCAAGACATTATTGATACAAAGTCAATACATTCTTGATATATAGTCAAGACATTATGGATAAATAGTCGAGACAGTATGGATAAATAGTTATTATTATTATTAAAATAGTTTATTATAGTGTCACTATAATATGGCAAATTATTATACTGCAGTCAACCGTTCCAGGTCAAATTGCCTTTTCATGAACATTTTGTATAACAGAGCAGCCCACTGTCTCTGAATTGATCTTGAATGCATTAGGCTTATAAATAAAAGTAACTCATTGTCAGTGTTTGTTCTTATATGTGGTGTTAAAATATCAGTTACAGATCTATAAAAATGTGTTCTCAAGTTGGAATAATGTTTACATTGGACAGCAAAATGAATTTCATCTTCAACAAAGTTACCATCACATAATTTACATGTACGATCATTTAGTGCTGTATTTGACCAACGACCTGTCTCAATGTGAAGTGGGAGGCTACCTGTTCTCAGTCTAGCAAGAATGGTTCTGTGATGCCTTGGAATGTATTCAGACACATATGGTTCATTAACTACTCCATATTTAAACAATCTGTATGTTCGAAGCTTATTGCCATTTTGTAAATTATTTGTATCATCCCAAATGTTTTTTAAGAAGGGGTCTTTTGCATTGAAACTGTCCTGTAAACGTTTTACAGTTGATTTTATATGCAAGAAAATATTATGATCAATAAAAATGCCATTCTTAGTCAGCATAGCTTTAGTGTGATAGTCCCAACTTCTTTTGTTTTTTAATGACCATCTATGTACCTTATGATTCAATCTATTATTGTCCATGTTATGTAACCTCAGGTATTGTCGAGCGCATTCCACTCTTTGTTTATCAATTAGGGGACTCCATCCAAGGTCCCCACGGACTGCTTCATTACTGGTTTTAGGGCTAACTCCCAGGAATGTTTTACCAGCACGATTTTGGAGATTATTGAGACATCTATGCTCCCTGAGGCCAACAATAGCACTGCCATAGTTTATCACTGGTTGGACGAGGGAATCATAAAGCTTAGAGAACACTTTAAAGTCCATTCCGCCAGTGGCCTTTGCTTTAGTTGTTATTGCACCCAGGGCCCTTGAGGCTGATTTGGCAATTTCATGAGCAATGATTTTTGAGTCTAAATGTTCTTCTAGCCACACTCCAAGATATTTGTACTTTGATGAATATTCAATGTTATGTTGGCCACACGTAAATGCAAAGTCTGATTGTAGTTGGGAGGGGGGCCTATAATGCACAATTTTTGTTTTACTTAGGTTCATAGACAGCCTCCATTTTCGACACCATTCATTCACCTTATTTAGCATGTGTTGTAAGTCTTGAGGGGTGGGTGCTATAAGGGCAATATCATCGGCATAGAGTAATATTCCTACGTTAATTTCATCAATAGTAATTCCACATCTCAATTGTTTCACATCTGTTGCTAAATCATTAATGTAAATGGAGAACAGGGTCGGAGAAAGCAGACAGCCCTCCTTACATCCATTGGATACCTTGAATTTAGGGGTTAGCAAGCCATTAATCCTCACAGAGCAGGTCACATCTTGATACAGGGACTGGACAGCCTTAAAGATCCTACCCTTTACTCCGATCTTATTGAGTTTGAACCACAAGCAGTCACGATTAATACTACAGAACGCTTTCGTCATATCAATGAAACAAACATAAGTGTCCTGTTTTGCTAGTTTTCGATTGTTTACAATTGAATACAGAGTATGAATCTGATCACGACAGCTCCTTTTTTCTCGAAACCCATTTTGTTCTTCAACTAAGAGGGAATTTATTTCCAGGAAATTTGTCAGTCTTTTATTCAGCACGTCACAATATATTTTGCTTGGAACGGATACTAAAGTGATAGCTCTATAATGCAGAGGATTCCTTGTATCTCCTTCTTTAAATATAGGATTAATTATTCCTTCCATCCATTGATCTGGCACAATGCCAGATTCAAAGCATTCCTGTATTATATTATGCAATAAGGTTATACAATGAGGGTTTTTAAGAGTTTCTGCCGGAATAGAATCTATCCCTACTGCTTTCCGAAGCTTTGCTCGTGAGATGGCTTCCGCTACTTCCTGGAGGGATATGTTACGATTGAGAGATTCATCCTCATTGTCATTTTCAAAGTTATTATTACGTGCATTATGCTCTTGAATGTTTTTTAAGTGGTTATCATCATATTTCCTGTTGTTGTCAATTTTAATAGAGTAAAGCTTTTGGAATGTATCAGCCCATTTATTTAGGACTTGTTGTTTCTCTGTGTAAATAACGCCAGCATCATCAGCAAATTCCCATGGGATATGTTGTTTTCTGTCATTTGACATGCCAAGCCTACCTATCTGACGCCAGAAGTCTCTTGAGTTCACCTCGTTATGTAAGTCTAGCAGATGTTGTTGCTCCTGTTTTTGATAAGCCCGCTTATATTTCCTGTGTAGCCTGTCAAAATGTCTCCGCTCGATACAATATACTTTTTTGAGATTACTTTTCTGCTTTGTGTCCTTACAGTTAAGCCAATGTTTCTCAGCTTTGTCAGTTATATTACACTGTATTTGTAAGGTTTCATTCCAGTAAGGTTTTTTAAAAGATTTTGCTCTCTTGTGATTATTTGACTTCACAGATATTTTGGCAAATACTCGATTCATTTCACTATTAATCACATTTACAAATTCACCATAAATAGTATTGATTCGCTGTTTTTTATTTGCGATTCTCTCAAGACCATTGATAGTATCCATGACCTTGTTAAGAAGACTTTCATTCTGCATGAAATCAACCGGGGTAGGTCCCACCTTAAAGCGAGTATTATTGACATCTTGTTCTGATATATCACATAGGGTAATTTCAGTATGGATTTCAAGTGAACACTTTAAGATAGAATGGTCAGGGGTACACTGGGGTGTATTCATGTTGAATTCCTGTATAATATCTGATAATCTCAGTACAATAGTCAAGATATTATGAATAAATAGTCAAGACACTGTTACTCTAGCCAAGACAATCAAACATTTCTAACACTACACAAGTCAAATTCACTTCTCTTTTTTGAAATTCATTTTCAAATCATCAAAAGTGTGGGTAAATTGAAAATGTTATAAATGGAGTTTTATTCTCTTCTGAACGCTATCATGTCTCAACATATCACTTAAAATTTAACAAATGCAATATAGCTTATATACCTAATTGTTCCACCAAAACATTTAATATGATTTTGGCTTTTTCTGAGATTTCTTTGTTGTTTGAGGCCATGTTACTGGCAACCACACCAACAACTTGGTTGACCACTTGGCCCACTAGGACGTCACGTAGCATTGGTATTAGCTCCAGGAACGTCGTCAGGGCAGATATGTTCACCTTGCTGTTTGAGTCATTCAAGCGCGGTATAAATTTGTCAAAAATCTGGAAATAGAATACAGAGGCAGATGCAGTTTTTACTATCTGCAAATTTTGTTGAAACATTCAGTTGTATTGATAACTCAATCGATGTCGTGTAACATGCCAATTTTACAAATTATGTGAAGACAAATATTGACAAATTCAAAGGCAGTATTGAAGTATTAAAAAGTAGATATGGGTTGGGTGCTGGTTAGAACAACTTGACTGCTATATGAGGTACATGTACTTTGACTATGAGTCGGTGGTCTGATGGAAAAATGATTGGGTGAAAAAATGTTTATTTTGAGAGGAGTAAATAGTGGCCAACGTGTCAAAATTCGTTCACAACCAATGATACACTCTAAACTCAGGGATTGATTGACTGCTGGATCAGGCTGACCACAAATAGAACCAATAATTATTCTATGGATCATTCAATCTACCCTAATATTAAACCTTATGAAATAGTACCTTGACTGAGTGAGCATTCAGGACATCAGGCTGCTCCTCAGCTAGTCTCCTGAACTCCATAATGCCATTATTCCTTTCCCTATAGTCATTATTACTGAGCATGGTACATATATCTTTCACCATATCTTGAATGTCTTCAGAGTTGTAGTTCAAGCGACGTTTACTGGATGTTGAACTTGAAGGTGTGGCACTCGCTGTACTCTCCAACATGGAGCTGTAAAATCAGAAAATGAATTGTATGTAACCCTGTAGTTAAATTTTAAGCCATTGTTATTTTCTAAAAAAAACAGACACTTTCGGAATTTTTGAATGCTGGACAGTATATTAAAAATGATAATAACTTAATATAAATAGATATAATATTTCTAAAACTGCTTGCCTATTTGGCACATTTGTTTTACTTGCATTTAAACTTTTAATAATATAGACAAAATACAACACACACATATGTTTGAAAAAAATACAAATTGCATGCAGGGGAGGGGTTTCATAACATCTATCATAAATAATACAAGGGATTATCATGCAAAATGTCAACCTGCCATTAGTTACAGATGCTGAATGCCGAACACCAACCTCCGCCACAAAAAAGTTGGAGACTAAAAATATGTCTCCACTTGAAGTGATGACATCAAAATTATGTACAAATGGAATTATAAAATGGAGAATCATTTGGGAAAATTTTGCATGGATGACGGCAGTTATCCTTTTTGGATGTTATATACCATAATGGCATATTGAATGAATGTAATCAGTTCTACGTTATAATGGTTAAAGGCAAAATCAGATCCAGCAAGTATCCATCATTTTCTTTATCATGATCTTGACGAAAAATTGTTTCAATTTTAGAATATTTTGAGCTCATACCATTCCTTGTCATGTCTATCTTCTAAAAATGCCCAAAGTGTAAACTTCATTTGAGGAAAACTTAGATTTTTATAATAATGCATTAAACATAACTTATGATATCTGGCGTTTTCTTTTTCAAATACCACTCTTTGTGCTTTCTTGTCATCCCTATTGTATTTCCCAATATGACAACATAACAGAGAAGGAAACTATTCATGCATCTCTAAGGGAGGACACTCATTATAAAATGCTGTTTATTTATTCTATAATGCCCTGCTCCGATTTTTAGTCCTGGCGCCAGTAGCCAATGAGTATTCTGTTCAAAAATTGCATTAAGTTTTGAACAAAGTACTCATCGCCTGGCTGTCGGCGTTGAAGATCAGAGCAAATGTGACCATGGCATAATACAATGTAAAATATCTAGGAAGTACACTCATTATTTACAGAATCTCAAAATCAACTTCAATGACCACTTCCGGTTCAAGCAGGTAGAAGTTGACTGTTGGGTAGACTATACATGCTCTTCTAGGGAGAACACTCATTAATACAGTGCTGTTTATTATAAAAATGGTAAAGGAGGGGGGTGTGCAATAATCAGAACTGCATGTGTAGTAGGGGGAGGGAGGTGAATAAACAGCACTGCATGTACAGCATCAGGCAGGTATGCAGGCAGGCAGATTCTTAAAAATCTACATACTTTGGAAATTCAATAGACTTTTTACGAATTCTATACGAGCCTCTTCTGCTACAATAAATGAAAATCAAGGTTTATGGTGAAGAGTGGTAAGAAGTTACATAGGGGTGATATCTTTGGGATCATGTCAATCATTCAATGACTGCTTTCAAGCACAAGTTCATTTAATTAAAAACATCTTTGACAGAATAAGTGAGAGGATTTTGATATGATCCTTTAGATGGTAGTCCATGAATTGTATGATGTGGTTACAATCACTACAGTTATACGAGTCACAATCAGTACAAGGTCACTGAAAATTACATCTTGTGATCAATAGAATGTGTTAGAGCTATTGCTAGTGTTATACAAAATAATACTTTGTGTTCAATATAGCATCAACTGAGTTAAATTAAACAATAAGGCATTTATGAATTAGATGTCTGTTTAACAAAACAAACTAAGACATTCCCAGTCAAATCTCCAAAATTGAAGTTGGCCATTTGTCTTTAATCTGCTAAACAGACAGTTAACTTTAGAGATAATGTTACTTGACTGTTCCACAACATTTGATGACCAGAAGGAGGGAGCTTTCATTAAGTTAGTTTTGGGACTGGGAGTCAAAACTATTGATTATTTGACCCATGACAGATAATTAAAATACAATTCAATAAAGTAACCTTAAGTTTGTTGACATAAATGAAATAACTTAGCAAAGCATACCTTCCAGCAGAACTGCCACGTGACCTTGACCCTTGTCCTGACCTCCTAGGTTTAGCAGAGGGCGTGTCAGTAGGTTTGTCACCAAGTCCTTTACTCCTGATACCATCAACTACATCCTTCACAGTGCGGATATTGCTAGTCACATATTTGTTTAACATTTTATCAAAGTCTTGATGGGACATTAGTATCTGGAATATTTTCCTGCCATACCACCTGAAATGTTCAATAGATGGCGATGATGTATATACAATATAAATGAATGACGTGTATTTACAAGTTAACTTGATGATTGCTGCAAATATTTCCTACAATTCAATTTAATATCTGAAAGTAAAGTTTCTCTATAAGTAAACTTTCCATACTGAAAGTGTTGTTTTTTATTGCAAGTATTTTTTATTCTAATAGTAATATTTTGTTTCTGAGGTATATTTTCCTTCTAAAAGTAACATGAAGCTGTTCAACACTGAAATACCAATTAAGACTTTTGTAACATTTCAATGCTTTAGTGGACTTTCGCTCTTCCTAAAAATACATTTGCATAACAATGAAGAACAAAGAGAGAACAGTGGATGGGCCCATACTAAATATGGAACATACTTAGTATATACATACCTGGTTTCTGGAGAGTTGTCCACCACAAAGCTAGCTGCTGTCAGGAGCACTTTATCAGTGACATCTTTTATCCCTGACATGCAACGTCCAGGTCCCATCTTCTCAATAACAACTATGAGATGCTGGGCAGCTGTTTTACGAACCACCATGTTTTTATGGCTGCAACCCCCAGCCACTAGAGCCACAAGAGCACGCTGGCTGGTGACATTTTCAACCATCTGAGTGAGGGCTTTATCTACATCCTCTCGTATAAAACTGTTGCTGTCTCCATTTTTGTTCAATAGGACTTTCACTGTATTGTCTAAGTCCTGTAAAATAATTCATAAATTCTGATAAAACATTCACAGAACTGAATTTTTTTTGGAACAGGAAAGTATTATCCATTTAATAACCAACAAAACCTATTATAGGATGGAAATCTTGGATCATATTGAGCATGATTTGGGTAGTTGTAAGGCCATATACATGATATCTAGGACATTCTGAACTGAACATTGGGTCATAACACTAACAACAGGACAGCATGTAATTCTAAGATTTTCAACTCTGTCAACTCTGAAGCTTGGGAGATCACTGGATAGATACATATACAAAGGGGTACTTACTGCATCCATGCATTTCTTGAGATTTGCAAAACAATCTCCAACAGCTGCAATTGCCAATCTGGACACCTGCGACCTCAAATTACGCACCTACAACATTTACAGGGTATCAATTATTTGACAAGTCATCACCCCCAAAACAAATAAGTTTGACATACTCAAGATAAGTAACCTAAAGCTTTGAATGTTTTCGCAGTGACTGCATTTGTACAGTACAAACATGGCTAGATAATTGGTATGTCTTTTTATATAATTTCCGAAGGAAACAAATTATATTACAGAAGAAACTTCAATGATGAACACATAAGTGTCATCATAAATTTCTTTAATTACTCAATATACTGCAGATGATGTTAAAATAGGAAAACAAAGTTATGATTTAACTTGGGATTACCACTTACCTCAGCAGTAAGCTTTAGGAGAACATCATGTAATTTAGGGATAACTACATCAGGGTGGTGGAGTGCTAGCCTACGTATGTTGTTGATACTTTCACACTTAATTTCCCTGGAAAACAGTATTCAAATATTTCAACGGAAACTCACAAAATGAATTATGGCATGCAGCGTTATTTCATCCAATTTAAAAATTTGACCCACTTTAAGGTTTCAAATAAGCATTTTTTTCTTTCTGCGGAGCTTTTGAATAAATACCATTCTTCAGTGCATAACCTTTGAACTATTTGTCGACGGCAATATGACTTTTGGAAGGTTTCTAAATTAAGAATGTGACGTCACTTCCGAATTATAGCATTCAACATAAGTAGTGTTTAATTACTCCCTTATTCATAAAAACTTGGTAGACTTGCGGTAGAATGCTCGCTCAGCACGCATGTAAAAACAATATATGGCAACATATTGCGTTTTGGAGCGATGTGCTGTTTAAAATAACCCAAATATGAATATCAATTATTAAATACCAATCTTCATTGTTGATTCCCTTCATTGCATCATTCATAACATTGCTAGGGTTGTTACATGGAGTGAGTTCTTCTTCATCTTTTGCATATGGTGATGCACCAGTTCCTGATCCAATACGCTTCTCATAGCTTGGAGAAAACTCTGGTGGACTGTAATCAAAGTTGAAATTAAAGAAGATTGCTATATGGAAATTCCATGACTACTGGAGGGTTGATTCAAAGCTTGGAGGAAACTCTGGCGGACTGGACAAAAACAAGTGAAAATTAAGTGAAAATTAGGGAAGGTGGAATTGTAATGTTACATGAAAGTTCCATGACTACAGTAGGGTTGAAAATGTGATTGCAAAAATTCTAAATATTCACACTCAGTCAATTTCCTAACAGGTAAAAGTTGTTTTTTTTAATTCAAATTATCTTTGGTGTAATACAAAATTAACATACGATTTTGTTTTTCTTCGTGGTGGGGTTGATGCTGCAGGTGGTTTCCCAAGAGGCACCTTGGCTGACATGTCCTCTTGTGATATTTGACGAAGTCGCATTTTCTCCCGAGCCTTTTGCCTATCCTGTCTCTCCTTTTCTTCCCGCTGTTTACGTTCTTTTTCTGCTCGTCGTCTCTCGGCATCGTCTTGTTTCTGCTGTTGACGTCGCTCGGACTCTTCCTGTTTCTGTAGTTGACGCTGTTCCATTTTATCACGCATAGTTTTTGACATCGACATACCAGAGAAGTTACTCATATCCTGAAATGTAGAATTTGATTGTTGTTTGTAATCTACCATGATTTTCTACCAATCAAATCTAACAGTTTCATTCATTTCATATGTCCAGAAATGTGTGTAGATCTGCCCATATATTGTTCTAGGCACTCCTAAAATCACTTAATTAAAAGAAACCCTGAAATATCCTTAACAGAACTTGTAACATAATTAATCAACTTCATAATAATGAATGAGAAAATGTTTTTTCTTAAACCAAGCAACACTATGACGTATCAATGAAAATATTTCCCTAGGATATTGTAAACAAGTTGCATGATTCAAGACGCCAGACAATCTCTTTAGTAGCATGCAAATAAGAAATCTTGCTCTAAATAATAAATGGCATGATAAATTATGAGTTTAAAGCCACGCAATAGTTCCCATTCATCAAGGTTTTAGTGGTAATCAAACCCCATTTTAAGATCACTAAAGGCCCCTTAAAAACAAAAACCATTGCATGGGGCCTTTAAGAGACACAATGACCTAAAGTCAGTATGTAAAAAGTCACGATCAATCAATGTAAATTAGGTTTGAGACATATGCCCACCCTCCTGTCATCTACCTGAACCACCAGCCTGCCCAATTTTCTCTTATTTACCCAAATTACTTTTTTCATACAGTTTGTTTGATATAAATATGCTTTCATTATACGTTGATTTGTATTTAAACATTTGTTAAAAACTACTTAGAATATAATGTCATTAAGCCGATTGATTCATTTGCGTACATTTGTATTTTAACATTACTTGTTAAAATCTACTTCGACTATAAGGTCATTAAGCGGATTGACAATCTTGTACACAAATTAAAGTGGTAATATAAATTGATTATCTCATAAAAAGAAAACACACAAGATCCAAACTGAAAATAACATATGCATAAATAACAAGCCAATAAAATGAAATTATCACACCACCCTTACCTCTCAAATTGCTCATATCCTATATATTATATGTATGTATTTACCTTTCCATTAATGTGATATTTTTTATATTTTGTTAATAGAACTGAACTCTGTCCAACAATAGCCAGAGGGAACAATTACTACATCTGTCATAAAAACAAATGTTTAATTAAGTGACCTGCCAACTAAGTCACAAAATACATATACACCCTTTAAATGTACAGCACCAAAACGACCATTCAAAAATAGCTTCAAAATAATCGAAAAAAACTAATGGAAAATACACTAATGAGGGAAGTATGAGAATAACGTATCCATTCAATCTTGATCCTTGTTCATTATAATTATTCTTTTGATTTTTGACATATGTTGATAAAATTTTCCCGAGGTATGAAATCATTAATATGATAATAATATTGCTGTAGGGTAGAATAAATAAGTGACCTGTTTACAAACAAAGGGCACATTAGACATGGTTAGCATACAATAATGTAATATTAAACTGACACTGTAATAAACTGACATCACCCTTGTAATAATCATTAGGCTTATTAAGAAATTATTAATATACTTATAATGTTATTATAAGTAACAATAATGAAAACCTTGGAAAAGTTATTGAATTATTAAGATGCTTATGATTTCTTCAAATACTTATTATGAAAGGAAATCAAAGGAGAATTTGATGAGTGCTAAGCTTTTAATGGAATAAGGTGTCTCCCAATTCTGATATTCTGATACATCTGTTTCACCTGAAACATCTCAGGGCTGAGAAAAACGAGATGTCATGGTTTATCATGACGGTGTCTCCCTTATACCTATGGAACATCTAATGATACATTTTAGGTCAAAATCAAGAAGTTTAAAATGATAGAAAAATAAGTCACATATGTATTAAATGAAACACCTCTTGAATCACCTAAACATTAAAGAAAAGACCACTTAAGTCACCTATGTATTAAATGGAACACCTGAAGATTAAAGAAAAGACCACTTAAGTCACCTATATAATTAAATGAAACACCCAAACATTAAAGAAAAGACCACTTAAGTCACCTATATAATTAAATGAAACACCTAAAGATTAAACAAAAGACCACTTAAGTCACCTATGTATTAAATGAAACACTTCTTGAATCACCTAAACATCAAACACAAGGCAACTCAAGGCAATGAAAGAAACCCCAAAAACCTTTACAAAACAGTGTCTAAATCAAATCGTCTTTTTCAATTTGGTCATCAATAGAAAATGGCAAACTTACATCATCTGATTCCAGTTGGTCATCAATGTCTTCCTGAGAATTGTTTTTCATGCGAACTCCATATATGGCTGGCGGATCATTTGCATCTCTTTGGTTGTTGCTCCTGGACTGACGGACATCTACCTTCTCTAGTGAGGGACTGCTACTGGTTAGTAGGTCACTCCCACTAGCTGAACTATCAAACATTCCTGAAATGACGAATGAAATATGAATGTAGATTGCAAAAATATTAACTTCAAGGCAGTTCTGTGAACAGGGTAGTCCTAGGAACATGTAGATTGCACACTTATAATCTGCTGCACAATATATACTAACTTCAAGATAGTCGTGTCTGTATGCTTATTGATATTGAAGAAAATAGGAATCTCTCACATGGGAAGTCTATACATACAGTCAAACCTGTATATCAAAACACCTTTCTTACCTAACACCCTTTCAATGTTAACACCCTTTTTGGTCCCATTTTTAAATCCTTAATATACAGATATAATACCATGTTGAAAAGTGATCATCTGAAAATCCAAATACTTTTGGCCAGGCCCAGTGGTGTTTGGATAAGCCAAGTTTTACTGTATTGTTAAGGACTATTGAACGTGAGATAATAAAACTTCAACATTTGATAAACTAAACAAACCATAGGAGGTGTGGGACTTTTTCAGAGGTGCCAACAATGCTTTACAATATTTTGATTGCATATTTAAATGTACAGGGTGCCCTGTCTTTACACAGATTTGTATTGCAATTGTAAAGACTTAATGGGGGGCACCCTGTACTATTGGGATGAACATTAACATGTTAAGGTGCTTCCCTCTATAAATGGTTTATGTATTGTACTCACCTCTACCTACTATAGCATCAAGCATTAAATGTACAGGGTGTCCATAAAGTCTCTTTACACAGATTTGTATTGCAATTGTAAACACTTAGTGGGCACCCTGTACTATTTGGATGAACATTAACATGTTAAGGTGCTTCCCTCTATAAATGGTTTATGTATTGTACTCACCTCTACCTACTATAGCATCAAGCATTAAATGTACAGGGTGTCCATAAAGTCTCTTTACACAGATTTGTATTGCAATTGTAAAGACTTTATGGGCACCCTGTACTATTTGGATGAACATTAACATGTTAAGGTGCTTCCCTCTATAAATGGTTTATGTATTGTACTCACCTCTACCTACTATAGCATCAAGCATTAAATGTACAGGGTGTCCATAAAGTCTCTTTACACAGATTTGTATTGCAATTGTAAAGACTTTATGGGCACCCTGTACTATTTGGATGAACATTAACATGTTAAGGTGCTTCCCTCTATAGATAGTTAATGTATTGTACTCACCTCTACCTACTATAGCATCAGGTATTTTATCATCATCAATGTCAACTGAGCCATGGCTGTACATTAACATGCTAAGGTGCTTCCTTCTATAAATGGTTAATGTATTGTACTCACCTCTACCTACTATAGCATCAGGTATTTTATCATCATCAATGTCAACTGAGCCATGGCTGTACATTAACATGCTAAGGTGCTTCCTTCTATAAATGGTTAATGTATTGTACTCACCTCTACCTACTATAGCATCAGGTATTTTATCATCATCTATGTCAACTGAACCATGGCTGTGCATGGAGGCCATGCCAAGTGGGGACAGCAGGGAACCTACAATAAAACATATAATCATGTATTACACTGAAATGCAGGCCTGTAGCCAGGGGGGGTTCCGGGGTTCAGGCGAACCCCTAGAATTTTTTGGAAAAGTGAACCCCCCCCTTGGAAAATTCTGGCTCGGGCCTGAAATGTGATGGCTTGAGAAAATCATTTGGATTAATGTCATTGTCCACTTTTGTATCATGCTGATATGTTATTTTCATTCTGCTAGAGTATAAATACCCTCCCCATGATCTTTAAATATGGAGGATGATTTAGCACAATATATAGGATTTTGTACGTTTAGTACAACAGTGTTGGTTTTGACATTTAAAAAAAAAATACTTGAGGGCTTTGAAATTTTTGACAATTTAAGATCATTGAAATTGTATTTGTGTTGCATTGTGTCATGAGAGGAAAAGTTGAGAAATAGTTGGTAGTGTAGTACTCCATCAGAGATTTCAATGTGGGAGAGCCTTGATAGTTATTATAACTTACTAAATGAGATGGCTGCATCACTTTATTTTACCAATCAGTGTAGAATTATAAATTCATGTAAAAGCATTAAATTTCTTCATGATTTGAATATTACACAGATGTACGTATCCCTTACCTTTGTTCATTCTACGTCTCTCCCTTGCTTTACTAGTAGGGTATGAAGGCTTGGGCTCAGCAACTATAGGGTCATCGCTATATCCACGACCAACAATCGCAACATCTGACGTGTGATTCTCCCTAAATGTGGCACCACCTAATGGATTATAATCACCCAGTGATATTTCTGATTTCGAGTCCGATCTCATTGGGGCGTTCTCTGATTCGGGTGAATGGTTATTATTCAAGCTTGCCTTTGGTGGTTTCTTTGAGACTAATTTAGGTTTAGATTCAAAGGGAGATTCTGGTTTGCCATTCAGCGCCCCCTTTCTGTAGCTTTTTTCTGTACCCCAGGGCAGAGGGGAGTCGTCATCACGGGGACTGAGGGTAGAGAATGGACTATATATGCCACTTTCACCAAGATTTTCATCTCCAGGACTAGGGGACCTGGAACAAGCACAAAAAATATAAGTACCTTACTCAACAACTCAATAATTAGTGAGACTCATGAATTAATTTTTGTAGAACTTTTGTGGCAAAGGATGAAACAAGACAAATTCATCTCCAATATTCTGGAGGCTTATGTACACTGAAATGACATTATAAGTGTAGCATGAAGAATTTAGAATTATGACTCATCCTTTATTATGCTCCCCCTATTCCAAAATGTCAAGGTTACTTTCTGGTAAAAAGACACACATTTACATATTTTTCACATTCATTATAAATATAGTTGCATATACACTTTAAATCAAATTGTTTTTCTTTTTGAATTGTGTTTTACATTGTAAGAAAAGAATATTCAAATAACAACATAAACACAGTATTTAAAACTGACCTTGAGCTCACTGTTTTACAATCTTTGGCATGAATATTCAAATTACATCATAAACCTTTCAACTGACCTTGAACTTGCTGCTGAAGTTTGCTGTTCAAGTTTCTCCCAAATTTTCTTTGCTTTTTTCTTCGATGCACTGTTCCGTATTTTCCTGAGTGAGGTCAGCATCATCTGGAATTAAACAAAAAGAAATATATTCCAAGGCATTAACATGCGAAACCTGCCATTTGTCACAGACACTGCCTGCCAAATGCCAAACACCAACCATCAAATGATGAAAACCAACCGACGAATGCCAAATACCGTCAACAGTCTGAGACCTATAATAACAATATATTAATCATCAAAAAAGTTATTTGTCATTTATGAAGTCCATCTGGTTATAGCAAAAACAATAAATTACTCTAAAAAACAAATAGAAAATTACTATACAGAGAAACATATCAGAGAAAATCATGCTTTACTATTCTTAACCATTCAAAACTAATCTTAACCATTGCAAGTTTACTGTACTTAACTCAATAATGAGTAATTCAACAAGTCCGCTGCTTATATTGTCCTTTATGTAAGTGTTTACGATATAATTCCTTGGTCACGCTAACTCATGTCAATGCAACATTTATCAGGCAGTTTTTCTAAATTGCGTTAATAATTAAAAAACTGAGATTGATCATGACATAATACACTCGCTTCATTCATAAACACTGATTTGCACAATCTAAGTCAGGATTTCTTTTACCAATTAAACTTTTTTGTTGTACCAAATCTTTAACATGTACTATAACCCATTCGCAATTTATTATTGTATTCTCGGGACTTGATTTGTTTATACAGTAAAACCAGTAGTATGATGAAACCTCTTTGTAAGGAACACCTCCAATAATCAGTTTTCAAAAGACCAATTTTAATTTTGGCTATCAAGTTAATAAACCCTCTCTGTGCAGAACACCTGTCTACAAGGAACAATTTTGGTCACTGAGGGTATTCACTATCAAAGGTTTTACAAGATCAGACCAGATTTTATCTACCCTTTGCATTCGTTTGACTTCACTTCTTAAAAGAGAGCTTCGTCTTCACTCTTTCAAACTAAAATAAACCTGTGAACTCTCCGCGCCAATCAGTGTTCGTCGGCCAAATTTGACCGACGTTCTTTATATGGTCATTCCTTCTGACGTCATTGTTGAGCCCGGAATTGACCAATGACATGCGCATATTTAATTAGAACGCATTTGGCGTATGTTTTCAAGCTCGCTGATTGGTGTAAGGTCAGCGCGTAGGTCAAAAGTGATTTACCTAAACTGTCACCGGTACAAGGCGGTACCCGTCGTGGGGGCGGGGCTACTAAACTAAACTAGGCAGAGTGTAGTTTAACTAGACTCTGCACGCAGGGTAGATTTTATCAAATAGGCCTCTCTATCAATTTGGCCTTTTTAACAAACAGGACTTTTTAACAAATGGGCCTTTTTATCCATTGGGTCTTTTTGATCAAAATAGGCCTTTTTTACAAATGGGCCTACCTCATCCTCTTCATCAGCTCTTTCCATGGTACTGCCGAGACTACCAGCATATGCACTGTCCCTCGCACTATCCTTGCCGCCATTCTCTACAGACCCCTTATCCGAGACAGCAATAGGTGGCACTTTACGACGTCTCGATGCAGACCCTCGTGCTAATGTTGGTTTCATTGGAATTGGCGACTCATTTATTCCACTTCCTAGTAAACAATTACAGATGTTTTATTTTTCAATATATCTTATTTTTATGGCTGTGCTTTATTATAAAAGTGTCCTTATTTCTGCTGTCAGCTTTAAGAGTCTTTTTAAATGCTGATTGAGGTTCCATAATTACTTCAATCAATATTTGGAATATCTCTATATTACCATACCTTTTTTATCTTCAGTAGACTCGGACCAGTCAGGTGGGTACATACCGGAGGGGGTCTCTGGGGCTGAAACACATAATACACAAAACATTAGAGATTTAAAATCAAACAAATGTCAACCAGGGGACCATTAAAAGAACGTAAAGGCTAGAGTACCGACAATTGTCGGTACTCTAGACTTTGATGTGGTGGCACGCTAGAGGACCGACAAATAAATTGTCGGTACGGGAGATATGCTGTGTTTACACGCTAGAGGACCGACAAATATTGATTTTCGAATTTTCTGGCGCATGCGCAATGCGCGGGGGGATATTTCAGATATCATACGGATATTTTGGGAACAAGTGCAAAACCCGGGGAGGGCATTAGCCCCGGTTACCCGGGGATTACTAAACCCAGTCAAAAAATGGTAGCTCGGGAACAGGGAATGGTAGTAAACGTTGAAAAACCAATAAAAAAACATGAAGAAGTAAGACGTTAGAGAGCTATTAATGCAGAGTAAACGGCTATATATATTCTAAACAGACAGGATATTTCTCCTGAGCCGATCAGGCGTAGAAAGGGGCGTTTGCTACCCATTAGATAGAAGAAAATAGCTAGAATGTTTTTTATTTAGAGCTTATCGTATGGTATGAGGTTCCATATCCATCCGCCAAAAGGTATGACCCTATATAGTCCATTTAAAAACCTGTGGTATCGTTCTATATAACCCATTAAGTTGGCTTCTAGGGTACCTAGTATGCCACTATTTGGTATCAAAATAAAGAGGAGTTAAACTTTCATTTCGTGAATTACGAAAATAGCGATGTAGGTCAAAATAGTTCCGAACGTGAGCATGTTTACTATGCGTTTGCCCGTCATATCAGAATTTAGGAAGTGGTAGCAAACGCGAGTTACAATAAACGGACGCTGATATCTCAAAAAGTAACCTGACTCCCTATAATTTGATGTAGGTCAATCGAACCCCCACATGGACAGGTGCATTTTGATATATAACACTATGGGGGGTAAGCGTTTCATAGTTGGTCACGAACGCCATATGTGCAAAGTATTGTTATGAATTTTCGAATTTGGTGTTGGATTACGGTACTCATACCTTATAGCACAATATTTGATGGAAGTTGCATTTGGCTCCCTTAGTTAATGGCCACGATTCCATCTCGCATGAGAGAGATACCAAACGCAAAGTTAACAGTGATATATTCCAAATGAGATATTTCTCCTGTGCCATGGCGTAGTAAGGGTAGAGGTCGACGGGGGCGAAAGCATCCCCTCCCCTAATTGTATATATCGACCCATTAGATAGAACAAGAAAAGAGCTTTAAAATGTTTTTTAATTGAAGCTTGTAGTACAATTTTGATGGAAGTTGAATCAATTTTTGTCGAAATAAATCATTACAAGTTAATGCCTTTACGATTCCATACTGCAAAAGAAGCACTATATCCCCCCTCAAAAGAAAAAAGGAGGTGCTGCCGGGATTCGAACTCGGGACCGAGTGTGTTCGAGTCGTGCTCGCTATCCACTAGACTACCAGTGATGAGGTTATTTCTAATATTAAAAGTAGTGGATTTATTTATGAAATTGTCGGCTCTCTAGCAAAAACACGTAGCAGCCACTTGCGTACCGACAATTTATCTGACACTACTAGGTGACGATAGAGTGCCGACAATTGTCGGTACCCCAGCAAATACCCCTGGACAGTCTCCAGTACCGACAATTGTCGGTCCTGGAGCCACTCCGTTAAAAGAAACGACGTAAAGTTAGGAATTCGTAAAATCTATTGTTCTCTAACTGTGACGTCATTATATCCATGGTTACAATTGATTAACATTCAAACTCGAAACTTTACAAAGTTTCTGTTAATGGCCTCCAGCTCTCTAATGCCATAAAACGAACTGTTGATAGCTTTAAACATAGAGATGATACTCCTTTCAAACGGGTTACTTTGATTGTGCAATTCACATGTACTCAGAGTGTTAGAGCTCTGATGCATTCTCAATCTCTTGAAAAGGGTTCCCATATGATGGGAAAGCATTGTGATGCATATGGGAATGAACCCATATGATCTCTTACAGATCAAAATAATTGAAAAAATCGTACAAAATGAATGAACCCGCATAGTCATTGACAGATATTGAAAAAATCATCTAAGGTCAATGTTACTCTGAGGTCAAGCCAATTTACAAGGTAAAATTAAATAATCCCAGATACATGAATTGAAAAATCTATATCATGAATCCTGCTTTAATTAAGGATTTTTACATGTGTGCATATACTTGTAGACAGATTATTACATTTTTCAATATAAATGATCAATCCATCTGCTACATGCTAATATCTCATAATTATGGTTTTAACTCTTGCTGGTCCTGAGTGGGGATTTAAGTAAATCATCAATTCTAACGTAATAACTAAGATTCTGTATGATGCCTCTACATCCTATTCTCATTTGCTTAACATTTACCTCACCTCTTTAGAGTTTACCTCACCTCTTTAGAGTTTACCTCACCTCTTTAGAGTTTGCCTCACCTCTTTAGAATTTGCCTCACCTCTTTAATTGCCTCACTTCTTTAGAGTTTGCCTCACCTCTTTAGAGTTGACCTCACCTCTTTAGAGTTTATCTCACCTGTTTAGAGTTTGCCTCACTTCTTTAGAGTTTGCCTCACCTCTTTAATTGCCTCACTTCTTTAGGGTTTGCCTCACTTCTTTAGAGTTTGCCTCACCTCTTTAGAGTTTGCCTCACCTCTTTAGAGTCTGCCTCAGCTGTTTAGAGTTTGCCTCACCTTTTTAGAGTCTGCCTCACCACTTCAAGCATTCTAACAGACTTATGGCCCTGGCCAATGATTACTTGCAGATTACTGAATTTATGTATGCAAATGATAATATTGCAAATCATGACGTTATATCTCGTAAATAATCAAAAAGGATACTTCATTAATAATTGGGTTTAATCAAGAGAGCTCATTTTAAATGCAATTTAAAGCTGACAATATTTATGCAAATCAGAAGAATTTTCATAAACAACATTTTCACTGACGTCAAAATATTTAATCCAACACATGATAAAAACATGTTCAAGCCAGCAGACTGGAGCTAAACGCAATCAACTATCACAATTTGCCTTGCGGAGACATTCATGTAAAAAATATGTTTCACATATAAAAGAACTTGCATCTGTTGACAACATTTTTCCTAACTTTTATCGAAATAAAACTAAAGCTAAAACACCTACCTAATTCACAGATAGATTCAACTAATTAAAATCATATAAACCGATTATTCGTGAACTCTCGACACTTGTGCAAGAGAATTGATAAACATCATTATTAGAATAATCCAAATGCAAAAAAAATAATTATGATTCAACAGCCCATATGTTACAAATCTATAAAATCTGCTGCACAAAGGTTATTAACAGGTCTGTTCTATAGTAACCATGGTGACCTAACATGGTACTACAATAATAAGTAAATCACCCTTCTCAAGATCTATATATAATCAACACTCTTAAGAAGATGAGATTTTTGAAGTCGCTCCTATTATTCTCTTAACATAAAGTTGGAAATCATGACACGATTACAATCTGTAAGTAGCTTACATATTACTTTAATAACATTCAAACTCTCATGAAGTTCCATTTGAACTTTTTAGATCTTGTCAACATCAAAACTGTAAAATCCTCTGTCATATTAAGAGGATGGTGTACCTAAGTGATACTGAATCAGGGTACAACACCTAGGTATGATCCATGATATCATCTGCACAAACAAACAAATGGATGGAAAAATGAACAGACAGAAAGCTTCACTATATCCCTTCTCAAACTTCACTTGGTCTCCGTTAGTAAAAGATAATTTATTAAAATGCAGATGATAAGCTGTGTATGTATTGTGAGCGCGAGAAAAGTTTGCAAACTGATAAACTGTATGAAAGGAAACACAGATGTTACATCAAGTTATGATTTCTGCATTATTATCATCAAAAGATCAAAAGTCTGCACCGCTCATTAGCATATCTGTATTTTAAAGTATGGTTATAACCATGATGTACCAGTGTAGACCATGAATATATATATATATATATACACAAAAGTATGTATACTATATATGGCATCAGAGTATGACCTGATAATCAACATAAATTAAACAAACATTTATTTAAAAACATAATAAATCATATTTACTTGTATTATTTACCTCCCACAACATGTCTTTGTCAAAGTGTCCACCTTATTGTATAGTTATATGTGACATACATGCTATAATGAGAATTTAATGATAGGTTGTCACAGTATCATTTCAATGTATTTTGTTATTGAGATGATATAAGTACTTCGTTTGTGTATGAGAGTCTAAACGATGTAACACTTTTTAAAATGCACATTTATAGCTATAATGAATAATTATATTTTTTTCCAAAAACAGCACTATATGAAAATATTTTTTCAAGAAATTAAAAATAAATTTGATATGTAATGAGATAATCTTAAATGCTAAAGAAAGAATAGGATTAAAAAAATAAATTAATAAGAGATAAAAGCTTTATCACCTTACAGCTGTGAGTTACAACATATGATTAAACATTACACTTAAACAAAAAAACTAATATTGAGTTACAAGTACTATACATTAGTAGCATTGATTTTTCTTTGTTTGTTAAAAAAAAACCCAGTAATACTAGCTCTATATGGTGGAAATAAAGTTAATTCTTATACAGAGCCTATTTTTGCTCAAGAAAAAATTGAAACATACCAGAGATGGCAAAAACAAATGCCCGTGGGCAATGCACTATCTTAGTAAGTGCCTTACCATGTTTCTACTATTTTGTACTATTTTGTACTTTTGTATATTGTTTTAGTTTTTGTAACATCTTTGAATAAAATACACATGAATATGCATCTAATCATTTTCTATGGATTTTAATGAAAAATATGTTGATTCTTGATTGTTATATTAATCTAAATAAATCCCTTACAAAAAGTACCATGTACATGACTGATAATCTACTGCAAGGGCTCTATCAATATACTCACTTGTGTCTAGCAAGAAACTCTCTTGAAAAACCATGGTAACATAAAAAGAAAGATCTGTGGAGGGGATCGGTTACAAATTGCATATCATGAAATCTGCATTATTTCAAAAACATTGAAAACTGTTATATTCAGAATCATTTTTTATATATCAATAGCTCACTCTCGCCGCCATTGATGTCTTAAAATCGAAGATGACGCACTGGAGTGAGAATCTTAATATGCAAAGGAAATTCTATCATAAGGTGAAGAACAATATAGCACCTTTTCTGAACTTTCCAAACTAAAATATCATCTTATTCTTCACATACTTTAACACATAATTGGAGAGGGTCCCTTATTCTCCATTGAATAACTTTGATATTTGGACCTGACCCCTTTGATCAGTGCATGTTACTAGGCAATTATCCTTGATAACGATCATACTTATCAATATTATTCCAATATTTATTGATTCGCTATAGAACATTATTTCAGTAAGAGTGCATCATTAAAGGCAACTTATTATTCCAATTTATATAAGAACTGCGTATTGACTCCTGTCAAGATCAAGTGTCAAATATCAAATATCACAAAGGTATGAAACCATGTAATATATCATACAATAAAAGAATATGAAAATGGTACTTTTTCATTTGTATTTATGAGGACCAAGACATGATTATGTAAGAATTTTGGCTCTTCGAAACCCAATTTTTGTTATGTACTGAGACCAGAAAAGTTGCAATTTTTTTCCAAAAAGTCGCAGGAGGGGTATGCAAAAGTTGCGATCCAAAAATAACAAAAGTTGCAAAAATCTGTGCCATGTAAAAGCCCTGTGATTGGGGGAGGGGGTTCTCTTATTAACAGTCACCAAAAATCGCTTCATATTCATGTCCATAATTTAGAATATTGTAACGTGTAGACGGTAAGTTTTTTACTTAGCGATTTTTTAAATATCACCTGATAATGTAAATTGGTACGTGCAATGTCCTTAATAACCAAAGTGATCTTGTAAAACCAGAATAAAGCTACCAATTCTCGGCAAGACAAAAAGATCTTTCGATAAAAAATTACGATAGATATTGACTGGAAAATGAGCTGAAGTGTTAAAGTTGCTGTAACTATAGGCACAATATTTATTTAATTTCGTAACGTTTTGCATCTCAGTTTCCTGGTATTCATTCGATTTATAGACAATCCATCAATTGATTATAATTAAGGTATAATTAAAGTTTATTGGATTGTTCCCGATGTCCCACTTCCTGGATAGCATGTTAGTAATTCTTCTATAAAGCTTAAATTACATTGTGATGATCTGATCAAAATCATTTTTTCTTGCATGCATATACCTGTTGTACACCCAGTGACCCGTAATGGGACAATTTTTTAAAATTGAAGTTGTTTTGATTTTGGAGTAACCAAGATGTACAGATGATCTTCTCACCATGTATTGCAGGGTGTCAAATCGGCCTTTTTACCTGTTTTAGACTTTAGTAAATCAAAATTTCTTCTGACAGGGGGCTTACACATTTTAACACATGGCATGTCATTTTCAGATTGTCAGCAATGTGCACTGATCTAATGGTGGGGAGATTAGCTGATTGCCATGAAATATATCTGTAACGAAACTCACCTGAAATAGGATCAAGTTTTGGTTTGTTTGGTTTATGGTCAGGCCAAGATGAGGCCAAGTCTGCACGTTGGAAGGCCTTGTCTGAGTTACTGAATGTGGAAAATGGAGATTTGGTGGCCTTAGTTGGTGAAGCATTGTTACTGTACAAACCACCTGAAAATATAGAGAAGCGTTAATTGGTGTCACCAATAATAGTGTGTCACAAATGGGAGGATGTCACAAATGACAGGGTATCACAAATGACATGACTTCACAAATGTCAGTGTCACAAATGACAGAGCATCACAAATGACAGTTTCACAAATGACACTACATCACAAATGACAGGACATAACAGACTGTCACAAATGACAGAGTATCACAAGTGATAGGATACCACGAATGACATTTCATTGCCATTAAAGACTTGATATCACAGTTTGAGGGAATATCTCTGTTGATAATATCTGGATTAGTAAACCATAAAAATTACACTCCCAAAGCCTCAGACAAGCCATTTCACCATTTCGTATTGTGTGAAACAAAGTCTGTAATTGATCCATCAGAAACAAATGACGGTCAACGGATGGTCATTGGCCTTAATTATTTCAGCAATAATGATTCCTAATAGCTTCTCACTTTCAATGACTATGGAATTTCTATGCTCCATAGACAATGGCCAGTTTTACGTATTGTTCTACACTGAGCAATCTAGACCATCTGAACAGAAAGTATTGACATGATATACCAATAATGCGCAACTAGATGCCTAATCAATGTGATACTCTTAAGTCAGTAAATACAGCCAGGTATAAGTAAAACTTGGTAAGATAGTAAATAAAGCCCTATTGATTTTTAGATATACCTTATACAAGGTGTGTACTAAAGATATGGAAAATCTTTTTATTTTTACTGCTTCCAGGGATAGAATAGGAATTAAGACTCCCTAAATGATTGCTTATTTTATCTTTGATTCCTGTACTTTCAACACACAATGACATTTAATCTTTCACTGTTACGAAATAGTTATGTTTTTGTCGATTTTATTCATGTATTATGGGATGGGTCGCCTACCTCTCTGTGATGCAGGTGCACTCTGGGATGTAAAAGCATTTTCTGCTTCTTGTTTTTCCCGCACAGGAAGAGTACTGGACATAACACGCAGTCCCTCTGATGTTTGGAACTTCACCTTTTGCTTGTATATACCCATATAAGCTGAAAAATATATATGACATTTTAGTTTAACCTGTTTATAATTAACAGTTCTGAGCCCATGGTCCAGATACAAGTATCCATGGTGGCAGCGGCAGATATTCTAAATGAGAGGTGTTCATCAAGAGGTGTTTCCACAGAGAGGTGTTCACATTAAGAGGTGCTGATGACCAGTGGATCCAGCCTGAGGAACATCCAGAAGTTGGTACTCACTTGGTGTTCACATTACATACATGTACTTAGAGTTTATACATGTACTTCGAGTTTATATATGTACTTAGAGTTTATACATGTACTTAGAGTTTATATATGTACTTAGAGTTTATCTCTGCAAGAGTTCTTGCCCAAGTTGCAATTTAGCATTTTGCAGTCCCCGTGTCTTTAATTGGTCAATGAGAGGTAAAGTAAGCATTGGAGATTTGGTTAACTTGGAGGAATCAATTACTCCTCAGTAACTTTGGTTTACTTTTTAGCCAACTCTTTAAGGTAAAATAGAAATATAAAAATCATTTGAAAAATGTCATTTCAAAAAAAAATTTTTACAAAATATTTTATTTTTAACAAAATATATTCTAAAACGATGTGTAAATATCAACATAAAATTTCATACACATATTTACCATTTTATTTAATAATGTTAATCATAAAATAGTCATCAAGTGGATCTTCCTTAATCTAACCAATCTACAATGTTCTGTCTACCATAATGGTCACACAAATGCTGGTGCGTGGGTGCATTGAGGCAGTGCATGATAGATGTCACTAACTGTAGTTAATCCATATCAACACTATGGCTACCACACTATGGATGTAATGTGGCATATAGATATCAAACACAAGCATTTAACTAGCTAGATCTTCATCTTTATATGTTGTATTATGTGTGAAATTTGATTACTCTGTGTCCATTTTGATGCTGTATAAAAAAATTCAAAGTTTTGTGTGTAAATTTTGATATTTTGTGCACAGTTTGATATTCAGTTGAAAAGTAATATATATTAAAGATCTAATAGCAAAGGTTTTGCAAAAATAAATCAATGTAGTATAAAACAAATGTATGTATTATGAAGAAATAAATATATAATGAAAAAAATAGATATGTGTTTGTAATATTGGTATAAACTTAAGATTAAAAAGTGTCACTATCTCTTTCATTTTTCAACAAATATAGGCTCACGTGACATGTGACGCGGGGCAGTCAATTTTGATCTATCGTAGACCATATCAGTATCAAATTACTGATATTTCAACCTCGTCTTGCGAGGCCATTTTGATTTGAAACATCTTGAATTTGGTGTCAAAATGAAGCTGGTCACGCCCACTTTCAGAGTTATCAATGAATCATTTACTACGACTACTATATTCATTTAGGAGGCGTGTAAAGTTAACCAATCAGAAAGACAATTGTTCCATATATGGCAGTTCATTAACATATTCAGTGTTTACTACTGCTTTTCACGTCATGACAACACGAGTAGTAACCAATCAAGATGCCGTATTTTATCACGTGAGTTCAGAGTGACACGCACGCGACATGTTGTCTGGGGTGATCGCGATGGAACAATTTCTTCTCGGAATTTGTCCAGAGAAATCAGCGATTCTAAATTAAGGTAGGATCTGCCATTTTTTCCTGTACAAGTTATAACTTATCTCTATCGAATCCTAAAGTTTTGGAAGAAGATATGAAGCGTAGGTTTAAAAACGAAGCGATTAATTTGACGATCTGATTTTGCAATTTGCAATGGCCAATTTACTGCAAGTCCAGTGCATGTATTTGACAAGAGATAGCGCCAAGTCTGGTATCTAAATGCTTGTTAAGCCACTCAAAAACAAGATCCATATCTTCTAAATTTGATAACTTTGCAGAAAACCTGTTTTCATAATCTGTTTTCCGCGTCTAGATTCAAACTGAGTATGATAATAGGATCGCTGCAATCTTCAGTCAATGGCAACGGGTCTTCATTCCAGAACTCACATTTTTAGTTGATTCTCCGTCATAGTTCTTGTTTAAAGTCCCCATATCTGCTCTCTTACTGCCATACTTGCACACATTTCCCCTCCTTAAATTGTCTTCATTCAAATTACACCCTCTCGCCGATTTATATAGTCATTTCCCAGAACCCGGGAATCAGAATCGCTGATGTTTGCCATATTGAACATATTATATGTACTGTAATATCTGTACATTGACTGCTACGCGTTATGGTCACGTGACTAGCGCGATACAGGAAAAATGGGGAATTTCGAAACAACAATTTTTGGGCACTTTTATTGCAAATTTCAGGTATTTATAAAGTGTTTGTGGTATAAAATATAATCCACAGACATAAATGAACATCCAAACTACATATTTCATTAAGTTTTGGAGCCTTTTTTGCTCTTAAATCAACATCTTTAAAAATTTGATGTTTTGTTAAAAACTTGATAATTATGTGTTTTGATGTGATTACAATTTGATATTTAGTGCACATTTTGAAATTAAGTTGAAAAGTAATATATAATATTAAAAATTTGATAATATTTGATATTTTTGATGATTTATGTGATTAAAATTTGATATTAAATTTACAGTTTGGTATTGATATTCAGTTGAAAAGTAATATATAATATTAATAATTTGATAATTATGTGTTTTGATGTGATTACAATTTGATATTTTGTGCACAGTTTGATATTTGGTTGAGAAGTAATATTAAAAATTTGATAATTATGTGTTTTGATGTGATGAAAATTTGATATTAAATGTACAGTTTGGTATTGATATTCAGTTGAAAAGTAATATATAATATTAAAAAGGATGATTCTCGGTTTGGAGAACAGTCTCCTGGGCTAATAATTTTTTTCATGAAAAATACAGAAATATTACCCAAATTAAACTATGAATATTCAAAAGAGGACATTTAAATCTACAAGATGTAAAAATAACAAATTGGTCTGAAGCAGGGATAACGCTCAATACTGATTCAATAAAATACAAGGCTCGATTTGGGGAAAGAAGTTCATCAGTGTACTGCGCTAATATTTTTTTTGCGAAAAATCTAGAAATATTACCCAAATTAAATTATGCCTATTCAAAAGAAGACATTCAAATATATATTATGTAAAAATATCAAATTTGTCCGAAGCAGGGATAATGCTCATTTAGATTGATGAACTTCATTTTCCAAACCGAGAATCGTCCTTTGATAATTATGTGCTTTGATGTGATTAAAATTTGATATTTAGTATCCAGTTTGATACTGTGTTAAAAGTATATGTGGGACTTGTAAAGTTTGATATTTGTTTGTTTTTTTGATATCATGTTTAAGATATAAAGTGTGTTCAACATTTGGTGTTGTATAAAATTAAATGTGCGCTACTTTTGAAGCATGAAGTATAAAATATAAATTTTGACGTGTAAAGTAGTGAAATATGTTATGTTAAAAGCGCCACCTTTTTCCTTGCCACTCTCTGATATGGCAGGCATACTGGCTCTCCGCATTAAATCTAAAAAAGAAACTTATTTCATTAAAATAAACTTTTTTCATTTTTTGATAAGATGGAAGGGTCAAGGTCATTACAAATTATTGTTTTAGCCTTGATATTTTTCAATTTTAAACTAACGAATTTTTAATTTTTACAAAATTTCTCTTAATGAACCCCTGGATAGTTGATTTTTGTATAATTTCTTCCCAATTATAGCTTTTATTTTTTATATGATTTTATGTACATTTAAATATACTCAATTCAATACTAATGGCCACATGGTCAGTTAACTCCTCAGTCAACAAGCAGCATAAAATAAAATAAATCCAGTGGGTTCTGAAGTTGTTTTTTTTAGAATAAATCTCTATTGTGTTCCAAACATAAGATTTTGTACTTGAATAGTATAGAAATCTTAATAATCAAAACTATTTCATTAGATTAGAATCCGCGGCCTGCTCTTTCTAAATCTAGTTAATACCTATAATCAGACATAAGAGGAACAGCCAATCTTGAGTGAACTTAATGGCAGACAAAAAACTTATTATAAAATATCATTTTTTTACAATTATAGTAACACATGCATTGTTCTGCTAAAGTACACGGAAGTAAAATCAATGTTTCAGGGCCTAATCTAATAACTGTATTATTGTATAACATTCATAAAAACTGTTAATTAAAACTGGATCTAATGAATTAATCATTTGATATAACTGTGAGCCAATTCCAGTTTAGCTATATCGATTGGGTGTATAGAAGTAACTCAGATGTAAGGGGCAAGGTCAAATATACAAGGAAATAATGAAAGATTGTTCTTCAAATAATAAGTAACATACTTAGAGTCATAATACTTGTTCCATGCATTGAACTCCCTATTAGAAAAAAAACACGGAAGGTATCACAATAGATTTTATTCAGTCATATGTCAGATTGTGGCTTTTTTCTGAAGATTTAAAAAGGTTCATATGTTACCCAGTGCATTTTCTAAATGAGAAGTACTCATAGAGGTGATCAAATGATTTGGACTACAAGACAGGGAAGGTGCAAACAACCCATCAACATTTTTTCAAATTTTTTTTACTGATTTTCAAGTGGGATTAATTGGAAAACAATATTTCCCATGTTATTTTCTCATAGGGAAATCTCATGCGATCAATTGCTTTCAGCTTAATTTTGATCACCCATAATTGGTATCTTTTAAATCCCTGCTTGAAACATATTTTCCTTTTAAGAGGTTAACTGTGTCTACAAATGCAACACATCGATGCATAAAACATTGAAAAAACATGAGTGGAAGGGGATGAAAAAACAGGAAAAGATTTTTGAAAAAAAATCTTGGTTTGCACCTTCCTTGTCTCGAAGTCAGAATTATTTGATCATGCATCTCTATGAGTTCTTTTCAATTAGATGCATTGGCCTAACATATGCATCTTTTAAATCCCCAGAAAATAGCCATAATTTAACATATGACTGTCTACAATCCGGTGCGATACCTTCCCTGGTCTTTTTAAGAAGATTTCATCAAAAATGAGAAACTTATTGACACAAAAGACAGTATTACGAGTCTTAATAAGTATATTTATAAAAATGTGTGAGATTTTTCTGAGGTAATGTGTTGGGTCTGAGAAACTTATTGTGTTATTTGATACCTGTGATATTTTCTATCTTGACTTGTGCCATCTGAAGGGAGTTATTGTGGACATTGAATATGATGTCTAGTTGTAACAATACTAGGTGGGTCAATGTATGATAACTCTGATATGTGAATATAAATGCAGTGATCTCCCCAGCATTAAAGCAAGTAGGCGCAGCACCAACCTGAGATTTTGAAAATTGGCTTGCACCCACCCGAAAATCCATTTACACCCACCCGAAAATCCATTTGCACTTACTTCAAAATGAGAAGACATGAAATATTGGCATGATTTGATCAATTTTGGTCTAAAAATGAGAATTTTGCACCCACCTGAGAAAAAATACTGGGGAGATCACTGAAATGTACATAGTAGTAAATTCATGTTCATTACATGTATATGTGAACTGTGATCTACAAATGGAATCTAAATATTATCTAAATGCAGTAAATCCCACCATTGGGTTTTGCCTTCGATGGCATACTGAAAGATCTGTTCATCTTCCTAGTGGCTCCTAATGCTGCATATGTTGTTTGTTCTGAGAATATACAATTAAAATAAGATATGAATATTTAAGAATATTCAAACTCTTAGAAAAAGTGATATCTATGGAAAATTCTTCATATTCCTCAGAGTGTTAATATTATCCCAATAAAATGAAGCTTCTATAAACTTTTAGCCTAAAAGTATAATTCATTCATATATGTATAATACTTTAACAGTGGCATTGCAATATATGTATTTATACTTTTAAAATTATTTCATATTTCCAATCCATCATTTTCAACCAAGATCATAAATAAGGGACAGTGTGGACCATCTCTTCTCAACTCTTTTACTGGCATCAAGAAACAACTCATTAAAATCTTCTCACAATTTTTGTCACCTGGTGTGAATTTCTCCTTTCCCATACTCTTTCTGACTTAACAAACTGGTCAAAATAATTTCACTTATAATTTCATAATTATCCACATTTAATACAAGGTTTTCAATTGGACAAAAGGCAATTTTGAAAAACTCAGTATCACTTAAAGTCACTAGACAGGCCCATAGGGGGTTCGGCCAAAAATTCTTTCAAAATCATGCAGTTTTTCACCATTTTGAACACCTCTCAAGTGATTTTAGCAATATTTGGGCCAAAATTGTTAAATGTGAACCCTCCCCTGGAAATTTTTGAAAACTGAACCCCCTTGGCAAATCCTGGCTACAGGCCTGCTAGAGTAGAGATACTGGGAAAAATCATGTTAACACAGGAATGATATTTTAGAAATAGCTTACTGTTACTGTCTGGGGAGGGGTCCCTCTGTGTACTTGATAATCCCGCCTGTCGCTTTTTCATCTTTTTACCATCACTTGAGTTAGGAGAATCCTCCCATGTATTCTTTGTCTTTACGGGAGGTATATCATCTTCTTTGCTATAACGACTCTGAAAGCAGAAAAACATTTGGTTATTCTTTACCCTTTGAAAATAGGACTGAGTTCCTAGCATTCTTAAATTTTTGTTATTTCTGAAAAACCTCCAAATCAATCAGAGCTTTTTTATAAGCTATGATACAACCAACATGGCTGTAAATTGCTGAGTTGACTTGAACACCAGACTCTAAAATCAACTAAACTTAGTCAGAGTGCAGTATGCTGAACACTGTTCTCAGGGTAGTTATTCTTTATCACATTTATGCCATTATTAGCTCATTAATCAAGATGAGAATATCTACAATGTCGTAACTCATTGTAATCACAAAAGAAATGGATCTTTTATATTGTCTGAGTTAGTCAGTTTGGATCAGAGGTGATTCAGTTTATATTTCATGGCTAAAGAAACAGAAAAGGTAAAATTGTAGAAGGGATTTATCTCAGAAACACCTTGGATTAACAGGAGTGCCTTGAAATTCTGACTTGTCTGATGTCATGCTTTTTCACTCTAATATCTTGTTCTCTTAGATTTCTTTTTTAAAATGTGTGACCTTTTGTTTATATACATCTGTATTCCAATTATACTTCAAACTATATTTCATGATCCGAGCTTTTTTCCATGAATTATTCCAAAGTATTTTTAAAGTTTAGGTAAAGTGTATGTTATTTTAGAATTCATTTGAATCCTTTTATCTATGACCATCAAGCTATGTGCCCACGTGAGAATTTAATAAATAGCCTTTCTCTAGCCTTCGAATCGATTTGCACACACTTCGAAAATGAGAAAATAATAAAAAATAGGCATATTTTGACCAAAGGTCTAATAATTGTACAAATAAGAATTTTGCACCCACTTGAAAAAATCCTGGGGAGAACACTGCAAATATATTTATGTGGCATCCAATTTTCAATACTGGCAACAAAGGCGATTTAATCTATTATGATATTTGTAAATCATGTATATTATTTTAAGAAATGATTCAAAACAAAAGTCATTTGTTAAGTTCAGTCCAGTCTGTCATCTTAAATAGAAAGTCACACAGCTCATATTGAATATATGTCATTATGGTTAAAATAAAGAAGTTTAATGTATATAGTATGTGTTTATTTTATAAATTAAGATATAAAGGAAAAATCTATAACATACTTTATCATATTAGTATATGTAGCATTACCTTTTATTATAATTAACAGAATTAAATTGTCATTAAACACTCCTACATCATTTGAAAGTTGACTCGCCATGAAAGCATTAGCATCAGCAGTGAAATGACATTAATCGAAATAATATAATATATATTGTGTATATGACATTTACAGGGTGTCCTAGAACTGATGAGAACTTTTTGAGGGAGATATAAGGCATGTTTGATTTTTCTTCTTGGGTGCACTTACTAAACATACATTGAGAAATAATTGACATGAATTTCAGGCAAATATCGTTTATATTTCTGAATTTATTGACAATTAACACCACCACAAACCCTGAACATAACTTAAGATTGAAGGCCCTATGAATTCAACAAGTCATTATTCATTCCAGTTTCCTCTTAAATACTATATTAATTCAGCCATGATGTTCATGGAAATGTGATAATAGCATATGTTTCTGAGTTACATCATGATAAGGCTTAAAATCTCAATTTTTCATGTTTCTAGTGAAACAGAGAGATGTGATGAGTATCAGAATGGAGTGGTACAATTTTTATAAGTTGATATCATTTATACATAGCTGAATTAATTAGCCAACGACAATGATCTCCATAAGGTTTTTTAATAGCCCTGCATTCACTTTTTTAACATAATTGCCATATGCCTGGGATAACTCATATCACAAAAAAATATTATTTTTGCAGGTGCCCGTATATAACATGTATTACATTAATATCAAAGCTCTTACTTACAAATTCTGACAAAATTAGCTGTGCTTCTATCAAAGCAACTATAACATTCAGACTTTTCAATCTTGTTACAAATATAAGGTCACAAATAAAAAGAAAATTAAGAAGAAACATTATACTATAGACTTTGAAACGAGTAAGCTGCTTATTGTTAAATTATTACAGGAAACCAAATCAATAGTGTTGAAATGTAACCGTGTAAATGCCAAAGGCAGGGTGTAGCTTTTAAATACATTTATCTTTCACTTAAGATATCATGTAACCTGTAGATTATCATGTAAGCTGTAGATTGGTGTAACTTTTAGACATTTGAATAGTTCTTCAAACATTCAATCTGAAACAAAGGTCCACACAATACCAAAATCACTCAAAATTGAACTTCATGCTATAGGGTTGGATGATGAGATCTTAACAGACGCATTTCCCGAAAATAGAACATTTTTTCAGAAACTACCAAATCCCAGGAACTGCTCATTCAATTTTTCCAAAACCATCAATGTTTCACAATTAACAAAAACAGGTACAAACAGAATCTTAATCCATCCAAAGCTGAAGACATCTTTTGAAAACTTATTTGCTTACCTTTAGAGATTTACTGGTTTCGTGTGGGTGTTGAATTATCAGTTTATGAGATCATAAACAAGCAACATTATCAAGCATGAAGATAAACAACAGTTCTGCATCATGCAGACATAATCAATGAATTAACAAGGTTAAAATAATCTAGAATTGGTAGTATAACCAACATTAAGTAGAACCTGTTTCCAATTCGTTTTTTGGGGATTTGTAAATGAGACTCCTTGAGCTCAAAGATGGTTTCACTCCTGCTTAAGAATTCTGTATCAGGCTATTTATATTGCCTTGTCCAATCCCTTTGCTTAAAATCCCACTCTTGGGGATGGAGGACCTTTGATAAGTTTTACAATTTACATGTAGTGTAAGGAATAGGCCTTTAACAGGTACAATAAGGCATGGGCTTTTAACAGGTCCAATTAGGGATGGGCCTTAGTTGGGGATGGGCCTTGAATAAGTGCAGTAAGGGATGGGCCTTAATAGGGGATGGGCCTTGAATAGGTAGAGGTAGGGATGGGCCTTTAATAGATTGAAGACTTTAAATGAATTAATGAGCACAGCTGTTGAAGGTAAAACAATAACAATCATATGCAGGTAGATGAATCAGAATAAATTATATAAGAAACAATACAATATAAGTACATAATGCAACATATTTTCTACAATACAAATTAGAGATTTTGCACATCATTCAATTTGGTTTGCAACCATTTTTTGTTTTTCTCTTTCCTTGATAATCTTTAATTCCAAATAGCCAAAATTAACTACATCCTAATTGTCATTTTACATTTGTTCGATTTTCTTAAGACTTTGAGATTTAGAAAATTGGTCTTTGTGTCCAATGTCTTTTAATGGTATAATTCAAACTTTTATATTCATGGATGTCTGCACTCTTATTTCATATTCTATTTGAGGAGAAATGAATTTTTATGAAAGACTGATATTAGTATGAGGCTGTTCAAGCGAGATTTTATTTCTCATTCAATTGAAACTGAAATAAGATTATGCATTGCTTTTGACATGCAAAATTAACTCTTTTAAATTCCTGTTAAATGAACTACAAACTCTAACTTATACTTCTGGATCATTGGTCAAGTTTGGTAACAATTATCAAAATAGTTTTTCAGAGTACTAATTGTCTTCAGCCCCCACTACTAAATTGGACACCAAAGGATTATAGAACATAGTTTGCTTAGTTCTGAATTCCAAAGTCGAAACTCAGGCAACCTCAATGAATATGAACCATTTCATCAAAGCTACTTTGAGTTGAGGGCAACAATATATTTGTATTATAGATTTGTGTTCTTAATTTGATATCACAAACTTCAAATTTTAGTATCGATTTCTATCAAGTAAAAACATTGCCAAACCAAAAGCATCTCAATGTAGTCAGTATTCAAGTTTGACATAATCTCTAATCTTTAATAAAAGCACCAATTTTTTTTTCAAATAGTCTGAGGCAAGTATTTTACATTGCATTTCATAATGATTTTAAATGATAAATATTTCAATGACATCTGTATATTATAGCTATTTATAAATGATTCTAATGATATATATGTAAGTGACATATTTGTATTGACGAATTCAGCTGATCTAATTTCACATTGTAATTTTTTCACTTTCATCCATTTAAAGTTTGTCACATTTACCATTTCAACAATAGCTCAATTGTATGCCTTTATACAATAAATCAACAAAATTAAATAAAATGTCATTTTACATTTATTTGCTACCATACCTCTGTAACTAGTTATAACAATAGCAACAGAAATTCCTAATAAATAATATATATTAACTTAACAACAAATCATGATCTTGACATTTTTGTATAAAATCCAATCATAATATTACAATCACGAAAGTACATGTCAGTAACCTTGTTATAATAAGTTTTTATTTGGGATTGTTTGAGACTGTATTATTTTTCAACTTTTGACAAATATATTTGATGGATTAGGTCTTTTGAGGTTTACCCTTTGCATTCGTTTGACTTCACTTCTTAAAAGAGAGCTTCGTCTTCACTCTTTCAAACTAAAATAAACCTGTGAACTCACCGCGCCAATCAGTGTTCGTCGGCCAACTTTGACCGACGTTCTATATATGGTCATTTCTTCTGACGTCATCGTTGAGCCCGGAATTGACCAATGACATGCGCATATTTAATTAGAACGCATTTGGCGTATGTTTCTTCAAGCTCGCTGATTGGTGGAAGAAAAAAGGTCAGCGCGTAGGTCAAAAGTAATTTAATACCCAAACTGTCACCGGTACCCGTCGTGGGGGCGGGGCTACTAAACTGTAATATGATCTCTACTAGGCAGAGTGTAGTTTAACTAGACTCTGCACGCAGGGTATTTGAGGTTATGAAATTTGATATTGTTGTTGAATGCTTCAGAACTTGTCTGGTGCCTGTCTTAAGACAATTTGTCAACAATAGCAAAAAAATAGGCTGAAATTTACTTCAGTATTTCATACCATAAGAATGTCATTAATGTTCGACTTTTTTGCTTCAGTGGTTGGTATTGTTTATGGGTGTTGGTTTTTTATGTGATATTGCCAAGTAGAGATGCTTACCAATCACTGCTGAAGAATAATTCAACTTCTTGGTCGTGACATAAAAAGCATAATTATCAATAGTTATCAGCCACTTAAAAGTGATTTTAAGCTGCTGTTTATCTTAATGGCTCTATTCTCTGGCAGATATACCTTGACAAGGGTGTATTTATATTTTCCAGAAGATAATAAAAGTGTTTAAATCCGTATATCATTGTTGCTAAAATATAAAGAAAATAGGTCAAAAAATGAAATGTGGGTGTTACTTTATATGTTGTTTGTGACACATGAACATTGCTTGGCTGAGTAGGAAGACCCTATACACAGTAACTCTCCAATATAATACTAGACAAGGCATTCACATGCAAAATGTCACCACCTACCATTTGTTACAGATGAAGACCAATGACTGAACATCACAAATAGTTGGAGACTATAACAATATGTCACCACATTCAGTTGGTCTGTGGTGACATAACAATTATTGCACATTGAATATTTTTTTAAAAGAAGCTTGCACCCACCTGAGAATCCCTTTACATCCACTTAATGAGAAAAAAATCATGAAAAATTCAACTTCAACTTAATTCTGATATGAAAACCAGAATTTTGCAACTCCCTGAAGTATAATAAATCATACACAGAATACTAAAATAGCTTTATTTCTGGAATCAATGAATCCACTATATTCAACAACAAAGTAATATAAAAGCCGTTTCACTGGAGCAGAACATTAGAGATACCTGTAGTGAAAGGTAATCCCTCAATCTAATTGCATCCTTATAAAAGAGATAATGCTCTCTCCTTTCAGTATCTCTCATACTAATAATATTGAAAGCAAATTAATTGATCTCTCAGATATCTTGTTAGGGAACATCTGCAACCAGTCATGCATAAATCTATTCTGCATAAATATAAACAGGGCCATGAAGTAATTTAGTCAATGCTCTAAGGTAGTAGAACTTGTTCCTGGTTGTCTGGTGATTCAGTATATAACTAAGACTGGTAAATAGAAAAAGTTCAATCTAGGACTCCAGATTGAATTGACCTTGACTTTTACTTTTAAAATGTTGACGTTACTTCCATCTTTGGTCTTTGGTTATAAACTCAAAACAAAATGTTAAAAATTTGAACATTTTGATCTTTAATATATATATAATATTATGAAATAATACAAGTTTAACAAGAAAATAGATTTCAAAATTAGATACCAGTTTTGGAATTCTGATGAAATACCAATATTGTTGAATTTGGAGAAGAATAACCTTGACCTACTTTTTGTATATTTAGAAACCTTATGACAGCAAAGGGCTTAGACTATTCATTACTTAATCTTAACTATCAGTAAAAAGGGCCATAAAAGGTCAACTGTTTGATTGCAATTTGATAACAGATTCAGAATCCTGAGATTTAATACCAAAATTGTTTTTTGTTGACCAGTTCTCTCTTTACACAAATATCTCAAAATAAGGCCAAAATACCTCAGCAAAAAGTGAACACTATAAGCAATACTCTTGGATATCTGTTTACGATATCTAAAAAAGGGCTATTAAAATATAGTGTCAGGATCTCAAAATTAGGAAATTTGACCTACATTTTGACCTTGGTATTTGAATGTCCACATTTTGAATTAAGTTAGCTTTAGTGATAAGTAATCAATGCTTATTTTTGCAAAAAAGTACCTGTTCTGTATTCTGTATGTTTCAGTATATTGCTATTATTGGTCTCATTATCTTGTAAATGATTCTCCCTTTAACTGATTGATAATACCATCCGATTGTAAGGGCCATCTAAGCCAGTTTTCATGTACCAATTTAATAATGATTTATTATATATATGCATAAACTAGATGAACAGAATCAATTTCCACCTGATATCTATCATTGTTATCAGCTAATGAGTTGTCAGAAAGAGATCCTATTATTTTAGATCGACACAAGTACTGTAAATATCTCCTTGAAACACCATTCTGATACTCATCACAACTGATTTTTGACTATTAATTCATTAACTTAATCTAAATACATAAAAACATCTGATAGAATGTTGCGCTCTATAGTGCCTGATTAACTAAATATGGATTACAAGTTATCACATTCCATTACATGCTACAAACTCAGGTGTTCCTTTTATCTGATTATTAGAGATTTTTTGTCTCCAGAGGCACTTGTTTCAAGAGACAAATCAATGAGACATCACGAATCAAGTATGTACTTATTTCACACTCCCTGGACTCATTGCCATCTCATTGTTGGCAGGATACGGCATCAATAATGGATACAATTTGTATAGTCAATTACTCCAAACTTACAATGAACTAAGAACTTATGTTATATTGTGTACTAATTAGTAGTTCACCATGATTCCTGTTGTTTTAGAATTGTTGTTGCAAAAAGATTCATTGGGAGTAAGGTTTCAACCCGGATCTAAGAGAACACTTATGCTGGAGTGCTAAATGTCAAGATCAATATGTTTGGTTTTGCTTCTTTAAGGGAGAGTTCTTTCATTCAGTCAAATTCTTTGATCTAGCCTTGCCAGAATAAGAATCAAAATCTTGCCTCTCAATTAGCATCCACTGATTTATACTTGCATTAACCTTCTGCACTCTGACTTATTTCAGCAAATATATCCCACGCATCTGACTTATTTTTCAAAAATGATATGCCTGGACTAAATAATTAATATCTCAATAACTACTGAATGAATCTGGATAAAATTTTCACAAAGGGAAGATACACTAGCGTGGCTCATGAGAAAAATGTTCTCATGAATTTTTTCGTACATAAACACGACTGGGCATAAATATACCATGAATACTCCTCCAGAATCCGCCGTTTTGCCCCTCGGGAGATTCAACGTCTGGTCAGAATCCAAAACTGAATGTGCAGCGATCGAATGTTCTTCTTTTCAGTTCAGAAAATATTCTAGTTTCTATTTTCGATGACCATTAGCGGCTTCCAAGAGCCTAAAGAGCTCGAAATCGCAATCCATTTCCTCCACATTTTCGTTGTGATCGTATTTGGCCGTCATTTTGTACGATTTGTTCACTAAAAACGACTTAAACACTGTTTAAATTGTTGAATTGAGAAATATTTTTTGAAACATCGCCATTTCTAGGTCAACAGGAAGTCACCTTCTAAGGACTGAATAAATCGGGCAATCTAATTGGATCATAAGAACGGCGGGAAAAAGTAAAGTTTTCAAAAGTTAGATTTGTGTCGTCCGGATACGCCGGTGGATTCTGGCGGTAATTTTGAATGGGCGGACGCGGTCGCCGGTGGTCTGCTAAAGGTTAATAACCTGGCATTTATTTCATGTTGTCCAAGACATCTACCTTATGAATCATTTAGATCTCAGGGCACCCAAAAGTTTTTTTTCTTTTTTAGAAGTACTGAACGTGGCATCATGACCAAATTGAGAGTGACTAACAAAGGGCTTTCCTAGAATCCAAATTAATTGCATCATAAAGGATATTATCAAAAGTAACTGAATAAACAAGAAAACAATTAGATACAATAATATCGGAAAAACAACTGTGTGGGCAGCTTTTACTGTGAATCTATTTCCAATTTTTTGCTAATTTTGATTTACTGAATGGTATATTCCTGAAAATATTGATGCATTCATTTTCAACTTCCCAAATTTGACTTTTCTTAATGTAGCTGTCACACTTATGCTATGTGGGCTCTCACAGTTCGCCACCATGTGGATACTTTGGGGCAGATGACAGGGCATGGCACAGATACATGGTGGGCAAAACAAATAATTTTACAGCAAGAAGCAAGATCCCCATCAGACCAAATAAAAATAAATAAATTAATTAATCAAAAAATTAATATAGTGGTGAGCCCACATGGCCAATGTGACAGCTATTACCAATTCTTTAGAAATGAGTCAAAATGCAAACATTTCCTTGAAACCATTGATCAAATCATTCTATTAACAAACCAGTCATGCATTCATGCATATCATTCACTGACTTTTGTTACTGCTATTAATCATGATAATCTATAGACCAGATGATAAGCAGATGATAAGAATTGTGTTAAGGACAAATTGAGCTCATAAAATAAAATGGAAAAATCTGAAAATACAAAGGCATATTGTCATTTCTAAATAAAAATGAGATAATTTTCAACTCAAAGGACCTGAATATAGGATTTTCAGATGAGTGCTTCTGGATGCTTGGATCAATGATAAATGTTCATATTGCTGAATCTTGAATACAGATATGAATCATGCTTTATCCCTTCACGGATCAGAATGTCAGACTGTTTTAGTAGTCCCTACCAAACCATCTGAGAAGTTTTCTCTAACTGATGAGGCAGTTTTCATTTGTCCGAAAACTGTCAAAATAGATGGACTGAGAGTCTGATATAGTATTTGTGATTCTGAAGGCTTACACTATCACACTACTATACCTTTTTAACCCCTAGAAATGCTTAAGATACTCTCATTGTATTGTTTAGTATATTTTTGAAAGTATCTCATAACATTTAACAGTCATCCAATAAACCATTTATAAGGAACAGACAAATAAAAACGTAATCATTACTAATAAGCCAATTGGGTTGCTCATGAACACCAAATGCAAGGTATAGTAGAGTGACTATGAGCCATTTCTGATTAACAGACAATTTGCTGAATACAGTATGTGATTAAGGTAATGCTTACCTGTTGTCCACCTACTGGTGCACTGCTAGGGTGCATACTGAATGGTAGCCTGCTCTCCTGTTCCTCTTCCCAGGGCAGCTTCCCTTTGCCTCTACCAGCACTCATGAACCGCTTAGGGCTATCATAGGGCCCTGGGGGGACTGTGGGGGTCGACCTGGCACTGGCAGAGCTGAGGCTCTCAAGTTCTATGGTATCTGAGCGTGTAGAGCGTGCGGAGTTCCCTCCACCACCAGATGCTTGCATTATCCATTCAATGTCTGCCCCTGCAGGGAGATTACTTGAGCCTAGACGTGCAGAGGTTGGAATCGTAATCGCATATTCTACAAGACCATCTTGGGACACTTTAGGGAGTTGTCTACGCGCTAGCCGTGCCTGCACAGCTGCCATTACACCATCCCCACCATCGTTTAACTCGACATTATCTACAGCCTTTACTAAAGGTCCAAGTTTTCCTGCCCCCATAGCTTGTGCAATGAGGGAGAAACATTCCATGCAAGCTTGCCGTACTTGTCTCTTGCTATCAACTAGCATCATAGCAATCGTTTGACATATTTCACCAAGGTCAAATTCATAACTAGGGAATTTACTGAGTGTAGCTATAACAATGTTTAAGGTTTCAGCTCTCACTCTCGAATTTCGATTATTTAAGTTCCAACATATAGTGTTCAGGATTTCATGCCGTGACAAGGTGTTTACATGCATTAAATTCATTGCAATTTTCATAATTGATTGTCGTATCACTATTTTGTTATCTACCATTCGCTTTGCTATAGCACTGGCAAATGATTTCAAGTATGGCGCCACACCACCTTCTAATTTCTCAACCACAACTGCAAGAATATCAAGTGCAGCGAGAGTAATTTTGAAATTGGGATCATCTAATAGATTGTTCAAAAAACTTATAAACTGTTGAGCATGTGGTAAAAGTTCTTGCGGATCTTCCAAGTCCTGAACTATATCAAATAATTCCTCCATAGCTTGATTCCTAGACCGATGATTAGAAGTATCCTCTAGTTTTCCCATTATATGACTAGGTATAATACCAAATTCAAATCCTTCGAGTGAGATCTGCCGCCTCGGTGAGGCTTTGTTGTACATGGATGCATAGCCATCACGTCTCTGAGTGTTGTTATCATAATCGACATAACCACCATCATTAACAATATTATTTCGTGACAACTGCCTTTTTGGGGAAGGAGGTGCTCTAATGGATGGGTCTGGTGGTATTTCATTACCCGTGGTTTTCATGTAAAATTTCCTTAATGGTGGAGACAATTTTTGCAAGTAGCTATTGAATGTACTTTCACCTACAAGATTTTTGAGCTTTTCTAAACTTATCTCTGCAGATTTGGCAATATTATTTTCATCTGATGAAGAGTCCACTAACTTTTTGGTTAATGACTGAGCTATTTCAAAGAAGTTCCTTGTCTTGAACTCTTGAGTAAAAAGCATGGGTAAAGCAACAGTCACTTCTTTTACAATCTTACGATCGTCATTTTCTAATCCAAATTTCACAATCGCACTGAACAGTCTAGTTAGGTTCTCTGTGTGTTTCATATAAACATGCAAAGTTTGAATCACAGCTCGACGGATTGTAATTTTACTGTCTCCCATATTTGGTATGAGCATATGTAATATCACAGACATACACATATCCAGCTCATCCCCTGCTTGGGGGACAAGCTCATTTATCAACTGGATACATTTATGACGTACGTCCCAATCCTTGTCAGACAAAGTGAATGACAAAGCCTTGTACATTTCCAAATGACTGGATAATGGCAATTTTCCTCCATTTCGTCGTACCTGAATCCGTAAGTCATCTAGAACTTGTGAACGTTGTTTGTAGCTTGAGTCACGGAGATGACTGAGTACTACATCTTCTTCCATATTGGTGCTATACGCAGGCTTAATGTTTATGTAGGATACATCATTTATATTTGTAAACTCATGCTGAAATTTTTTTCACAAAATTGTCTGCCATCAGTTTGAAATATCCTTATAAAAAATACGTAATTTCAACAACAATTTGGTTTGAATCCATAGTATCATACTTCCTCTGACATTAAGATTCAAATTTTATAGCACACTACTCTGTATACGTCGTAATATGAGTAAAAATCCATAAAACGTTTAAACTCTCGATACTTTTTCGAAAAATGTCATCCAAGATGGCGACTTCACCACAACAACTATGATCACGTGATCAAGCTAAAACCCCGGATGTTATCGCACCTGCATAGGTTGCCATCTTTTAATAGTGCAAATGTTATTACAATTATTATATCCTTCCTTCAGGAATAGTATTTGCACTCCAGGACCATGCAGAGATCCCGGGGGTTTCACTCCAATATACTTCTTAATACCTTAGGGGGTCAACATTTTCGGTTTTAGGGGCCCAATTTTTTTTCTGCGCAAGTGCGGTGATATTTTTGGCTGGCTCCACTTCTCGCTTGTTTATCTGGATCCACTGGCGAAACAGAAAGAAAGATGCCATGAGCACAGATATTGGCCAGATCGTTTTGTAGTAGGATCTCATAGCTCAAAGAATAATAAATAAAGAATAAACAAGTTAAAGAATAACAAGATGCTTCGAATGAGGTATGATTTGTCTCATATTTTTCAGAAATGGCTCCATAATCGTCATTTGAAAATTTGAATCTGGCCGGGATCTATGGCTATGAGTATCAGAATGAGTGGGTGGACGTGTCATCATGGACTACCTTTGCATCAGCCCAAAGGATTGGTATCGGTATGGAGAACTGAATTCAAAAACGTTTTTCTCTCAAACCAATCATTGAAAACATTCTGTAAAAAAACACTGTATTTTATGTAATGTTGACTGATTGACAACAATTTAATGCGAAAATTCATTAGAAATATTTTATGTAACTGTTTTTGTAAGATCGGACAGGTTTTTAGATGCGATGTGCGTCAGAATGGGATGGTGTATTTATTAAACAGTGGTAAGCTTACTAGCTCATGACATTATAAGGCCAGGAATAAGGCTATGTAGCTTAAGCTTACATGCAACTTAAAAATAAAAATGACATTATAACTTGCATCACAACCAGTATACACACCCTTGGTATACGCAGCTAACGAAAATTGACCGGCACGGGTCAAAAGCTGGACCGGCACGGGTTAACGGTTTTATTTGAATTTAAAACAGCCATAACTTGCTCAATATTGACTTCCTCGTGTCTAATTTGAAATATATGATGCCTCCCGATGCTTTTAAGTACCCCAATTTTTTACAGATTTTTAAACGGACCAAAACTCTCGAAATGCGCATTTATGCTCTTTTCTCTCGAGAACGACTGTCTCATTTTCACGATAACTTTTATTTAGTACTTCTAACATATAAGATCTATTTTTCCCCATCAAGGTATGATGTAAATGACATGCTATTTACATATTGTGAGTTTCAATGACACGCGTTTGATTTTATAAAAAATACCAAACTTTGTGACAAAGAATTTCCTCCTGCTTGCAGCGAGAAGACGGACCGGTTCGGGGCAATAGCATGAACATCATTCAGGAATCTTTATTCATGTGTGTTACATCTATTATTACAAGGATCTAAAGTTTCAAATCTTCTCTTAGAACCTCTTCGACAAACCGTTACATGTCCAACTTACCTTCGGTTGTGAATTCCAATGGTTAGAATATTGCCCAACTATGCGATCAGGTCATCGTTCCATCGCTTCTTGGGACACTTTTAATTAAAATATTTATTGTATACCAACATTTATCCCATTCTACGACGCATTTGAGGTAAAAATAGGTTGGTAAAAGCTGATTAATATTATCCAGAGCAAGTTGGATACAGCTGGAAATATATGTATATATCCCTCGGTCCCTGCAGTCCATTGGGAAATACACATATTTCCCTGAGGATAAACCCTGTATCCAAAAACCTCCAACATAATCCATATTCACATGCCGGCTGAGCAGGCGGATGTATCTTCCTGCTTCACGTTAGACTCAGTTCTCATTATCTTAAATATTTAAGTGCCAAGTGCGCTGGAAAAATCAAGCCATTGAATATAAAGGGGCATGGGATAAACAGTTTTTCCTTTAGTAGGTTCTGAATATTGGTATTATCCTAGGACCATATAATTTATCTGCCCTTGAAACCTAGAACCTCATATAGAGTAATCTCTATTTATCCTATGCCAAGTAGTTTTAGGAAGATAAGTTAGCAAGATATATTCGCATCTGTATCCCGACTCTTAAGTTTCCATATCCAGAACCTACGTATCTCCCGCCATATCTCCCGCTCCCGAGCATATACCTTTCCACTTTCGGCAATTCTAAAAATCTTCTTGGCATAGGATAAAGCAGTTATTTACGCTCGGTTTCGAAATGGGGTTTACTGCTCCGGAGATATGCATTTCCTACCCCTATATAAACTCCATATTAAAATCTCCCCAATGCATAATCCCTTTGTACCCCATAACTAGGAAGGTAAATAGTACATAAATGTAGTATGTATCAGAGCAGGTGAATATTATGTATCACTGAACATAGGAATTTCTGTTTTGAAAAGTACGATATGAAATATATATTTTTTAGTTCTCCTAGTAAAGCTCGATAACATCCAATCGCGTTTTTGTCTTTACAAAGTTTAATCTATCAAAGGTTAATCTATTTTCAATCGAGAGTTAGCTTGAAATATCAAAACATTATAATATTCTCATACTTGTAGAACTAAAAATGCTTTCCTATTATCATTACTACAATGACGAATATTTGCTACATGGGTCACAAAAATATATTTTCAGTTTCCCAAATAATTCTAGCAAATATGCCTCTGAAGGTATGTGAAAATAGGTTATGTGCGATCGGTTGAAATACAAGGTTTATCTCTTGGAATTACTGACCTCCGCGAACAGACCGTAGATTGCTAGACATTGTTAGTACCTCAGTTGAAATACTCAATTTTGATTGGTCAATTAGCGGTCAACAATATGTACTGTTGACCGATACTGGGTACTGTTGACCGCTTCTGGGTACTGTTGACCGTTACTGGGTACTGTTGACCGCTACTCAGTACTGTTGACCGCTGCTAGGTACTGTTTCAAAATTATTATTTTTAAATCAGAATTGAAAAAAGAAATTGAAAAAAATCTAAATCGTATTATATGTTTTTTTCGTGAAATATGATATCTTGATCAACTTATCAAATATTTCTTCACGTATTACTAATCTAGTATTCGATTATTCTCAGTCAACAGTACTTTCAAGGTTTACAGTATCGGTATATATATCGTATACTATATGATTTCTATTAGCAGAGAAACAATAACTCAAGACAGAAAATATTTTATTCAAAAATATTGCAAATACGATGTAACATTGAAATGTCATGAGAAAAAATAAAACAGGAACACTAAAATAAGAAACATATACAAAAACATGCGCTTTAGTGATAGTCTACATGTTGAAGTCACTTGTCGTTTTCCTGGTCTATAGGCCTACATGTACATGTATGTCCTCTTTTTTACAATGCGCAAGATTTCTTCTTTGTTTGAATTTTGCATGGCATGTACAAATGTAATCCCTTCTTTTGCTGTGCACATCTAACTCATGTTGTTTTCTCATTCTCCTGCTCGTGCATACTTTTTTACAAATCTTGCATTTCTCAGGCATCTTTTGGATGCAGAATGTTGGATATGCAATGACTGTGTTCGCAGAAGACGTCGAGATTGAAATGCGGCGGAGGGGACATGTAAATGAAGCTAATCTATGCAAGCTTGTTAGAGAGTGGTACCAAGCAGAAGATGATCCAGGTACTAAATATTTTTTAGTTAGTTGGTTTTAGGTAGATTTTATCACTCTTCCTTATAAACGTATGTACACGTTTTCGAAGGAAGTGTATACAATCATGAAGGTCAAAAATGGACACATATGTTGTATTGTATTGTATGGTGTGGTATGATATGGTATGGTATGGTATGGATTGGAATGGCATGGAATGATATTGTATGGTGTTGAATGTTATTGTATTGTACTGTATTGCATTGTAAAATTGCATTGTACAGTGTCCTCGGTTATAGAAATACATGTATATACAATTACCATTCTAGTACATCACATATAACGGCCACTGAGGTACATCACCTTGTTCCCTAATCCTTAAGATTTTCCACGGGCTTTTGCCACATGTAGGAATATTCGGACATCAATGTGTTGAATTTATCCTAAAACCTGGAATTTTATTTGCAACCTTTGCGACTGATCAATTTATCGAAATAATCAACTGGCTTGATGAGTATCGATTGTTGTTGAAATCAACTATTTTGACCATTTTTATCAAATATTTCTTGTTTAATTAACACCAACCGGCATTTGTGGGAAATGAGTTGATTTCTCTTCAAGTGGTGTTTTAATTTAAAATTTGCTCAGCAAAAAATGTGTACGAATACAACGAATCCTGACGTCAGGATACATACAGGATATGCACCCCGTGTGCCAAACCTGTATGAATCCTGACGCCTGGATTCATACAGGATTGGCACCGAATGTACATATCCTGTACATATCCTGTGTCAGGATTTATACAGGATTGACGCGTGTAGGAATCCAGTATGAATCCTGCATCTGGATTCATACAGGATACGCTCGCAGTGTGCCAATCCTGTATGAATCCTGACGCCTGGATACATACAGGATTGGCACATTGTGAGTAGTGTATGTTAAGGAGGCACGGGATTACTTTGCGGTGTCTAAAAATGCGATGCCAGAAATGAGATGCTGAGACTACTTTGCGGTGCCTAAAGTGAGATACCAGGAATGAGATGCCAGGGGTTAATAACATTTTTACTAATGATGAGATGCTTGCTTTTGTAGTAACCATAGTGATAACCTGAGGTTTGTGGTAGCTTCAATTTGAGACGCATAACGGTATCCTTATTTAATTGAAATGCTTTGTAGAGAGTCTTAACATTGAGATATCCCTGAGATACCTTTGTGAAACCTTAAAGCTAGGGATAAGTCAGGGAATCTTAAAACTGCGACGTCATATTAAGAACTCATACAATTATTGAAATGAAACCTTAAAAACTGAGTTGGTTTGAGAGACTTTTCGGTGATATCTTAAAATTTAGGTACTTTCAAGATATCTTTGTATTATATCAAATACGATAAGACATTGGAAGGGTAAGTACATTATCAATCATTACATAATCATCCTTGCAAGACCTCAAGTTGTTGCTTCATTGAGATGCACTATGCATCCATGAACATTCAGCTTGTGTTCATGAAATACTTTGTGAAACACCTTTGTGCCACCTTAAAACTGAGCTTTTCAAAGCTTTAGACTTCGAGATACCTTTGTGGAACTTAACTTTTGGCTGGTTGGGAAAATTCTTAACTGTAATGACATTGAGTTGCTTTGCGATTCCTAAAATATGATAACTACTGAGGGTTGGTGAGCTAACATTATCACACTTTGATAAGATATGAAGAAACCATCCATCTGCGGGATGACAACACATGTTGCATCACATCTTGATAAGTCTCATATATAGACTCTGAACTTTACTAATTTGTAATGTTCAACAATTGCAGTACAAAATGTCATCTCCAGCAATAATTGAAACAGTGTGGAATGCAACGACAAAATGCATCATCATTGAGGATGTTAATTCGGTGAGCGCCTCTCCCGAACTAACGCCGAATAGCGACACAAAAAAACATAAGATCAACACCACCACCAGCACCATTCAAGAAACGCATGGTTAGCTTTCAGAGAGAGTTGACGCTAGGTATACCTGCTCAACCTAGCTGTCGGAGAGACTTGAAGCTTGATATACCCCCTCATCCAATGACGCTAGATGGTGTAGTACACTTTCATCTGACTTTGGAAGATGCAGCGCGTCCATCTGGATGTATCGTCAATCCGATTCAACCTGAATGGCCACAAATGCTCAAGATTTCGAACCGCTCCTGCTTGCGGAAAATATTCATATACACGCAGGGAGATCACGTTGTAATTCGAACATTTAAACTTAAACTTATCGTTGTGAACAAGGTGAAGCGGGTAGGCTGTATGCCTTACAGCTCGAAGTTTGCACGACTACCTCGACAGGAGTTTGACTACATGATCACCTGCTGCACAGAAAGAGGAATTCGGGAGTATATGCGTGCCATTCAAGATGATTTGGCCATTCCAAACCAGGCACTGGCTACACCTTTGAATGCACCGCATCACCTAGGACTGGGATACGAGTTCAAAGTGCATTCTGATATAAACCTTTTCGAAGTAACAGCGACTTACCACGACCGGGTAAAACAAAAATCTACCCAACTTTGGTCAGTGTACCTCAATTTCGAGGAGATGGAGGATGTATTGAAAAACATACACAGTCTTATTCCTCCCTTAGCTATAGAGGACATGAATTGTATAGCCACGTTACATGGTGATCATATGAACCAGGAGGGTATGTGGGCTTGTAACGTGTGCCAATATCTCTCTCCATGTGATAACCTGCTTGACAATTAGATACACTTTTTATCTTTAAATTGTGTTGTACTAGCTAAAGCATTCATTGCAGGCAACATAATTACATCAATGGGAAATCACACAAAACATTTCTCTGTCTATTGTTATTTTGTATTCAATTTTTAATAAATGATTCAATTATTATCCCATCGAACGAAGTTCCGTCCGTCCGTCCGTCCGTCCATACATCCTTCCATACGTCAGTCCGTCCGTCTCTCCGTCCGTCCGGGTGATAACTCAAATACCGTTGGCCCGATTTTGTTCATATTTTGTACAAATATGCCCTATGGCGGTAGAGGTTCTACTCGAAAGCCGATTTTCAAAATGGCCACTCGTTTCAAAATGGCGGCCATTTCAATGCCGATTTTACAGTAATTTAGGTACAATATATAAAACTGTAATAGCAATGTGTTTTAAATGTAAAGAAGTTATAAAGGACATAATACAGCTAGAAATGTAGATATTTAAGAAACACACGGCAGCCAACTTGTAAAATGGCGGCCCTTACACGCTATTTACGATTTTTGCTGTAACTTGAAAAGTAGTGGAGCGATTGTGTTCATATTTGATATTTGAATACTCATAAGCATGGCACACTGTCTAATGATACTTTGGGTAGTAGGTGACCATTTTGAAAAATGGCCGCCATTTTTACGTGTGTTATTTTACGTTTTTTCCCCATAACTTGAAAAGTAGTGGAGCTATTTTGTTCATATTTGATATGCGAATACTATAAGCATGGCACCCTGTCTATTGACACTTTGGTTTTTGGGTTTTTGGCCACCATTTGTACGTGTGTTATTTTACGTTTTTTACTTTAACTGAAAGTAGTGGAGCGATTTTGTTCATATTTGATATGTGAATACTCATAAGCATGGCACAATATCTTATGACACTTCGGCTAGTAGGAGGCAATTTTTCAAAATGGCTGCCATTTACATGTACATGCGTGCGATTTTGTTGAAATTTTATATGTGCCTTTCTAGAAGCAATTGTCCTTTTGACAATTTGGCAACTTAGCGAGCATTTTGAAAATGGTAGCCATTTTTATGTGTGTTTATGTACGATTCTTGCTATAACTGAAAAAGTAGTAGAAGGATTTTGTAAAAATGGCAGCCATGGCTGTTCGATGGGATTTGCTACGCTTTGGCGTTGCTGTTGTCTAGTTGCAATATAATATCAATACAACGTTAAATTAAACTGTTCTATAATATTTACATCTGTTTGATAAGTTCTACCTACACAATTGTATTTTAAATATAATTACAACATATTGTACACATACTCTCATATATGAGAATCGTGTAGTTTGGAAATTAATAAAAGTTGTTCCTTGATACAACATAGAATAATTTGTTTATTTTACTACTCAATAAGAAACGATGCATAGGTGAGACTTTCATCTTAGATGGATAAGAAATGAATTGAATAAGAAAGGATGCACATATTATGATCTCTGTGTTTTCGTAGAGTGATGGTGATCACATTTTTTTGAAGCACGAGGTTTCTTTTGTAACATAAATAACAAAACAATGACATAACACTTTGTTTTATAATGTACATTTACTCTTATATTTATGTCATAAGTTTCTTTACATGTTAAATGCTGGTCATATCAGTACTATTACTTTCGGAATTGCTTTCATCATTATAATAAGATTGCTCTTCATCAGTAGATTCTTCATCAGAATTGCTTTCATCATTATTATAAGATTGCTCTTCATCAGTAGATTCTTCATCAGAATTGCTTTCATCATTATTATAAGATTGCTCTTCATCATCAGTAGACTTTGCTTCAGAATTGCTTTCATCATCATCTGTATCTTCTATGAATAGCTCATTAAACTTATGTTCATTATTCACAAGTGCCTTTTTGATTGCAAGATCTCTAGAGACACCTCTCATCAACATATCATTCACTGCATTTACAATATTTCTGTGTAATGCATTGTCTGCTAAACCGAAAACTTGTTTTAAGACCTTCTTATAGTGCTTCATAAATCTTTCCTTATCATTTCGTACAAGTTTCTTCTCAGCCTTTTCCATAGCTTCCTTTTCATTGTTTCCCCTATCCATATACTCCTTTACTTTATGATTATAATCTTTTTCATTATCACTTCTAGCCTTGTTTTTTAAATATACAAATATTTCATTTAATGTAAGATCAGCATCTTCTTCACGGGAAGAATCTTGTCCTATTTGTGAGGTGGTTTCAATCTTCATTTTCTTGGGCAGTTGACCTTGCTCTTGGCACCAATTCCTGATGTGAGGTTGCAAATCGTGTACGCTGTCAAAGACTAAACCACAGTTATCACATGATACCATATTGTTACATCCGCCAGAGATTAAATGAGGAGACAAACAAGGAGAAGGTCCAGTTTTTATATCATGCATTCTTGTATCCTTTTCATGCGTTTGAGGTGTTTCTGGTAGCTCATGGTGAAGTACATTTGCATTACTTTCACGCTGTTGCGATTGATTTGATTCATCCTGATTTTGTTTTGCTAATGGTTTTTGCAGCATTATATTTGTAGTTGTGGTAGGATTATACAATCTCATACTCTCAGGAGTTTCTTGCTTGAGGTCTACTAACAGGTAGCTGTAAGGTTGGTGTGTAGCCTTCTCATATGAATCCAATAACTTGTGAGACTTTCCAGGGTACATCTGATGGGCCAAAACAGATACTTGTTGACGATCCCTAGGATTCTTATACAGCACAATGTAGTGGGAATTCAAACTGAGAGTGCGACTTTCTCTTCCACATGGAAACAGATTCTGCATCAAGCAAATCACACTTAGATTTCTGTGATGTGATCCACGCGTGTACAAATCAGTAATCCTTGTATCCTTTGTTATGTCACCCGTTAAGTCGTCAAAGATCAGTATGTTCCTCTGATTCACATCCAAAAACTCTGGGTTACTCAGCTCGTCTGGTATCCCCATCATAAATTCAATATTTGAGCTGATTGTCTTGATGTCATCATATAGAGGTTGCCATTGACTGTAACACCATATGATTCTTTGTGGTGTTGGAGATATTCTAGTACCAGCATGCTC